TTTACTGTCTCTACTACTACAAACAATACCACTACTACTACTATTATTATCATCATTATTATTTAAAGCATCTCAATTTCTCTATCCAAATTCACTCGTCTGCACATGCGGAGTAAACACGCGTAGAGCGACTGCGTTGACTCCAGCCCTCCCTCCCTCCTCCCCCTTTTTTTTAGTAGAACAGTTCGAAGCAGCTGTGTTTTCCGTGTCTGGCTTCTGTACGATCGCAGCTGATTTGGCGTTGTGTGTGTCTGTGTGTTTCCTCGAGGTGCGCACTCGCTGCTATGCCTCTTCGCGCGTTTCACGGTACGTAGAAAACAAAGCAAAAACAAAAGAGCATCAGCGTTTGTCCTTTTCGGTGTGTCCGCTGTGCGAAGTCGCGAACGAGAATTTAAAAGAAAGAAGAGGAAAGAAGCGTCGTCGCTTTCCTTCTCTCTCTTTCACCTGCACTCGATAGCCTGACCAAGATCTTCAACAAGGAGAACAGCCATACGCATCTTCCTTTCTTTAAAAGACTTCTTTGAGCTCCCGTTCCACATCAGCATCGGCTCAGGTATACCATTCTCAGCATCATCGTCATGGCGGTCCTGAAGATTTTATTATACTTAGTCGTCGCGGCTGGCGCCGGCCTCGCCTACCGTGTCGGCTACCTCCTCGGCCTCGTCGTGTACGCCGCGGTTGTGTGTGGGCTGTGCAACTGGTGGATGACGGTCTTCCTCCGCGCCGGCCCGCATTCCTCCCGCCAGGTGCCACCGCAGCCCATCGCCTACTGCCAGCAGCTCTCCGCGCAGGAACTCAGCAAGGCCTACCGCGAGGGTCGCCTCAGCTGCGTCGAGGTGGTGCGCACCTACATTGAGCACATCAAGCGAGTGAACCCCTACATCAACGTCCTCGTCTTCGACTGCTTCGAGGAGGCGCTGGCGACGGCCGCGGAGGCAGACCGGGTGTGGGCGGAGTGGCGTGTGCACAAGGACCCCGCCCGCATGCCCAGCTGGCTGCTCGGCGTACCGTGCACGATTAAAGAGTGCATGGAGTGCCGCGGCTGCCCCAATTCATCGGGGCACCCCACACGCCGCAGCGTCATCTCCGACGTCGACAGCCCGGTCGTGCACAACTTCCGTGCCGCCGGCGCCGTCATCCTCGGCGTCACCAACACGAGCGAGCTGTGCATGTGGTTCGAAAGCTCCAACTACATCTACGGCATCACGTGCAACCCCTACGACCCGCGATGTCTCGTTGGCGGCAGCAGCGGTGGTGAGGGGGCGGCGGCGGGGGCGGCCTTTTCCACCTTTAGCCTCGGCAGCGACATCGGCGGGTCCATTCGCATGCCGGCCTTCTTCAACGGCGTCTACGGCCACAAGGCGAGCCCGCACTATATCTCGAACAACGGCCAGCACCCGGGGGCCAAGACCTCGGCGAACCACTACATGGCCACCGGCCCCATCTGCCGCTTCCCCGAGGACCTCATCCCCCTCTCGAAAATTGCCGCCCGCGGCGGGTTTCGCTTGGACCCCGTCACCTACCCCCCGTGCTCCCCACTGGAGAAGGTGCTCGACCTGCGTCGGCATCCCCTGCGCGTGTACGCGCTGGAGGACTACGGCTTGCCTTTCATTCGTGTGTCGGAGAGCCAGATAGACGCCGTCCACGCCGCAGCGGAGGCACTGCGGAGTCGCTACGGGGCTGAGGTCACCTACATCAACGTCCGCACCCCTGCCCGCTCCACCGGCGGCACGGTGCCGAAGGAGTTCCGGCCGTTTGCGAATATTCTCTCCATGTGGGCGTCCGTCCTGACCAAGGACCCGACCGAAGCAAAGTTTAGCGCGCTTATGGCCGAGGGACACGAGGGCGGCATTAATTGGATAGCCGAGGCCGTTCGCTGGGTCTTTGGCCGCTCCGAGCACACCCTGCCCGCCATCGCCCTCTGCGTGCTGGAGACGATGGAGATCATCTTCCCCAAGTGGCTCACCATCAGCCGCGATGAGAACCTCCTGCCCTTCAAGAACGGCCTGGAGACGCTCCTCCACAAGGATGGCGTCATCATCTGTCCGACCTTTCCGTCGCCCGCCCCGCGCCATCACTTCCCGCTGTGGAACCCGTTCCAGTTTCAATATACCGCCGCCTTCAACGTGCTGCAGATGCCGGCGACGGCCTGCCCGGTTTGGCCCGGTGCCATCATGGCCAACCGTCGCAAGGGGATGTCCCCATACGAGGTGCGCTCCGAGCACCTGCCGGCGGACTTTCACTTGCCGAAGGGAGTGCAGGTGGTGTCGGCCACCTTCCAAGATGAGCTGTGCGTGAGCGTGGCCATCGCTCTGAAGGAGTCGCTGGGTGGCTACCGCTACCCTTCGTGGTCCGTGCTGGAGGGCTCCGACTTCTAGACACATAGATCCCAGCCTTTTTTTTTTCCGCTGTGGTTGTTATTGATGCCTTGTTTGTTTTAAACGGTTTCTGCCTGCTCTCGCCGCACTATTTTCGTCTTTCTCGCTGTCACACGAGTAGAGCGAAAACACACAGATATATATATATATATATATATATCACGGATAAGAGGCGCGAGAAGAAAAAGGAGTTAGGGGCTGCTGCTGATGATGCACGCACTTCTAGCGCTATCGGCGGTGACGCGTAGTGAGCAGACCCGTCCGTTCTCCGTCGTTTCTCTTTCCCTCTCTGCCGCTCCGTCGCTCCTCTTCTCCTCTTTCCTTTCCTATGTTGGTTTCACTCACCGCCTCGCACATCCTCCCCGGTTGCTGTGGTGGCTGTGGTCCTTTGCCTTCGGCTCGCCCCTGATCATCTCTCCGTTTCGCAGTGCTCAGGTCAACATGACACCTTTATTATTATTATTATTGTTATTCTTGGGCTCTTGTTCTATTTTTGAGGAGTTCCTGCAGGTGCGCTCTGGACAAGCACGTTTCTTTTCTTCTTTTCCACGTCGGTGGCACTGCCCGTCGCGGCCGTGGCCACACTGGGCAGGGAAATGAAAAAAAGGTATTGCATCAACGAGCACCCCACAGCAGGTCCGCGCGACATTTTCTTTGTTTTTCTAGTATTATGGTTGTCGAATTCTTTGCTCGCACGTTCGTCTGCGAGTCGGTCCACCTCTATGCGTGTGCATGTGGGGAAAAGAAAGAGAGGAGGAGGAAGGACAGGTAGTGGCTTGCTCACGTGCTGCGTCGCGAGTGAAGAGTTGCGCACGCGGGCGCACAGTTGCGGGATACACGAGTAATAATCGACGGCCTTCTTTGTGCTGAAACGGGAGCGACTTTTGTTTTTTGGGAAGAGCACAGTTATAATGAGGCGGAACGCAGCACTCTTTCTTTTTATTATTATTATTCGAACGCGTGTGTTTTCTTTGTTCTTTTTCCTCTTTCTTCATCGTGGGGCGGAGGATGCCTTTGCCCACTGCAGTGCCTTTTCCCGTCCAGCTGCGCTACGCGGGTGCGGCGGGTTTTGCCCAACCATCGACAAATACACGCGCACACACCCGAAGAGGAGGAGGGGGTTGGGGGTTGGGCAGCAGAAAAGGAGGGGGCTGCCTCGGCGTGACTACATGGCGCTCATGTGTAGTCATCTGTTGCTTCTTCACTTTTGTGTAGTTGTCTTTTCTTTATTTTTCTTCTCCTTCTGCGACTTACACCTTACGCTTCTTTGTGGCTGGTTTTTTCTTTTTTTTTCTTCTGGTCGTGATGCTTAGTAGTAGTAGTAGCACTGCGTGCTGCCCAGACGTAATGCTCTTCGTGGGTTGTTGTGGAGGTTGGCGCCGTGGGTTGGGGAGGCAGTTGCACGGTGCATTTCGGTGTTACCGCTGCTGGCTTTCGTGCAGGCGTGCCTCAATTTCACATTTTCAGCTTTGTAGTTGCGGGAGGCGTGTTCTTCCTTCGTCCTGTGTGTGTGTGTGTGTGTGTGTGTGTGTGGATTATACGGACTTGTGTTTCTTGTAAGCTACTTAACACCTCTAATTGTTCTGTTCGCGTGCACGTCGGTGCAGTTATTTGCCAGTACCTTTTATTATTATTTGTTTTACTATATGTTCTTGCCGTTCATGGAAGGTATCGGCCCACACACACGAGTTCGATGTAACGGCACAAATTGCCAAACACAGTCATGAAAACGAAAACAGGAACCCAACAACAACAAAGAATCGATGAGAGCCACCATCAGCAGAAAAGGAAAAGGAGAGAAGGGTATCTGCTCTTCATTCGTTAGCACCACAGGCACACACACACACACACACACGCTCTCTCCTCTCTCCTTGCTGCGAAAGGGAGCTCTTCGCTCGATGCGCATCGCCTTGTCATTTCCCTGTGAGTGAGTGAGTGCTCACCCGCATCGCAACCGCCCTCGATTAGCGCCTATTTGAATGTTAGACAAGCCGCGATACATCTTCAATGAACGCGTTCGTGTGCCAACGTGCATATATATATCTTCTTTGGTAGCCAAAGAACACGACAGAGGTGTGCCGCGGTGCGGGAGGGAGCAGCGACGTGTCTCTGTGTCGTACAGGCCGCCTCGGCGTCTCCGCTCACGCACACCAAAGGGAAGAAACAATAATAAAAAGGCAACGGAGAGAAGAGAAGGTGGCCCTCCCGTATTCTTCGCGTTGCTCAGAGAAGGGAAAGAACGCTTTACTATTCGCACCTACCTCCCTCCTTCCCCTCCCCTCTCCGTCTTCCTTGTTGCCTTGGTAAACGTGTTTGTGTGCCACCTGCCCCTCTCGCTGTCGATGGCTGCCTTTTTTCTGCACCGGAACACTCCGTCTACTGTGCCTTATATATATATATATATATATATATTACTGCTTGTGTTCTGTCTCACCTGGCAGTCCCGGCGGAGGAGGTGAACTCTATTTTCCAATACAAAAAGAAATCACCTACAACGCAGCGTCTGAGAGGTGCGGCTGCCCTCCCACCTCAGCCTGTCTTTGACTGACTCCGTTAAGTAAAGCTCCGACGCTTCATTGTAACTCGACTAACTTAAGAAGAACGGAGAAAAAAGAGCAGCGAAAGATTTCCTCCGTTTTCGTTTCCCGTCCTTTTTGTACTCGTGGCGCATAACGGAGGGGACGATATCTGCTGTTTTGTCTCCCCTCCTCCTCCTCTTTACCCAAGAGAGCAAAGAATACTAATCACCAGCCTTGCGCACGCCACACAAACACACACGTACTCACACCATGTCTCTTACGACGGCCTTTCCTTTCCACGCCTACGTCGGCGACCTGCGCACCCGCGCGGTGCACGAGCAGAAGAGCGATGTCTCCCTGTCTCTTATGACCTCAGAAGACATTGCGCGACTCGCCTTTGTCGAGGTGCGGGTGCGATGCGGACAGGAGGACCATCTTTCGCCGTGGAATCCCACCGTGCGCCGCGACGGCACCTACCCAACGTTCTACGACACCCGCATGGGCAACTTCAACGTCCGCACCTTTCCCCCGCAGGCCTGCTCGAGCTGCTGCAACACCCTTAACGGCAAGTTTGGCAACGAGCGCTGTCAGGGCCACTACGGGTACATCAGCATGCCCCGCCGCTACCCCAACGACCCGTCACGCGGGCAGGAGCACCTGAGCGTCATCAACCCGCACCTCGCCCAGGAGGTGGAGCAGCTGCTGCAGGCGGAGTGCTTTTTCTGCCACCGCCTGCGTGTGCCGGAGTTCGACGTGGTGCGCTATCAGCAGGCGCTGCGGCTCGTGGACGCCGGACTGATCGGCGATGCCCTGCGCTTTCTGGACATGGTGGCGAACGCGCACGGGCAGGAGATGCGCCTGCGCCGCCGCCGTGATGTGAACGAGACGGTGATCAACGATGTCCCGCTGATGCTGGAGCACGTGGAGAAGCTGCTGCGACGCCGCGGCGTGTGTGATGGCGCTGCTGCTGCGGGTTCCGAAAACGGCGGCGGTGACGCGCGTGTCGGGGCGGGAGAGGTGGAGGAGAGACCGGGGACGGACGAGCACGTACACAAGTCCACGCTCGACGTGCGCAACGAAATCTGCAAGCTGGCGCTCCGAAAGTTCCGCGAGTACAGCAACGTGTGCACCCACTGCCAAAACATCTCCCCCCGCATCACCACCAAAAACGGTCACCTCTTCTTCTTCTTCAACAAGAAGAACGCGGACTTCAACGTGGCGAATGGCGGGCTGACGCTGGCGCAGCTGCGGGAGTGGGAGGAGATCAACCGCCGTCAGGGCCGCAGCCACAGCTACTTCCGCACTTCGTGGGTGCGGGAACACATCAAGCAGCTCTGCCAGCACGAGCCCGCCATCCTCGCCGCCCTCTTCCCGCACCTGGGCGAGGCGACCGTGAACATGCCCTACGCCTGCCCACTGCCGCCAACATACTTCTACAAGGTCTTCTTCTTGGACAAGCTGCTGGTGCCCCCGCTGCAGCTGCGGCTCTCCTCGGGGGTGCAGATCTCTGACTCGGGCACCATCGTCCCCGACGCCCGCACGCGTGCCTTGTCCGACGTGCTGGGCTTCGTTGAGCAAATCGAGGCGTACTACGTCCTCTACAACAACTCAACCCCCGAGCGCAACCTCGTCAGCGCGGCGCAGGACATCGCCCAGGAGCACAACCTGCGCAACTTGCAAGCAAAGGTGACGGAGGTGTTCACGGACGTACTGGAGAGCTTCGCGAAGAAGGAGGGGCTGTTCCGCATGCACATGATGGGCAAGCGCGTGAACCAGGCATGCCGCAGCGTCATTTCACCGGACTACATGCTGGAGCCGAACGAGGTGCTCCTGCCGCGGCCGTTTGCGCGTGCCCTGACGTTTCCAGAGCTGGTGAGCAGCTACTCGCCTGCCCGCACGCTGTTCTTGAAGCGGTGTGTGATGAACGGCCCGGATGTGTACCCGGGGGCGACGCACCTCGAAATCGGCCTGCCCAGTGGAGAAACCCGCTTCGTCGACCTGCACGTGCCGGAGCCCGTGCGGCGGCAGCACGCGATGAAGTACTTCGCGATGGCCCAGACGGGCTCGCTCACGGTGCACCGCCACATCCTCGACGGCGACCGCCTCATCTTCAACCGCCAACCCACCCTGCATAAAGTGTCGATGATGGCCTACCGGGCGAAGGTGCTGTCCGGCCTCAAGACGCTGCGCTTCCACTACGTCAATGGCAGCTCCTACAACGCAGACTTCGATGGAGATGAGATGAACATCCACGTCGTGCAGAGCCTCGAGGCGAGGGCGGAGTTGGAGTGCTTGATGGACGCGAACCTCAACTACCTCGTCCCCACCTCTGGCAAGCCGATCCGTGGCTTCATTCAGGATCACATTGTGGCGGGGGTGCTGCTCACGCTGCGCGATAAGTTCTTACCCCACCACACCTTCGTCCAATTTGTCTACAACGGTATCGCGCCGTACATGCAGAAGCACGGTAACCCGCTAAGCGCGCACGCGACGCTGACGGAGCTGATCCCCATGCCGACGATCCTGAAGCCGCGCCCGCTGTGGACGGGCAAGCAGCTCATCTCCGTCATTGTGCATTACGTCACGGGCGTGGTGGAGAGCCGCGCTGGTCGGCCGAAGAGCCACGGTGTGAGCATGCACGGCACCTCACTGGTGCAGCCCAGCACCTTCACCACCACCGACCCGCACACCGGCAAGCTGGTGACGGCGTCGCGCACATGCATGGAGGACGGCCACGTCCACTTCTTCGAGAGCGAGCTCATCACGGGGGTGCTGTGCAAGAACCAGCTCGGCGCCGCCAACCTCTCCGTCGTGCACGTCATTCACGAAATCTACGGGCCGCACATGGTGGGCGAGCTCTTTGGCGCGCTGGGCCGCGTGCTGACGATCAGCCTGCAGCGCGAGGGTTTCTCGATCGGCATGGACGACATGCTGCTCGTGCAGGAGGAGCGTCGGCGTGCGCTGCTGCGCGAGCTCGATAACGCGCCGCTCACGCTGCCTGACGACGAGGGGGCGGTGATGCCGGTTATCATGGGCATGGCAACGAACCTGCAGAAGGAGTTTGTGCCTGGCCGGATGCTGCGCCGCTTCCCGCAGAACCAGCTGCTGCTCATGACGATGTCCGGTGCGAAGGGCAGCAACACGAACACCATTCAAATGTCGCTCGGGCTGGGCCAGCAGCTCTTCGACGGGCGGCGTGTGCGTCGCATGAACTCCGGCAAGACGCTGCCGTCCTTCTTTGCGGACGAGAAGCGGGCCCGCTCGCTTGGCTACGCCATTGGCCGCTTCGCCTCTGGCATTCGCCCGGCGGAGTACACGATCCACGCCATGGCCGGCCGTGACGGCCTGATCGACACGGCCGTGAAGACGTCGCGGTCGGGACATCTGCAGCGGTGCCTCATCAAAGGGCTGGAAAGCCTCGTCGTGCAGTGGGACCGCTCCGTCCGCGACGCAAACGGCAGCGTCGTGCAGTTCCTCTACGGCGGCGACGGCCTCGACCCGATGCGCACCTCCTCCCTGCAGGCCTGGGAGGTCGTGAAGGACAACTGCGTAGACTTGGGCCGCAAGATGAACGTGAACACCGGCGTGGCCACCGCGGATGAGGCGGATGAGGAGGCCGGCCGCAACAGCCAGGGCAAGCGCGAACGGGCGGATGATGTGGCGGCGGCGATGCGGGCGGCGCAGCGGGCGCTGCTGGAGGCGGAGGCGCAGCGTGACCCACTGCCCGGGCCCTACAAGGCTAGCCTCGACACCTACCTCGAGACCAAGGCGCAGTACCCGCTCTTCAAGAAGGTGGCGCAGGTCGCCCGCTGGACCAAGAACGGTGTGCTGGAAGAGAAGCTGAAGGAGAAGCGGACGGAGAGCATTCAGTACTACCGCGACGTGATGACGGAGCTGACAACGCGGCGGCGGGTGCGGGCCTACTGCGACCCGGGTGAACCAGTCGGCCTGCTGGCGGCGCAGGCTGCGGGGGAGCCGTCAACGCAGATGACGCTCAACACCTTCCACAGCGCGGGCTCGACGGTGACCCACGTGACGGAGGGCATCCCGCGGCTGCGTGAGCTGCTCATCTACGCGTCGGTGCAGCAGGTGGCGGTGGTGGTGCCGGTGGAGAAGGCCACAGAGGCGGATGAGGTAGCCATCGCGCGTGTACTGCAAGCAGGTGTGGCGACGCGGCTGACGGACTGCATGGCGCGTGTGCCTGCTGCGAAGACCACCGCAGGAATGGGAGGAGGAGGAGACGTCACCTCTGCCGCTTCCACGACGACCGCTCCCGGTTATCACTACCACGTCACCCGCAGCGCAGAGGGCACGCAAATTACGGTGGCTCTGCTCTTCTCCAAGGCAGTGCTGCAGCACAAGCAGCAGGCGATGTGCATGGCGCCCACGGAGCACCTGCAGTCCTTCATGCAGACGCTGAAGAACTTTGCCCGGCAGGTCGTGACGGCGCTGCGCGGGCGGTCCAAGGAGGAGCAGGAGGGCGGCGCGGCGGGTCTCATGCGCGGTGCGACGCAGGACCCGATGCATCAGATGGAAGAAGACGGCGCGGCCGCGGCCGGCGCAAGCGACGACGACGACGACGACGGCGACCGCTCCACTCAGCTGAACACGCCAGCCCTCGGGGCAGCGGCGGCACCGTCAGCCACGGCCAGCGAAGTCGGGCGGGACGACACGTTGATGCGCATGGGCGACGATGACTCGGACGGGGAGTCGGGGTCGGAGGACGAGGAAGGAGAGGATGGCGAGGCGGAAAGCGACGGCAGCGACGGCAGCGGCGAGGAAGGGGCAGCGCAGAGGAGGAAGCCGCACAGGAAATCGCGGGCGCGGCGTCACGCCGCCAAAGCGGAGGAGGACGAAGACGACGACGACGAGGAAATGATAGCGCTGGCCTTTGCGAAGCGTCAGGGCAACAACGCCTCGACAGCGGCAGCAGCGGAGGCGGGGAACGGCGCGAACGGCACCGTGAATAAGGCGGCCTACGACGCGTTCCCGGCGATTCGTGCCCTGTATGGCAACAAGAAGTACCAGGTGGAAATCGCACCCCTGCTGCGCGAGGCCGCCGCCCGTGACGGCGTCGTCGACCTGCCCGATGACCTCTTCATCGTGAATGTGGCCATCCACACCTCCGACCACGTCGTGGCGGTCATTCCCGATGTGCTGGAGAGCGCGCTGGCGCAGCAAACCTTCCCGTCGTGGCTCTCGCAGTTCGACACCGTCACCTACACTCGCAAGGCCGAGGACCCATCGAGTGGCGAGATGGTCTTCCAGGGCCGTGCGGCAACCATTCGCAACGTGACGGCCTTCCTCGCCCTCTTCACCGTCCGCGCCCGCGCCATTAAGGTGCGTAAGGCCCGCTCGACCGATATCCGAGACATGTGCACGTCGTTCGGCGTGGAGAGCGGCTACAGGGCTCTCTTCGACGAGTTGGAGAAGCTGTTCAAGCGGTACGCGGTCGACTACCACCACCTCACTCTCATCGCCGACGCCGCGACGCACCGCGGGGTGTGGGAGAATTTCAACTTCACGGGTGTGATCGCACACAGTGCGAGTCCGCTCTTTCAGATGACCTTTGCATCGTCGAAGCGCTTCCTGCACACGGCCCTGACGCGTGGCGTGGGGGACGAGCTGAGCTCAATCAGCTCCGCCATCATGGTCGGTGCGCGTCCGCGCGTGGGCACGGCGTGCGTGAAAGTGGGTCAGGATCCGCAGATGCTGCGTGACGTGATTGAGAAGAACCTGGCGTAGATCAGCAAACAAAAAAAAAATTGGTGACGTCGAGGTCGCATGCATCTCTTCTTCGTATTGTCCTTGCCGTGTTGAGGCGCTGCGTCACACCTGCGCTTCTTCCTGTGTGTGCGTGTACTTCTCGCGTGCTGTCGTTCACTCGGCTTCACCTCCCGCCTGCTTTTTGTTTGGTGTGTTGTGGTGCCGATGTCTATCTATCTCTCTATAAGAATTATCTATTCGTTTAAAAATAAGCAACTCTTTGTCTTCGTCTGATGTTACGTGGGCGTTGAAATCGTTCTTTTCCACCTTGTTTTTCTTCCTTGTTAAGCGCGTTTAATAGATGTTAACGGCGGCATTGAATCAAGGCCGCCACCACGTGTAAGTGTATTTGTTGGCGTCTGATGTCGCTCCCTTTGCCGTCGAGATGTGTCGAGTTGACTGTGGAGGAAGAGGCGAGATGTTGGTGAGGCGGGGTGTTGTCTTGCGGGGAGATAAAACCCTCGATGGTGTTGTTTATTATTGTGTGGAGGCTAAACCGACGGGACGCGCATCACACACACACTCTCTTTCTGTCGTTTCTAATATCGCTGATGAATCAATGGTGCTCGCTAACAACATAAGGGAAATCACAGAAGCGGTGTTCTGAGAGCTGTCAAAATGCTCTGGGTTCCTGAAAAGGAAAAGGGAAAAGGTGAGGAAGCAGACATCAGGCGAATAGCTGTCGTGCCACTTGCTGCTGACCGGCACACTCTTCCCTTCACAGTTCTCGCGGAATGGTGGACGTTGATGGGGCGCCGAAAACGGTAACGGGGACTCGTTGACGATATACGCAGAGAGCGTGGGATCTGAGTAAATGACTCGTGGATAGAGATGGATTTGTTTTTCGAGAGACTACGAATGTCGGCTGCTGACTTTGCATAGGCACTTGTACGACACAGTTCGTATTGCTCTCCCGTCATCGCTCCGTTTTCTGCTCAAACCCTTCCCTTTCCTTCTCTTTGTTCTTTTTCTTTTGCAGGGTTTAGTCGTGCGTCGAAGGGAGGACATTTGCCTGCGGCTTGTGTGAGAGTGCCCGTGTTCGTGTTGCCCTTCCTTGTTGTATTTGTTTTTAAAGTACAGGCTAACAAAACTCGGCAAAAGAAAAATACCGGAGTCGTTGTCGTGTGACAAGGTCCTTCCTAAAGCAGCGCATCTGCGTATTACGCAGCTGAAAGAGAAGTCGCGTCACGTTGCGCTATACTTCACAGATCTTCGCATTCCTTTCCGCCGCACCGCTGCTCTCTTCACATACCAGCGCTTTCATTTGGTGTTGTTGTTTTTTTGGTGTACGCATCGAGACTTTTTTCTTTGCCAAAATAATTGCTGCAAGGTGAACTGCAGTTCGACGAAGTACGGAGTTCTTGCTCTCGCTCTCTCCATCAGGAAATCATGCGCTCGAGACGTGCGCTGGTGCGGAGCGTGGTAGACAGCACCGTTGCCCTCTCTGTCGCAGCGGCAGTCGCCGCGCAGCGCCGGGGCCATGTCCAACTCACTTCCATTGCGCACGCGCCTCGTCCGCGCACCTCTGTCAAGACACCAAAGAGTGCAAGAGCCGTCAAGAAGACGAAGGCAGACGACGCGGTAACGTCAACGAAGCCGGGGTCCCTGCCGAGAAAGAAGGAGCGGCCGGCCGTCTCTGCGAAGGTCGTCACGGTCGCTGCGTTCTCTCTGGACGAGGCACTCCCTGTTGTCGCCGTCGACGTGGAAGCGGGCGCGGCGACTACGGGGAGCAACGCAGCGGAAGGTCCGGCAAAGGGGGCAGAGGACGTCGAGGAAGCGGCCTCCGCAAGGGAACAGACTCTCAACCGTCATCAGGACCGCGGTGGGCCACTGAGCCAGGCGGCAGCAGCAGCAGCGGAGTCACCACCACCTTCCATCGCACCCGCCCCTACGATGCAAACTACCGCAATGGATCCGATAGGGCTTCAACGAGCTGAGCAGCGCCGGTTGGTGTCGCTGCAGCGCCGCTTCCTCGTGGGGGCGCATGCGGCGTTGGAAAGCACCGTCGACTGCCCGGATCCCCGACCACTGGTGCCTCGCTTAAACGCAGAGCAGCTGTCGATGGGCGCGGCTGGAGCGGGGGGTGACGGGACCACCCGCAGCAGCGGCACTCTTCTCCACGTACACGAGCCACCTCTCGAGCGACCGAACTCCAACGAGAAACATGTCACGGATGCGGACGCTGGAAGAGAAGGAGGAGGAGCTGCGAGACTGCTGACCGCTGGCGGAGGCCATCGATATCTTTGCTGACACCTTTGCCTTCACCTTACACAGCGTGCCGCTTCGCTTTCGTCGACTGGCGGTGACGACCACCGCTCCATTGGTCGCCGTGGCTGATGCAGCAGAGGTCAACGCTTATGACGCCGTCGCTCCCTCCCCTTCGTCCTCCCCAACGACGCCCGCTGCGTCATCTGCGCTGCCGTTCCTCGCTTCGCCCTTCTCCATCTCCGCCTCGCACATCCTCGCCGCCCGCTCACCTTTCTATCGCGCCGTCGCAATGGAAGGCGTTGCCCCGCTGCACTGGCTGGAGACATCCTTCGAGGAGTTGTGTCGCCGTGTCGTGCAACGCCTGCACGCCGAGCTTCGACACGAAAAGAACAGCGCTCATGAAAGGGACGGCGCGCAAGTCGAAGAGGAGGAAGCGGGAGTACGACGTGAAAAACACGAGCAGCGATTGGCTGCCGTGTGTGAAGCGGTGCGGGAGCAGGCGACATGCCTCATCTCTGCCCTAGAGGGCGCCGCGAAGAGTGTGGGCAGTCGGCCGTTCTTTATGCTGCGCCGGCAGTGGCAGCGGAGCTCTGCCGCCGCTGGTGCCTCAGAGGCAGACACGCGGAAGCGCAAATCGAACCGATCCGCCACCGCGGCGCCGGCGGACACGATGGTGCGAGACACGCTGCTGAACACCGTGGAACGGGTCGGCTTAGAGGTTCACCTCGTGCACGTCTGGCTATCGCGCTTGTGCGAAGAAGGGTCATTCCGTGTAGACGCCGCTCCCGGCAACGACCGCGGCGGTGCTCCTTGTGTGGAGGCGGTCCTTCGCCAAGCACTCGGCTGGAGTGACGACAGCGCCGCCGCCGCAGCGTTTCCATCGGTCGCGCAGCTGCAATGGATGCTGGCGACGGCCCTGCTGGAGCGGGTGCACGTCCAGTCCTACCACTTTCACCACTCGCAGCTGTCCAAGGCTGCGCAGCTGAAGGGCGCGGCCAACGCCGACAGCGCGAGGCCAACGTACGTGGTGAAGGCAGCGCACCTCCCCGGCCTCGCCGCTCTCGTCGACTTTGCCTTGGCGGAGCACGACGCGGAGAAGAAAGATCCGCCTCTCCACGGCGAGATGACGAGCCCGTTTCCTCTGCTGGACGAGAGTCTCTTTATCCTGCTCGCCGCCTTCCACGCGGTGTTGCCGACGTATGCCGTGCTGCTCCCGGCGTGGCAGCGCGCTCTTGCTGTGTCGTCCACTGAGCCCCACCACCAGGCAACTCCTGCACGTAGGGGTATTCCCATCCAGCTGTCTCAGTTAGAAGCTGATGACGGCTCTCGAGTTACTGCGACAGGGACGTACAGGAGCAACGACCGCGACGCCATTCTGGCGGCGTCGCCCACCGCCGTCTGGGACGTCGTGGCGGAGCGCTGGGCCCTGCAAGAAGAGGCCGTGCGACAGGAAGGTGGGCTGGCGGCGGTGTGGTGGCTGCGACTGCTGCCGCTCTGGATAAACACCGCGACCTGCACGTTGCAGCTGCGCGTTGTGGCAGATGTGCTGACGTCGAATGCACAGGACGCCACGAGAGCAGTGGGTGATGATGACGCAGCAATGAGGGTGACGAGCGATGCGGAGGATGATGCTGCTGCTGACGATGGTGCGTGTGATGTGCACCGGCTTACTGCAAACGACGTGGCGGCCTCGCTGGACGCGCTGCTGACCAAATCAGCCGATCTCCTGCGCTACACGCTGCGCTTTGACGGCGTGCGATACGAGCGCTCTCGTTCGACCCCACGCGCCGCAGATCTGCAAAGCCGTCATGACCGCAACCCGCCAAATAGCAGCGGAGTGGCCACGAACGGGGAAGATGGCGAAATGGGCAACAACACGATCATCACAGACGCGGAGGGCAACGTGCGTCGGGGCGGCGAAAACGGCGGCGGCGTGGACGATAACGCCGGTGCAGATGGTGGACTTCTTTCAGGGGCGGACACCCTTCCCCCGCTCCAGCGCAACCGCGGCAAGCGCTCCCTCTTCTACAAACCGCACGACGGCGAGGAGAATTCTATTTTGCACGCGCACGGCGATGCGACGAGCAACAGCAGCGACAGTCGACGCATGCGCTTTGTCTCGCGAGTGCGCAGCAATGCAGGTCACGTAAACAACTCCGCAGCATCCTCGACCTCCCATCACCGCTCGCCTGGGCATCTCTCCGCCGCCTCTGCCGAGGCCCACGCGCGGACCGGCGCCCTCTTCGATGTGCTGGTGCTGTCCGCAGAGACGCCCATTTTGCTGGCCCACCGCTTTGGCCTCACCCGTGCGCATCACCGCAGCACAGCCCTCGAGGATTCGTGGGCGGCCGCTGCGCAGGCGAAGAGCGAGCTGTGGCGGCTGCTGTACGCGCTGCCCTCTGCCGCGGCGGCGGCGGCGGCGGCCACGCGGAACCGCGACGGCACGTGGGGTGCGGCGCCGGTGCTGCGCAGTGTCCTCCCCGCAGCTGTCCTTTCCCTCCTGCCCGCCACTGTTGCCTCCCCAGCGGTGATACCCGCGCCTGGCGACTCGGCCACGTCACCGAAACACAAGAAGACAGAAAAGAAGACTGCGCAGACGGGAGCGGCGGCGAACGACCGCGACGCAGAAAGGGATGCGAACACGCTGCGCCGCGTCCTGTGTGTGCTGGAGCGTGCGCAACGGCTGTTGGGCCTCGTCATCTTTGAGGCCGTCGAGCACCTCCTCGTCGCCCTGGCAGAGGTGCTCTTGCGCATCCAGCACACGGGTCAAAGCCTGGTGCCCCAAGCGCGCCACGGCGCGTTGGACGAGACCACGCCGGCGACGCGTGTGGTGGATCACGACACGCAGCGCGCCACGGTGCAGCTCGCCGCGGTGATCACGATCGGGGCCACGACGTTGTTGGCCGATAACCCGCTTTCGTGGGAGAGCATGAACGCGGCGTGGCAGCTGCGTCAGCTACGAGGTGGAGTCAGCGCAAAGACACTGGGCAAAAGCAAATGCGCAGGCCTGCAGCAGCAGCGGATACAGCCAGCAGCGGTGGCTTCCTCGGCTGCCATGCACGCCTTTTCGGTTCAGTGGACGTCCGTCCTGACGAAGGAAACTCCTTTTCTGGCGCTCCGCAGCCGCCAGAACCCGAGCGCCGCGCTGGCCAACGCGCGCGAGATCTTGAAGGTGCTACAGACGACGTCCACCGCCGCTGCTGCCCTGCCTCTCTATGCGAAACAGGTGTCCGCAGCGGTGCTGCTGCAGAGCCTCACGGCACTGGCGAACTACTGGCGCGGCAGCCGCGACGTGCGTGTATCCAACGCGGCTGCGGCGACACCCCCGCATAGCCGCAACGTGATGCACCAGGAGCTGCTGGAGGTGTACCAAGGGTTACTGGACGTGCTGACCGCAGACGCCGACCTGCGGCTCCTGTGCTGCTACGCTGCATTCGTGGAAGGGCTTTACGAGGTCCATCTTCGCTTGAAGGCCGACCACGCCGCCCTCATCGCCTGGGCGGACAAACACCTCTTGCCGCTGGTGCTGCCCGTCGTGGTGGCGGGGTTGCGCCGCTCACAGGCCTCGCACAACGCCGCTACGCACGCCGACCTGTGTGAGACAACACTGGTGCTGCTGTCCCCGCTGTCGCGCTACGCGGCAAACCCAGATGTATCCTTAGCCGATGTCCTGCGAACGCACTGGAATCAGGTGCTCCTGCACGTGAGTCTCTACTGCATTCGGATGGCCGGCCGCGGCGGGGCAAAGCGGGCCTCCTCCTACGGCATGCCGCCGGTCGTGCTGCCCCGTCTGACTGAGGCTACCCACAGCTCCCTCTCGCTAGCCCCCACCGCCACGCGGTGCTCGGCCGCCTTCGCCCACGGCGCAGAGCCGGTCTTCCTGCGCCTCTTGGACCACAGCAACGGGATCATGCACGGCGCCCGCAGCATCGCGCCACGCGACGTCGACGCGGCCGACGGCATGCGGGCTGCCCTCGCCGCGTACGTGGCGGCGTGGGACACGCAGGTCCGCTTTGGCCGGCACGACTGGGATGCGATGGTGGCCGCTACATCGGAGGATTTCACCTTTTCACCGGCGAGAAACGGCGCAACTTCGGTGCCGACCACGCACGCGCTGCTGACGCGGCTGCAGGCGTCGTGTGCCGCCGTGCAGACTTTCAGCGGCGCCATGTTGCCTGCTCGCGCCGCCGGTGCCGAGGCCACCCCCTTCCTCGCCTCGAAACCCGTGAAGGCCCACCAGCTGGGGTATTTGGTGCGCTTCATGGAGCACTACCTGCGCGAGCAAGAGCGGCTGTCACGCCTGAGCAACGCGGAGATGCACGCGCTGACGACCACCACCGCCACTTCGACGGCCTCGCCGACGAAGGCGCAGTCGTCGTCCACGTCGGCTGCACCCGCAACTGCGAGGGCGTCGCTGGGCGACACCGCGCCCCTCGTTATGCTCGACTTTGTCGGCCACCTCAGCAGTGCCGGCGCGTGGTCCATGGTGATTTGGGCGTGCAACATCGCCGAGATCGTCGTGAAGATCGAGCTGACGCGCAATCGTCTTATCCCCGAGGCGGCGCGTGCCGTGGCCGCCACCGCGATTCTCTCGCAAATTCGAGTGATTCCGCCCGCCCGCCGCAGCTCCGTGCGGCTGCCGGTCAGCCTGATCAAGTCCCTCGTCAGCATGTCGGATGTGATGGGCAGCACTGTCACGTCGTTGTTGGGCTTTAATCGGCGGTCGGTGCTCCAAGGTCTGCTGTGCCACCCCACACGGGACCAGTACCGCGTCTTGACCTTCGGCCTGAAGCAGGCGACGGCGTATGTGCAGATCGACTCGCGGAAGTTCCGCGCCTGGCAGGACAGGACGGCGAGTGTGTCGTTGCAGACCGCCACACCGGTGGCGGCGGCTGACATCGAGCATGCCGGTAACTCTCTCGGAGGTGAATCCAACGAGACTGACGGACAGACGAGTGGAAGCGGTGACGATGCTGCCACCTCGACGATGATCCGCAAGGTGGGGCGCTACTACGCACAAATCTGGAGCGAACATGTCAGCGCACAGAAGGCATCGCAACCAAGGCAACCAGAACACGGGGCAGGAGGCCTGCTGGTAGCGGTCAATGACGACAACGGCGACTTCCGTAACCACATGAGCTGCCTCGTGTGTTTGACGGACGCGTGCATGGAGGCGGCGCAGCTGTACCTGCTCCGGCAACAAGGTGATGGGGAGGAGGAGATTCGTCTGGTGATCGAGGCGGCGGTGATGGAGCTGTGTCGAGGGCTGGCGGCGTGCACGCAGAGCGTCATTTCGCTGACCCGCGAGCAGCTGCAGACGTGCTTCTCTCGCGAGGCAGCGGAGCTGCTGTGGACGTCGCTGTGCGTGACGGCGACGATCAGCACCGTCGCGCCGCGCGATGCGAAGGATCACTTTTTTACGCCGCGGTGCGCGCAGGCGGTGCAGCGACTGTTTCACCTCACCGAACAGCTGATCGAAGTTTTGGTTGGTCAGCGCACACCCATCGCACACGACAGGGAAGCTGTGGAGGATGCAGAGGGAGCGGCGGAAGAGGAGCCAACGGAGACGCCACCGGCAAGCGGTGCAGCATCGGAGGACCCCTCTACGTTGTTGAGTGCCCGGCCGCTGTGTACGGCGCTCGTGCAGGGTGCGCAGCTGCTGCTGCGCGATCCGCGTTGTTCGCAACGGCTGGCAATCCGGATTGCAATGCGCGGGCGCGACCGCGACGACCTGACGGCGATGTTAACCGCCTTTCATGTTTTGCTGACCTCGGCGCGCTTCTACGCACCGGGGCGCTCGCTGCTGTCCGTGGTGTGGGCACGACTGGCACTTGAGCTCACCCAACCGTTACCGGTGTCTGTCACGGCCGCAGGACCGAAGCTCAGCGAGGAAGAAAAGGCCAAGAGCGTGTCGGCGGGCACTGTTCTGATGGCCGCCACGGTGCCGTCGTCCCGCGAGTACAGCGCCATATTGCGGGACTTGGCAGCAACCGGCGCTGAAATGAACGCCGCCGCCATGTCTGCCTCCGCCAGTGCCGACGCGGCCGGTGAGGCAAAGTCGTTGCGCAAAACTGCAGCGTACGACGTGCTGGCGACGGCACGCACAGGCGTCGTCCCGATCTGCGACTTGCCGACGGCGCTCGCGTGCGTGGTGGAGGACGCCGCCGCCATCCAACACGAGCGACGACGCAGCCTGCAGGGCGCGGCAGCGCGTGCGGGCAAACGAAGCGGGGAAGAGGAGGACGGCGCCCAGATGTCGTACGGTCTGTGGGGAAAAGATTTTTCGGCTGCAACAGCGTCGTCCATCACGCAGCCGCACCTCAGCATTGCCGCTGCGCTGGAGAACGGCACCGTACCGTTGAGTGAGGTGATCGATGCGGCCATCATGCACGCCGTCGCCACGGTGCGGGCGGCAGGTGATCGATCTTCCTTCGATGTCGCGGCGGTCGGCGAGGGGGACGACAACCCCGAAGCCGCGATTGGGTTTCAGCGGCTGATCCGCGAGTACTGCCAAGACATGATGGACTTGCTCCTGCACGTCCCGCTGCGTGACCTGCTGCGTCACCCGCAAGTCGAAACGCTCTTCAGCTGCTTGAACCTGCTGCAAGGCTCCGTGCGACCCGAGACAGAGGCCGCGCTGTGGCGGCAGCTGAGTGCAAAGTGGAGGAAGGAGCTGCTCGAGCCGTGCGAGAAGACTTTTCTGACGTTGCAGCAGTCGCAACTGGCGCTCGTGCGGGCCTGTCGTGGATTGGCAGACGTTGGCGATGGCGCAGGCACCGGCGGCTCCATGAGCGCTCCGCCGCCTGATGTGTTGGCGCGCGTCGGCGTACCCGCATCGGCGGCTGCGTTTTCGGCAGAAAAATCGATGGCAGCGACGAGTGTGTCTGCCGCCGCACACCAATCCATGCGTGACCATTGGCACCCCGCGATGCACAACCTCTCGCACCACGATGACGGACGGCGGCTGGTCAGCAGCAGCCATTTCAGCAGGGAGCGCAGTCACAATAGAAAAGCGAAGGGCACCACGGACGGTGCTGCCCCGCCGCATGAAGCTTTCCCTGGGGAACTGGACAGGGAGGCAACCGGCCTGGCCGCCCTTGCCGCGATGCCGGATCCCGTGCCGGTGCCCGTGCTGCTTTCCATCCTTAAGTCGCTGCACCGCAAGCGCAACGATGTAACTCTGTCATCGGCACCGGCGCGTCGCGGCCGCACATCGGGTCTCCACCCCAACGAACACGCGGCGTGGCTTGTGGAGGGTGGTGGCAGTGGAAGCAGCGGTGACGGAATCTCGCAAAACGCCGCCGCCTTGACAGAGTTCGTGGAGGTGGTGCTGACGTACACGGCGCGCACGTTTTGGCTGCTGCGTCCCCGACTGGACGACAACGCGTGGCTGGCATGGGCGACCGTGGAGCGCAGCATGGCCGTCTACCCGGCGGAGAACGGTGTGCGGCAGCAGGCGTGGGAGCGCGTGTGCCGACAGTGGCGGTTGCCAACGAGCCTCGAGCACGCAACGGTGGTTGCCGGGCAGCTCTTTTCGTCGACGGAGCGGCGCCGCATTTCTGCGTGGATGGCGGCGATGGGCGAGGTGTGTCCTGCCGTGGCGGTGGGCAGCGAGGAGGTCGCCGTCTACCGCTACCTTCGCTCCACTGCTCTTTACCTGCAGCTGCTGACCGTGTCGATGGCTCTCCTCGTCAAACACCGCATGTTGGGCGATCTGCCGTACGCCTCGCCTGATGTGGTGCGTCGACGTCTGCAGACGCAACTGCAGAGACGCAATAACAGTGGTCGCAATGGGCAGGACGAGAGCACCGCGCGTGCGCTCGTGCAGGATGCGCTACGCCAAGAGTTGAAGCGACTCGCGCAGGACCGGCAGACGCAGCAGGACGGCGTCAACCGCAACGTGTTTGAAGGCGCCGCGCTGCAGTACCTGAATGTGTCGTGGTGCATCACCCGGCACGCGGACTCGCTCACGCACATGGCAACCGATGTCATCATCGCGCAGTTGACAGACGCACCTATCGTCAGCAGCGGAGCGGCAGCGGCCGCCTCGTCTGCCAGCCCTTCCGCCCTCATCAGCTACGCCGACGACGTGCGGTTTATGGTGACCGGCGTGTTGCAGGAGACGCTCGATACGTTCCTGTGCGTGCACGAGCGGCTGCCCATGCCGCTGAGCGCGTACGTGACGCAGACCTTGCTCACCAGCGGCTTCTCCTGCGACCCTCTCTATCTCCGCCAGCCGTACCCTGACAGGACGTCGCAGGCAAAGGGCGGCACATTGTCTGCTGCGAGTGTTGTGGCGGCGCTGGTAAACGCGTCCGATAACGCCTCCACTGTGGGGAGTAGCGGTAGCGGTGCCGCAGCTGCAGCTTCCACCGCGATGTCGAGCGCAGCGTCGGTGTTAAGCCCGGTCTCCCGAGTCGAACTCTTCGTGGGCAGTCCCACCATGCTCGCCGTGCTGACGCCCCACTTCATCAAGCGGACCGTCATGATCGGCCTGCAAGATAGCACCTCTGCGGCCGAGCTGCTGCCCGTCACGTCCGCCCTCGAAAGCTACCTCTCCCGCCGCAACGTCCCCCTCTCGCCGCTGCTGGAGGCGACGACGGAGTTGCTCACGAGCAGCCCCGTTCGCAGCAGCGCCGTGCACACGTACTGCGAGCGCCTGGCGGGTGCGCTGACGAAGCGGAAGGAGTTCCGCCAGGCCCTGGCGCCACCCACCATCGCCTCCGTCGAGCAAGGGGCGGCGGGCTCTATTTCGAATGAGGTGGTGATCTCCTTCGTCGCCGCCATCGCCCGGCAGGACGTCCACGTAACGAAGAAGACTCTCGCGCACCTCCTGCACGCCGTGATGACGATGCGCCTGGACGTCTTTGGACAGCCACCGACGGCGAACCGGCAGGGGAAGCTGACCTTGGTGCAGGTGGGCACCACCGTCGAGGCGACAATTGACACGACCAACCCCCTCTACGCACCGACGCGACACGCACACGCCGCGGCAAAGGAAGGCGTGGCAGGCGACAGAGGCAGCGAGAAGCGTGCAAGCGACTCGCTTGGAGATGACGCGGCGGCGGTGATGGCGGCTTTCAGCGCGGACAAGTGGGCCGACTTCACGGCCATGACGCACCGCAAGGCCCTCGCGGACCTGACGATTCCCCTGCCGACCATTGTGGAGGTAGCGATGCACATGGAGGCGATGCGTCCGTTGGAGTTTGCGGAGAGGCGCCGCGCGACGCAGATGCTAAAGGCCGCCGATGACGCGCGCCGAGAGCGGGTGGCGATGCACCGTTCGCAGGCGCAGGTGGCTGCGACAGCCGCCGTGCAGGGACGGGCGGTGAAGGAAGAAGACGACTCAGAGACCGAGGCCAACGCGGGACGGAAAGCGAAGGCGACTCGTGCCGAAGTCGCACAGGTGGGAAAGTTGGACGCCTCCCTGCACCTCGAGGACCCCCGTGATTTCGGGGTCATCATGCTGCACCTGCGCTACGCCCTGCGCAAGGTGGTACACGCCTCTCTGCGGCGCCTGCTGCACCAGCAGGGCCCGCGTATGCTGGCCGAGGTGGCGACGATGCTGGAGATGGTGGATTCCGGGATGCGATCGAACGCAATGAATGCCAAGGGCGGCACGCCGCACCGCATCCACAGCAGCGGCGGCGGAGAGTCGACCGCGTCGTTTGGCGCAGATGACCGTCCCCTGCTCTACGACGGTGTTCTGGCTGGCACGACGCGGGTGCTGCTGTCCCGTGCAGTGCTGTGTGCGCAGGCCATTGGCTACGACGCGAACGGTGCCCCGATCGAGCTGCCGCCCCTCTCCTCACATCGCGCCGCCGCCGACACGGCCGAGCCGCTGGAGCGGCAGTCGGTACTGAAGCTTCCGGTGCCCGCGCTGCAGGCATCCGCCGTGGAGGCAGCGATATCTGCCCTCGGTACCGGGAAGGGCCGTCACGCCCCGGTCGGCCACAGCTCTGGAAAGATTGGACAACTCACAAAGGAGGAGAAGGCGGCGGTGTACCAGCGCGTAGAGTTGGAGCGCGAGGCCGCCGTGACGGTGGGGCTGTCGACGCTGGGCGTGCCGTGGCGGAGTCAGCAGCGCATCTCACGTGCCCTGCGTTACACGAGGCGGCAGCTGCAGCTTCGAAAGCAACGCAATGCGTACAACCGGCGTCGATACGCACAGCGCACGTCCTCCGCGTTGGCCTCTCCTTCGCCTCCCTTTGCTGCTACCGCTGGTGCTGCCGCCTAACCGTCGTCGTCATCATTCAGACTGCCTCGTGCCTCGTCACGTCAGTACTGGTGACAAGTGGAGGGAGGGGGGAGGGAAGAACACAGGGTTCGTGCGTGAGCGTATTCATGGGTTTTTTGTTTGCTTGTTGTTTTGCTGGAGGGGGGGGGGGAAACGGGGTTGTCGTCTTTGGCATTTGGTAGGTTGACCGCCACCCGTGCGGTACGGCGATGTACGTCGCGGTGCCAAACGGCAAGCGTGATTGTAATGACTGACGTCTTCACAGTAAAGAATAATGCAAGCATGACAAATAATAATAATGATGAGGTACGTGAAAAAGTGAAGGGAGGAGCGGCATCGAAAGGTGCTGTTGGCTCTGCGAAAGGCACTGCGTCCCCCTCTTCTCAAGTCACGCCCAATAAGCTGACTTCGTCAGCGGCACTGGGACGCAAGAAGTCAAGGCGCACGAAAGGCGGACGAAAGGCTGTCACGGCCACTTCACAGGTAACGAGGAGCTGGGCTGTGATGAAGAGGGAAAAACAAAGGAGGAGATGCTTCGACCATCAATGCGACGAATGGCGGCTGCGATGCACCTCAACTCGTTCTCACCTTTCTCCTCTCTGTCGTTCGTTCCTCTTCTCCACCTTCTTTGGGGGTCTCTTCTATTTTCTTTCTTTGCTTCTCAAACAAACAAAAATCTGTCCGCGATTGTCGACAACCGCGCCGCAGCCGTTCACCACAGTGACACCTTCACTGAACTCCCTGTCATCGCCGGTAGACCGCGAAGGCAGCGTTGCATTAACATAGGAAACACAATAAGGAGGAAAAGCGAAGAGGCAGCACGGCGGTGTCTTTGGCAAAACCCACCGCGAAGTCGATTGCTTTCGCTCTCCCGCTGCTTCTCCCTTTGTCTCTCAAACCGTCATACACAGCAGCTTTGTGTTGTTTTATTGTTTCGCTGTCTATTGGGTTTTTTGTTGTCTTCTTTCTTTAACCATTCCTCTGTTAAAGCAGCGGCCACGCTGTCATCGCGCCAGCAGAAGTCGGCACTGTCTGAGACGGTGCGGTTGCTTTCGTTGCTCGCTCTTCTTTTGCTTCTTCAGTGGGCTTCCAGCACGCACCACAAGACCGAGCATCGTACGTCTGTCTTTCTATTACTTCCCTCTTTTCTCACGTGTTTTTTTTTCTGGATTTTTGGAAGCGCCGCAGCCGCGTAGTCGCGTTCGAATTAGAAGTGGAGAATAGCGAGCGCGTTGATTGATGGGAGTTGTATACACACGGGCTAGCGCAATCTTGTAAACGCAGCGCGGCGGGCAGGCTTCTACTGGAGGAAGCCTGTCTTCGTTTTCATACTAATATATATGTAAGCGCTCCGCGCACCCATCTCCGTAGCTCTAAACAACACAGATATAACCTTTTTTCCCCCTTTCTCTTTTAAAAAAGCTTTCGTGTTGTGCTTGCAGACTTTTTTGTTTGTTTGTTTTTGTTATTTGGGCCCAGATTTCTTTTCATTGTTTCCCTTTTCATTCTTATTCAGATTCTTTTTTCCCCTTTGCGAGTCTCACTAAGAGAGAGAGAGAGAGAGAGAGACCTCGTTTGTCTTTGTTTTCCCAGAGTGCTTTGGATCTGCATTTCTCTTCCTTCCTTTGTTTACTTCACGTACGACTGGAGAAGGGTGCCATCTGCCGCAGCGTCCTTTTTCTTTCTTCTCTCTGTCCTTTTCATTTCAGCATCGCTGGCAAACTTCGTCAGCGAGGGAATTACCGCGCCACTTCTTTCGTGTTGCGCCTGCTGCGCTCTCTATTCCTTTTGAAAAGAAAATTATTGTGGATCGCTTCTGCGTTTCTTTATCTGCCCTTTTTCTTTGTTTTTTTTTCCCTCGTGATGCAAAACCCTCTCCCCCGAGGACCGCCGTCCGCGCCGGTATCTGGCAGAATCACACCACCCAACACAATGGACGAGGAGAACGCGGTGACGCCCAACCGCCTCGACAACAGCCTGCATCGCCGGCGCAACACCTGCGGGGCACTGCCGGAGCTCGTCGTCGCGAAGCCGCCGCTGTTCGAGGTGCTCGGGGCCTCGAGTGGGCCGCGCCACGCCAACACGATTCGGCGCAGCACTGCGCCGGAGGTGAACTGGCATACCCCGCCGGCCTCTATGAGGAACTCGGTGGAGAGGGCAACGATTGCCACGCACGCCGCGAGCGAGCCGCAGCACACCACGGCGAGCCGCCCACCCCTCAACCCGTCCACGGCGTCACGTGGGCCGCCGGTGCTGCCGCTTGTTGGCGGTGCCGTACACACCAACACGGCGATTGCTCGGAGCGCGCGGCTGCCACTAGCCGTGAGCCCCTCTCCCGCCAGCTCCACCGCCTCTACTCCGCGAGCCAGCCATCCAGCCACCAACTGGAATGGGCGGCCGTATCCTCCTACGGCGGGATCCGCTGCTGCTGCGACTGCTTCTGCATCGTTGTCCGACCCGGCGCCTACCTTGTCCTCTCGCAAGGCGGGGCTCGCAGCGGAGAAGCTGGACTCGCCAACAGGTATATCAACCAACAAAACCGGCCCAGGCGGCCGTGCATCCACGACACCTTCTTCTCCTCCAACGGCAGCCGCAACGACAACAGCAGGCCGCAATGGCACCCCACCACACGTACGGGAAAAGAGGCAGCTCAGCACCGCGATCAAGTCTTTCAATCAGTGTCTCTTAGAGGAAAGTGAGAAGGAGCGGGCGCGGCTGAGTCGCCACAGCAGCCGCACCAACTCGCGAGCAACCTCGATGTCCGATCTCACGGTGTCGAGAACGCAGCCGCCATCGGCGAGCCCGTCACCACCGCTGAAGCCCACCCCCCCCAATGCCACCGAGCCGTCGCCACAGCAAAGCCCCCGCGACAAGACGACGGTCGGTCGGCTCTCGTCGAACGCGGTGCGCGCACCGCCGCAGGTGGGGAGAAGCACCGGACCTGCCCCGGCGAGCTCTCCACCCACCTCCACCTCTAAGACACCGGTAGGCACGGGACCAAAGCCCGCTCCGGCGGCTGTGTCTCTGGTGCCCTCCACGCAGTCTGTGAAGGCTTCTGCCACATCCTCACCTCCAAGCCACCCATCCCCGCCACCGCAGCCCCCGGTGAAGGCACCAGCAAAAGCTTCTACCTCTTCCCGGCTCAGCGGCGGGGCACCGCACGTGCCGCTAAGCACCACGGCGAACACGAATGGCTCCTCGCCGTTTATTAGCATCTCAAGCAGTAGCATCAGTAATAACGCTCCTGCAAAGAAGACGACGCCCCTCACGGCGGCGACTCTGCCGTCCCGCTACGCTGACTACTACGACGACGAGGCGAGCAAGACGCCACCGCAGGCCACGCCGACCTTGCCTAAAAATCCGGTCTTCAGCGCGGTGGAGGTGAAGTCCCCCACACCGCTGACGTCGCTCACCACCTCCGCGCGTCGCGGTCTGCCAGGCTTTGCGGCCGTGGTGGGTGACTCGAAGAAGGACAGCGGGGTGACGGACGTGCCCTTGTCGGGCCCCCCGCAAAAACAAAGTGCGAGCACCAACAACCCTAATGGCAGCAGCACGAGTGGCGGCGCACAGTCCTCTTCACCGCGAACGGCACCACCGCAACAGCAGCCACAACAGACACAATCCGCGCCGATAAAAGCACCGGTGATCGGCATGGTGAACAGCCACACGCTGGACGACCTCGACGACGCTGCCGAGGACGCCGCCACGCCGACGGCGGGAGAGGCGCGCAAAAACAACGGCGTGGCCACCACCGCCGGCGCAGGACAGACCGTTGCAGCAGCAGAGGGGGCAGTTACAGCGGCCAAACACGGCGAGCATAAAAATCTGGTGAGGGATGACGATCCATTGGACAGCGGTGACAGTCTCAGCCCACTCCAGCAGTATCACCCTGCGAAGACGGCGTCGCTGCCGGGTAGCTCAAAGAAGATAAACGGCAGCCTTCCCGCGCCGGTGATCGCCAACAAACGCGCCCAGCCATCGGCAACGTTACCGTTCACGACGCTGGCCGTCTTCAGTTCACAGGACAATTTGCAGACGGTCAAGGGTGACAGCCCACTCACCGCGTCTAAGTCAGGGCCACCACCACCACCACCACCAGCAGCCGCAGGAGCAAAGGCCACCGGCTTCCCTCGCAGCACCCCACAGCCTATCCCCACGACGGCGACGGTCCGCGTCATCGCCGCCAACAAGAGTGACAGCGGTAGTCAGGTTTCGCCTGCGCCGTGGCCGGTGCCGACAGCGTCGGCGTCCCCACTCACGCTCGCCAACGGTGTCCACGCAATCCAGCACCGGCCGAGTTCGGCGTTGACCCGAAACGGGCGCTACGCCACCAGCCGCAGCCGGGACGGGCAAGGACCTCTCGGCAACGGAGACGCGTACTCGCCCTCGAACTTGGACGGCAGCGCAACCGGCGCGGACGCGGAGGCTGAGGCCGCCACGCTCTGCACGTACCTGAAGGAGGAAGAGCTGAACCTCTCCATGTCCACCTTCAACAGCGTCGGCCCTACCCTCGCCCAATCCCTCAACCTGCGGGTGCTCAACTTAAACGGCAGCACCATCTCCAGCGAGGGCCTGCGCGGACTGGCGAACATCCCCACGCTGCGGTCCGTCTGCGTGTCTCACATGCGGAACCTGACCTCCCTCAAGCCGCTCGTGACGCCCACCGTTGCGGGGGCGCGTTGCACCATTGAGGAAATTGACGCCCAGTTCTCCGCCATCAGTAACGACGGTGTCCAAGGCGTGGAGAAGGTGCGTCGTCTGCGCCGGCTCGATTTAAGCATGACGCCCGTCAGCGACGTCACGTGCCTCGCTGGCAGCGTCTCCCTCAGCGACCTGTACCTCACCGGCACGCGGGTGGACAGCGCGGGCGTGGCGGGGCTGGAGAGGGTGCCGACGCTCATCACGCTCAACATCGCCCGCACCAAGGTCACGTCCCTCGCCCAGCTCGCCAAGTCGCGCTCGTTGCAGACGCTCATCCTGTACAGCTGCCATGTGAACGACGCCGGCTTCGTCGGCGTTAGCGAGATGCCGCGGCTGGCCACGCTGGACGTGAGCACCACCAAGATCGAGGACCTCTCCGTCCTGCAGAAGAGCCGCACGTTGAAGTCGATCAAGGCGCAATGGCTCAGTCTGAAGAACTGTCAGGACATCATCCAAGAGCGCCGCTCGCAGATGGACGGCCCACCGCCGGGGGACTCGATGGAGTGGCGCGACACGGAGGCCGGCTTTGCTGGTTTGGCCGCCATCGCCACCCTCGAGACGCTTGACCTCTCCTTCAACACCCTGCACAGCGTTCACTCGCTGTGCCGCAGCAAGTCTCTCAAGCACCTCTTCCTGAAGCGCACTCGGATGGAGAACAGCGGCATCGGCAGCATCGCCCAGCTGGCCCCTACTCTGGAGACGCTCGTCATCACCAACTTGGCCGACAGCCTGGACGACGAGGACGACGAACACGAGGTGGAGTCGAACACGAGCGGGCTGCTCAGTGTGATGGGCGACATTCACCTGCTGCTCCACCTCACCTCCCTCGACCTGTCCTTCACCGACGTCTTCGATCTCCGCCTCCTGCAGAACCTCCGCACCCTGAAGGAGCTCATCATTGTCGAGACGCTAGTCACCGTTGACGGCCTGCGCGGTGTGGAGAAGATCCCCTCGCTGGAGCTGCTTGATATCTCGCAGACGAGCATCGTGTCCTTGCAGTTTCTCGTGGGCGGGGCGCCGACCCTGAAGACGATCCTTGCCCGCTCAAACCGCAACACGAGCGGGTTTGTGCTGGGCCAGGTGCACAAGCTGCCGGCGCTGGAGCACCTGGACGTGAGCGACTCGGTTGTGGAGGACATGGAGAGTGTGCCGAAGCAGTCCTGGCGCTTGAAGGAGCTGGTCTGGCGCTGGGGCGAGCGTCGCGACAACAAAGGGTTGGCGCCGCCGCTGGAGTGCTGGGTGACGTCGCCGCGACTCGTCGGGTTGCGCGAGATGCCCTGTCTCTCCCTGCTCGACCTCACCAGCAGCCGTGTGCACGAGCTGTCCTTCCTCGCGAAGGCGCCGTGCCTGAAGACGCTGAACCTGAAGCTGTGCAAGCTGCTGCGCAACAGCAGCATCAAGGAACTTGGATCGCTGGCCGCGCTGGAGGTGTTGCAGCTGTCGGACAACGCACACATCACCGACGTTACGTGTCTGCGCAGCTGTCGAAAGCTGCGTGAATTGCAGCTCAACAACACGCGTGTGAGCATGAGAGGCTTGGAGGAGGTGATGAATCTGCCGGAGTTGAAGGTGCTGAACATCGTGAACACGCGGGCTGAGGACGAGGCGATGAACAGCGGCGTCGCGACGGAGTGCAGCCGCCTGCTGGAGGATTCGAACCTGCGCGACGGCAGTGCCGTACTGGACAACACGGCGACCCCGGCACAGTTCCGCGTGCCGCGTCGCCGGCGGGTGTCCTTCATCGTGAGTGACGGCGGTGAAGCCTCCTCGAAGGCGTCGCCGCTGTAGCAGCTTTTTCTTCTGCATTCCATTCGTTTGTTTCATGTTGTTCTCTTTTTGTTGATGTCGTCAACGTTATTATATTATTTTTGTCTTGCTTTCTGTTTCGTAGATTCCTGTGGTGGGGGTGGGGGTGTTTGTTGCGTCCGTGATGCATCCGGGTTTTTTTTTTCTTTCCTTCTTCTTCCCCTCTCTCTTTCTCGTCCCACTCCGCTGTGCTTCTTCCTTTCGAGTCTTGCGGCGGGCGCACAGCTGATGTTGATGGTGATGTCGTGTATTGACGTGTTACGCATTCGTTTATGTGTTTATATATATATGTGGGGTTTTTTTTTTGCTTCCTTTCCATTTCCATTTCTCTCTTCACTCATTCTCCTTTACTGGGCGGCGAAGATGGGTGGCACGTGGGCAGAAGAAAAGGAAAGGTACTTGAAGGTGTCAGAGCACACGGAACGAGCAGGCGTTTGAATGCGCGTTCAAGTGTGTGAGCATGTGTACCGGCTACCGCTTCTGGATATGCATATATCTTCTTCTCTTTCCTTTTACTGTTGCAATATATATATATATATATATCCACAGAGTTGCTGGTGTTCGAGTTGACGTTCCCTCCTTGATCTGTTCTCTTGTACCTCCCCCTGCCGCACCATCTTCGACCACGTAATCAGCCCCCATTCACATCTCCTTTCCTTTGTGTCTTTTCGGCCTTTTTCTTTTCTTCTTTCTCTCGTGCTTCCCTTTGCTTCTTGTGTATCGCGACCACTACTAATCCTCTGTTCTACGCGTCTGTAGTCTTCTTTTCATTATTATTATTAATATATATTTACACATATATTTACAACTATATGTAAATATGTGTATTTACCCAAGTGGGTGGTTTCTTTCTCCCTCTCCTCACTGTTTGTTTCGACTCGCCACTTCTCTAATGTCGCTTTTCCTTTTTCATTGTTGTGGCGTGTTGATTGACTTAAGAACTGTGCGTTGCGGCTCCTCTCATTGCTTTCCTTCGTCGTTCTTGTTTCTTCTTCTTTTTCCTCTTCACTGGTCCGACGTGGCCGCTACGATCTCTTTCCGAGCCGCAATCGCAGCTGTGTGGCTGTCTACTTCAGGAGCGTACATCTCTTAGGTGGTTTGCTGTCTCTCTCTCTTGTGGCGTTGCAGTTGTTGTTAGGCGATCATGCCTGTTCGCTAAAAGAAGAAGAAAACGCCTCCACACAAACAAGGGAGGGTTGGACGCCGGACAGATGGACGCCATAGTTGAAAAGAGAAAACACACTCACCAGGAAATCAAGAAGGAAAGAAATGCGGAAAGGTGTCTGCACCGCAGCCGTTATGCGGGGGAAGAAGTGAATGACGTCGACAGCGTCTACTGCCGGCGCACTTAGCACGGCGTCGCAGGATTGGCCGCTCTCACACAAACTCACTCACGCACACACACACGTTGTTGCCGGAATGACGTGGAGTACGACAACAACGAGACAAAAAAGAATTGCACCGGTAGTGGGAACTTCTCTTCTGTGACGAAAGGCTGAATAGTCATCGATGCGTCGCGCCGGTCACCAATACCCCACGGTGAAAACGAATGGAAGAGGCGGGTAGAACCTCTTCTCATTTTCTCTTCTTGCGGATGCTATTCTCCCTCCCTCCCCTCCCCCCCCCCCCCGGCCTTGATCATTGTCCATATCTGATATGTTGTCGCCTTTCTTTATCTTACCTGTGCGACAGTATCCCCACAACTCCTCGCACAATCCCTTCTCGCGCTGTTCAGCCAAGCTGTCCTCCTTATCACCTTAACTCATACCTTATCTGACTACTCGCTCACGGCACCATGCCGCCGAAGGCTCGCGCTCCTCTGCCCCCCGGTGATGCCGCTCGCGGCGAGAAGCTCTTCAAGGGCCGTGCGGCCCAGTGCCACACCGCCAGCCAGGGTGGTGCGAACGGCGTGGGGCCGAACCTGTGGGGCCTCGTCGGTCGCCACTCCGGTACGGTCGAGGGCTTCGCGTACAGCAAGGCCAACGCCGAGTCCGGCGTCGTCTGGACTCCGGAGGTGCTGGACGTGTACCTGGAGAACCCGAAGAAGTTCATGCCGGGCACGAAGATGTCGTTTGCCGGCATGAAGAAGCCGCAGGAGCGCGCCGACGTCATTGCGTACCTGGAGACTCTCAAGGGCTGAAGCGCTCTGATGCATGTACTGACACCTGTTCGATAGGAGTCTTGCGGGGTCACACACACGTGCAAACGCGCATACAAGCCCGTGACTTTGTGTGCCCATGCGAAGCGTATAAGTAATCTAGAACAATTGGAAAAGGGGAAGAGTCAAGAGAGAAGGAGAAGCAGCGCACGCAGGCCTCTTCATGCATCACAAATTAGCTACGCGTGAAGAACGCGTGTCTCTCTCTCTCTTCGGGGCAACGCGGCACGAACTTAGTTTTGAAAAGTTGGATGTCTTCTTTGTAGTATTATTTCGACTATCTCCCGTTTCCTCCTCCTTACATCCCCTCTGGTTATTCGGTGACGTCGTACTCATCTACTTAATTCGCCTTCCCGCACAGCATCGGACGTACGCACACCGCAAACGTGGGGGGGGGGGACTCATGTTGTTGTTGTTTTGCGGTGTTGGCCACGACCTTCCGAAGCGCGCTGTTTCTTGCTCTTATTCTGGGCGTTTTTGTTTGTCGCGGTGGTTTGTGCGGTCTCGCCGGGTCCCATCGTCGGTGCACGCGTGTGAACAGTGGAGGCGCTCTTCTGGACTGCTGGACGTGAGGGCCACACGTGATGGACGAGGGGCACAAACAGCCGACGGTGAAGAGCGCTTCAACAGAAAACGAGAGGGGTGGGACGGGAGATGTTGAAATACGGATGACCCACGTGTGCGTCGTAGTGACGATAATTGAGGAGGAGGAAGGGGGAAGAGAGGGAGGACGAGAGCAGCTGGAAAGGAAGGGAAAGCGAAACATGAAAACTAGGCGACGGCAGAACGCCACCTCGAACAATCAACTGCCGCGTAGCATGTCCATCTGCTTTTCGCGTCTTTTACGTGTTACTCTGGGTCCCTCCCTCACAATACTTTTTTCCCCCAGATACGATACGCACCTACTGTTGTCTGTACTCGCGTTTTTGGTTGGTTCGCTTGACGGGGGGGGGACACGGTCTTCTTTCTTAGATGTTTTGTTAGTTTTGTGTTTGCAGTCGTCGCGAAAAGGCCACTGTTCTCTGCTTGTAGTATTGCACGTCGCGTAGGTCTTCTCCTTGCGTGACGGTGCGTATATATATATATATATATGTATGTATATGTATGTGTGTGTGTGTGTTTCGGTGATGGTTTCATTTAAGGGAACTTCTGTGATCAATGAACTCACCCATGAGTGACAGGGAAAAACTGTTTTCCGTCTTTGTCTTTCAAAGAGAGTACATACTGCAGCTTTAGGAATTCGCACACGGGTACATCTCTAACACACACACACACATACATATACATATATAACATTTAGCCAATCACATCTAAAAGGGAAAAAATAACGGCGAAGCTGTTTTCCTTTTACTCCCGTTCTTCTCTCCCGTTGTGGTTTTACGGCTCCCCCGCCCGGGCCCGTCCCCTTCTGCGCATAGCGATTGTCTCTTCCTAGCCTTTTCTTTTATTTTTCCTTATTTAACTCGCATCTTGACCGTTAAGGCCAAGCGCCGCGGTTTCCCCCCGTTGTGCGGGCAAACGTGGTGATGTGTCGTTGCAAGAGTGAAACAAAGCGCGGCGCAGAAGGTGAAGAGAAGGAAAGAAAAAAAGGTTTCGGCGGAAACAGCGGAGTGCACCGTACGCTGCATAATATTTGTTCGTTTGTTTTTCTCCTCCTCAGCCGGCCGCTGCTGGTGCGGTGGTGGTGGTTATTCGCTTTCGCAGTCGTTGATTTGTTTACCTTTTTTTTTCTTCAACGTTTTTTGTATTTTGAGGAGAGTTTCGCCCGGAATGCATCGAGGTGTAGCGCGCATGCGTACAGTCGCCACCATCACCCCTCCCCCTCCGTGGAAACCGTGTTGGTGCCACTGTGCAGTGTGCTTAGGTGGGTTATTCACACACTTTCTTTTTCTAAGCCATTTCATGCACACACACACACACACACACACACACACACACACACACATACAGACGCGGATACGCGTACGCTAGGAGGGAATATTCGCAAAACAAGTTAAAAAAACATATATATATATAAGAAAATCAAGAATTCTTTTCTTTTATTTGACTTTCACGAGCGTTGAATCACACGTGTGCATTACGTCGGACAACACACCGTCCATGTGCTTGCGCTTTACGTACTGTGAAGGGAGTGCCCTTTCTTTAACGGGCCTCATGCTTGCATGTTTCTCTCTAGACGCACCCGCACACGCACGTGTCAGCGAAATGCGTGCGGCGGACGTTGGAACACTAAAGTTTTCCCTCAACTCTTCTCTCAACGCTTTTCATTCTTTTCTTTGTCCTCTTCGTTCTTTTCGGTGTTGCTGGGGTGCGTGACGTACTCTCTCGCTCGCTGGTGATGCGCCACGAAACATACCGACAACGATCATCGACCGTTTCTCTCCTCTTCCTCCCTCCGCAGATTAGTCTCGCTCGTAGGACTTTCCGTATTATTATTATCTCCTGTGTCTACACAGAGCTCTAACTCTCTTCTACGAAACATGCCGCCGAAGGCTCGCGCTCCTCTGCCCCCCGGTGATGCCGCTCGCGGCGAGAAGCTCTTCAAGGGCCGTGCGGCCCAGTGCCACACCGCCAGCCAGGGTGGTGCGAACGGCGTGGGGCCGAACCTGTGGGGCCTCGTCGGTCGCCACTCCGGTACGGTCGAGGGCTTCGCGTACAGCAAGGCCAACGCCGAGTCCGGCGTCGTCTGGACTCCGGAGGTGCTGGACGTGTACCTGGAGAACCCGAAGAAGTTCATGCCGGGCACGAAGATGTCGTTTGCCGGCATGAAGAAGCCGCAGGAGCGCGCCGACGTCATTGCGTACCTGGAGACCCTTAAAGGCTGAAGCACGCGAAGCATCTTATAATAAAACGGATGCCGCAAGAAGCGCCGTGGAGGTGAAAAGGAGGCCGCGAAAGCGACGGTGCAAGAACCTGTAGCACAATGCACTCTCTCCCGCTCGCCGCCTTTCCCTTTAAAAGAAAAACCAAAATTAAGACAAAAAGAAGAACTTGGCAATGCGGTTTTTACTCCCGCCGTTCTTTGTTTGGCGATTTCGCTTCACAAACAATCTCTTTCGACGATTTCTTTTTTTAACCCTTTTTATTTTCCCTTTTGTTTGTCTTTCTCACACCTTAGTACTCTTAGCCCTCGTGGTTTTTTAAGTATGATTTCTCTTTGGCTTTTTTCTTTCTTTCTTTCCTTCTCTGTATCACTGAAGTACGTTTCTGTCCTCCTCTCCCTCCTCCTCGTTGGTGTCTGTGTGTGTGTGGTGAGGGAGATAAAATGGTACTACGCCACCACACGCCCGACAAGTCGGAGGGACTCCTTGACGATGAACGGCTCGCCGCAACACTGCGAAAGAAAAAGATATGTTTGTACCCCGCACTTCGTTAAACGCAGGCACAGCAAAGAACACCACACAAAAAGAGAAGTTGCATTCGCAATCAGACGTCAAGTGCTTGTGAAGATGATAGCTGAGAAGACAACGAGGTGGAGCGCAATCCAGGATTCTCCCTTGATAAGGAGAATTGGTGTTTCGCGCGCGCTCTCCTCGAGCTTGTGTGTGCCATCTCCGTCTATATTATTGTTTTGCGGTTCGTTTGCTTTGTTTCGCGTGGGTAGCGAAGGCAGTTGTGTGCGTGGGCGTGGGCGTGGGCGTGTGTGTGTGTGTTCGCAAAATCACACTACCCCGGTTCATTGAGCTGTAGCTCTCTCTCTCTCTGTCTCATTTTGAATTTGTTTACGTACGTGGACGGGGAAAAGAAAAAGGCCCAAAAAAGGACAACATAAAAGGTTTGTGTGTGTGTGAGTGTGCTTCACCTCCCTTCACTGTCCGTTTAGTGTTTGTGGTGTTTCTTGATTTTTTCTTCTTCTTCCTGAGAGAGAGAGGATGGAATCCACGTGGTCAGCATACTTATATACTAAAAACATGTGTGTGTCAGTGAACAGAACAGAAACGAAAATCAACGGAAGGAGGTCGTTTAGTTAGCTCATTAGCACGTTAAGAACTGGTAAGAAACGAGTAGGACAAGGTGGTGGTGGCGGCGGCGGGCAACGGCAACGGCAATGAAGAGAAAGGGAAAAGGCGAAGGAAAACCGGTGTTTGCGGTCCAGACCGACAAAATCACCTACGAGAGGTCTCCGTGACACGCTTTTTCTTTTTCTTTTTTAAATTACGCTTCGATGAGGAATGCCCGCCTCTACCCCACTGCAGCGTCTCCCCTTTATGGTGTGGGAAGCGTGTGGCGGGGTCCCCCTCCCCCTCTCCCCCCTGGCATGAAGATTATACGCCTGGGAGGGCACGCGCAAGACTGGCACGCGTGGCCCGTTGAATCGAAACAGATGGCTACCTAACCGCAACGCTGCTCCCGCGCCTCATTCTTTTTGTGTGTATGTGTTGTGTGTTTCGTTTTCTGACTCCTGCGCCCTCACCTTTTCTACCTCTGCCTCGCTGTCCTCGACTCCGTCAACTTGGGGTCCTTCACGTATTTCTTTTTCTCTCTCTCTTTCCATTTGGACGGCTCTGCCCTTCTCAGCAGCGCGGATCCCACGACTTTTTGTTCTCGTTCTTCTTGTTCTGCGCTTGCGGGTTTCTCTGCTCTTGATCTTTTACCGCAGGTTCCTAGCGCCGCTGCACAAACACGCACACACGCACATACACCTGCACGCAGAACACGTATATACATATAGTATTCTTACTCTAGGAGCAATCTGTGCGAAATCTAGCTCAGCACAAGTATCCGTTCTGCCGCACCCGGTGCTGTCCCCCCCCCCCTCTCCCTGTGGTTGTGGTGAGCGCGTTCGCCATTTGCCGGCGACTCCTCACCTTCGTGTTCCCTCTTGTCGGCATTTCCTTTCTCACTGCCGTCCTCACGAGCGTGCGTCTCTGCACTATTATTACTATTATTTCTCTACTGTTGTTGATGGTGCATTCCCCCTCGAATTAATGCAATACGTTTTTTTTCTTCTCGTGGAAGAGTCGCTTTCTTTTGTATTATTTTTTCCTTTCCCTCCCAAGTTCACTAGTACTATCATAACTATTATTACCTTCGTCATTTTCATTTTTTTCTCTTTACTTATATCTGCAACTTAGCCTTCTTAGTCTTCACACGTATTATACATTGCCTCGCCTGCTTTTCGAGGTTCTCGCTTCCGCGTAAAGTAAAGTACATCTACAAAGATACGCTGATTATTTGAATAGGGAAGGTCTTTTTTTCTTTCCAATTTAACAGGGCTGTCATCGTACCCGTACTGCTACCACTGCTATCGTTCGAGCTGTTGATCTGTGCTGAGCGCAGCATACGTCGGTTTTTTCTCCTGACTTTCTCACCGCCAGCATCTTTTCGCCAAACAAAAAGTAAGTAGAATCGAGTGACTTGCGAAACATCGGCTCTCTCTCGTTCAACCATCTGCCCTTTCGTCGGCAACTCAAACGGTGTAGTCTTAGTATAGATTCTGTTGCTTTTGCTGGGTGGTACTGCGCTCTGGCGGTGACCCTTGAGTGCTGTTTCTGTTTGTTTGCCTCCAAGACGAAAGTATCGAGTGACTCCCTCTTGCTGTTTTCCCCCAAGTGACCTAATAACGTAGTTTTAAGTCAACAAACCAGCATCGGCAATCGCAGAAATCGTCGTGGTTGCGGCAAGCTGGGCCGAAACCGCCTAGAGCGAAGGTGCTTATTTATTCATTCTTTTCTTTTTCATTTTAGAGCACCAAACGAAACACGCACTGTTCACTGGAAAGGCGACACGTTCTCAGCGGAAACAAAATTAAGCGTAGGCACCCTGTAGCACTGCTGAATCTATCTTGTTCTTCTTTCATAACAACACACACACACACCGCGACGCCTTGACACCGTAGTCTATACTCGCCAATGTCCGTCGACACCAATCTCCATCGCACCTTCGATTACCAGCTCTCCTCCGCCTCGCTGCGCATCATCGACTGGGCGCCCATCAGGTCTGCTGCCGCCACCGTTCTCCAAAGCGGGATCAGCGCTAAGTCGTACCATGTGGTGGACCGCACCTCGACGAATGAGGCAGCGATAGCGGCTGTCTTTGCGCGGCAGGAAAGTGCGAAGCAGGAGGCGTTGCGGGCACAGCGGTGTAGCAACAGCAGTGATGGTAATGGTAGTGGTGGTGCCGGTGGCCCGTCTCCATCGTTTGGCGCAGCAGGCGGAGACACAGCAGCGTCCTTCGCGGAGCGCAGGCCTTCTGATTCGCCTGCAGTCAGTACGGCGGTTCCACCGGCACCACCGCCGCCCACCACCGCTCTTCCTCCGACAGACCCCTCCGCGATCGTGTCTGCGCCGCCGCCGCACATTCCTGGTGAGATGCGGGAGGGGCGTGCTGCAGAGAACCCGTCACAGCCGCAACAGCAGCAGCGCTCGTACGACGAGAACTGGACGGGGAGTAGCAACGGTGTCGCCAGCGCTTCTCCTGGCGGGGGTCTTTTCTTTTCACACGGCAGCTCGCCCACTCCGGCCGCTGCCGCGGCTACCTCCAGCGTAGGAGCACCGACGGCGCTGACGGCAGCGGAGGGCACCGCCCTTCCAAGTTCCGCGGCTGCCGGGCTGACACTCGCGGGGAGCAGCAACGGGGTTGGTACTGCACACATAGGCGGGCGTAGCGGCGCCGCAACGCCCAAGACCGGTGCCGCTGTCGGTGTCGCGCCATGGACACACTCCCCTTCCACCTTGACCCCCGAGGTGGCACGGTACCGACAACAGTGGGGTGCAGCGGGCACCATGTATGGCTTTGACAGCGTCTACCGCAATGGCTCGTTTGGTGTGCTGCTAGGCCTCTTCACCGGCCTTGGCTATCAGCAGACAAACGTGCTGTATCGTCAGCAGGAGCGAGGCGCCGGCGGGGAGAAAGGTAGGTCTGCCCCTCCCACCGCAGCAGCCGTCGCAACGGCAACCGCCAAAACGGCTGTTGGTGGATCGAATCCGGTGTCCGTGGCGAACTCCGTTAACAGCCCGAGTCCCTCCGAGGGCAACGCCGTCTCTCCTGCCGCGGACGGCAGTACCGGGTTAGGAAGCTCCGACGGCCCCAGCAACGATGGAGTCGTCGCAGGCGTCGGAGCAGCAGCAGCAGCGGGAGGGGCAGGCAGCAGTCCCCACGCACAGCACGCACGCATGGACCCAGTCATCGCGTACAGAAGCAGCGGTTCCGTGCAGCTGTCCAACGTCATTCAATGCTTCTGGTACTGGGGCGCGAGGAGGTGGACCGGCGTCTTCAACCTGCGCTTCACCCCGCTGTGGTCGACGAACGCCATTCTGCCCGTCTGCGAGTGTGTGACGCGGACGGAAATAACGGAGACCTCCATCCTGATCGACGACCCCGTGGTGTACATCCACGGCTTTGTGGTGATGCTGGGGCGGCGTAAGTGGGCGCCGGACGACGGACCGAGTCCGACCGAGTACACCGCCGCAACAGCCGCAGGGAGCACCGATCCGGTGAGAAGCAAGGCCAGCCATGCCGACACCATACACCCGCTTGCAGTCGCTGCGGCAGACGAGGTGAGCTGCAACAGTGGTAACAGCAGCAGCAGCAGCAGCAGCAGCCTTATCCGGACTCAAAAAGCACCATGTCAAAGTTCTGACGCGAGGACCTCAGTGAACGGAAAATCTGCTGAACTTCCCATCATCGCAAAAGCCAGTCGGCCCTCTGGGCGTCACCCGACCGCCGGCGCGAATGCGGTGACGTCGGCGGACAATGAGAAGACCATGTCGGTCTCCCCGTTGCAGCGGCACACGGCAGATGCGCACAGCATCGGTGCCACCCACGGACAACACGCCGTGTCACAGCCTGCTTCTCCACACTCGCTTTCGCACGCCAGCAGCAGCAGCATCAGCAGCAGCGACGGCACACAAGATGGGTCTGAGATGCCAAGCTGGTATTACTGGTATCAACGCTGCCTGATGGATACCTCGGACGAGTGGCTGTGGGACCGTACCGCGGCAGAGGTTGCCGCCGATGTGGCGAAGTCCACCACGGCCTGGTGGAAGCTGCGGCACGTCAAGACCGGTGTGGGTCTCTCCTACCGCTACCGCAAGCCGCGGGGGATCAACGTGTATTGGGGCTGGAGCGCGCAGCTGGGTCGCGGCACGTCCTTGTCGGGGAACGTGGATGTCTTGCGCCGTATGAGCTGCTCTATCAGCTCCTCCTTTGGCTATCTCGATGTGAGCGCGCGTCTGCGTCTGAATTTAATTACGCTGCATCAGACCGCGTTGGATGCTGGGCTGTGTTGGCGGCCGCTACCGCGCGTGCCGGAGCTCGCCGTGCGTGTGGCGACGTCGGCGAACGGCACGACGCTCGGGTTGGAGGTGGCGGACGTGGGACCGCTACTATACACCCCCGTTGTGCAGCGTCTCGCGGACTATCGCGCTCGACATCGCAAAGCAAACGGAGCGGGAGCTGCTACAGGGGGGTTGGCGGACGGTAACGCTTCGAGCAACGTCCGCGGCAGCGACGAGTCGCCTTCTCCAGCCACAGCCCCGCCGCCGCGTGCGGGCCCCGACGGCCACCACGAAGACTTGGTGGGCCTCCTCCCTGTCACCTGGCATTACCTACGCGGCTTCGGCACCACCATCACCCACGCTTACTCGGGCGTGTCCGGGGCTATCGCCAGCACCTGGAGATCGACATCCGCCGCCAACGCGGCGCAGACGGAGGCGGCAGCGGCAGCGGCCGAGGCGCACCGCACGGCGGTCTCGTTGCCCGTCTCGCCCGCCTTCACGGCAATTCCGCCGACGCCGTCGCTGGCCGCTGAGTCGACGCTCTCCGGAGTCGTGCTGCCGCTCGGTCGCGCCGGAGTGCGCCACCTCCGTCACGCGTGTCGCCAACTCGCGGATTTGGGCTGGTTGGAGACGATGCTGCGGACATCGCACGTGAACGTGTCGGTCGGCATCACGGCCGAGCCGGGAAAGCTGACGCGTGACTGGAGATTCTTTTTGATCCTGAGCGAGAAGTGAACCGACAAGAAGAAGGTGAAAAGAGGAGAGCACTGGCGAAGCACGGCGGGGGAGGGCGGAAGCAGTAAGCGAAGCTTGCACTGCTGCACCCTCACCTCGTTATCGGGGTCCGCTTTAAGTGAGGCAAAGGAGGAGGGTTTTGAAAAAAAGAAAAGCAGTGAAGCGATGCGTGTTTTCGGTTGCTGTTGATGCTGTTGATAGATCAAGATATATATATCGTCGCTTCGCACTTCGCTGCAGCGCATTTTAAAGAAGAAAACTTTCAGAAGGGAGGCGTAGCAACGACGTTGCAGCGTATCTAACAGCGAAGGGGGAGTACGTAGGACCAATTCCTGCTGCGTGTAAGCATCTTTCTCTTGCTCTCTTCTCTTCTCTTTTTTTTTTCTGGAGACTTGAAACCAAACCCTCTTGTGGATGCTTTTGGCGTTCACTCTGGAAGCGAACGCTGCACGGCGGATCAGGTAGCCGGCAGAGAATGGATTTGACTGCGCTCGGTGCGGTTTTGCAGCTCCTGTTGCGTGACGAGTGATGCGATCCTACCTCCTTTCCGTGAACACCGTCTCATCTCGCGGGGTCTCTAACGAGGCATTCTCGCGCTCTCGGCCTCCTTGCTACTCCGTCTTCTTATTATATCTTACATCAACTCTGTTCGTTCTCTTTTGCATACCCGAAGTTGTTTCCTCGAAAACGGCGTAGCGCGCCTTCCTTTTTTTCCTTTTCCTGGACAGCGTTCACGAAAGCTGCTCGGGCGAGGAAAGCGGGACAGCGTCGCGGAATCTCCGACACCGGCACCTTTCTTTTCTTGACATTCGTCAAGCTACTGTTCCCTGTGCTGCGCGTGAAGGCAACGGAGCATCGCTTGTATTTATGCCTCTGGCGTCCGCCGACGCGCTTCTCGTTCGCTGCCTCTTCTACGTGCTCTCTCTCATACATATCCTTTGATAGTAACCTTTGGGGAGGGGTTTGTTTACCCGTCACACCTCTGTGTCTGTTGTGCATCGGTTTCCCCGGTTGCTTCTTAACACACTTATATATCTTTCTTTGGTACATTCGATTGCTCATATATAATCTTCTTTTTCTCCCCTCTCATTTTTGTTCATGGGCGGTGGCCTCCTCCGTATCCTCCGCAAGTATTCCTCCTCCTCCTCCACGTGAAGGGAGAAAAATGGATCCCTACCGCTATCCCTCCGCCATTCCAGCCACACCGAAGGGACGGCGGCAGCAGCATCCACATTTCGACCGTGACAACTCCAGTTCCAGCTCCAGCCTCGACAACCACCTCGATGACGGCCAGCTCTACTCCCCGGCCGAGGTGCGGTCCATCGACCCGGTCCACTTCGACGCGGCAGACGCAGCACGGCTGCAGCCCGCCTACGCCCCGCACAGCGGCCCCAGCGTGCGTGGGGGCACGCGTCGAGGGCGGCGGACGGAGGTCAGCATCGTGAGCGACCCACCGTCCGTCCCGGCCTCTCCGCTCGGGCAGGCGCAAGAGTCCGTGCGGCAGTTCAGCAGCACGTCCCCGCTGCCGAGGGGCGCGGCGGCCCCTGGCTCGCCCGCGGTGTCCGTCGCCGAGCTCATCACGCGCTACACGTCGAAGTACCACGGCGGGGTGGAGGCGTCGCTTCATTACGTGCTGGCCGTCATGAACCCCGCCTCAGGGGAGACGGGTATCTCGCAGGTGGTCCTGGCGGGGCTGCGCGATGAGCTGGGTGTGAAGCGGGTAATGACGCTGACGGGGGAGCTCTTCGCAGACCCAGCCCCCATCCGTTTGCTCATTAAGGAGCAGGCGGTCATCTACCACCCACCCGGCCAGCCCGGGCGACAGCAGCGCGGCACCGTCGTCGTGTGCGGTGGCGACGGCACGGTGTCCTTTCTCATGACCCAGATGGACCTCGTGCAGCGCGAGCTGGAGGCGGAGTTTCACCCCTTCTTAACCGACGCGGAGCGGGCGCAGGTGCGCAACTACCGAGATCGATTCTCTTCCGGACACTGCTTACCTGACATGACGAGCGAGGCTGCGCATCCGTACTTTATTATCCCGGCCCTCGCCCCGCTGCCGCTGGGCACCGGCAACGACTACAGCAACTGCGTCGGCTTCGGCAGCGGCTTCTCGACGAGCGGGAGCAGCTGCTGCGCGGGTTTGTGGGCGCTGTGCGGCTGCGGCGACAGCGGGGAATCGCAGGTGGCTGCCGCGTTGATGTCTGCCGTGTCCGCCCCCTGCGTCACCTTCGATCGCTGGGAGGTCTCGCTCGTGCCGCTGCAGCTGGCGCAGAGGGTGCCGCGGGCGGAGCGGCAGGCATCGCCGCGCGCCTCCGTCAACTCACTGGGGAGTGCGACTGGGGCCGCCAGAAACGGCAACGAGCCTCCGTGGGAGGGCAGCGGCACGTCCTTGGCCACCGCGTCACCGCCGGCGAGCTCGGACGTCCCGGGGTCGTTGTCTTCTTCCCTCGCGGTGTCCGGCAACGAGCGCAGAGGCACAGACCAGTGGAACCGGGTGGTGCGGTCGGCGAACGTGGCCAACGCCGTGAACCTGGTGGATTGGGAGAAGCTGCACGCCACGACGCAGGTCAGCACCTACGGCCTCCTCAACTACTTCAGCATCGGCTACGACGCGTACGTGGCTACCAGGTTCGACGCCACCCGCCGCGCCCACCCGGCCGTGTGCAGCACCCGCACGCAGAACAAAGCCGTGTACGTCTCTCTCGGCATCGGTGGGGCGATGCGGTGTAAGAAGCTGCGAAAGCTGATCCCGATGATCTGCGTGCCACGACCCGGACCAGCATGCATGTCCAACGCAGCAGCAGCAGCAGCAGCAACCCCGCCATCACCAGCGCTGGGACACGCCACCGTCTCCTCCGCGGTAGGCAACGGCGACGACGGCGCCGTCGGGCATCGAGACTTCATCGCCCTCCAGCTCCCCTCCATGACCAAGTCCCTCGTCGTGTCCAACGTGAGCTGCTACGGCGCCGGCACCCACCCGTGGCAGGCGCAGGGCGGAGAGCTGTACTACCGCCCCGTCACGCTCCGCAACGGCGATCTGGTGCCGGCGCCTGTCATCACCGCACCGAACCGGGAGGAGGTGCCGCTGCCCACACCGGTGCCACGGCCGGTCACCATCAACGACCGCGCGTTTGAGGTGCAGTCGATGGGGGGCCTGCTCCATTACAGCTCCCTCGGCGTCGGGCTGACGGGGGCGGTTAAGCTGATACAGACCGACGAGCTGTTCGCCTTTGTGCTGTGTACGCCGGAGGACCTGCAATTCCCCAGCGGTCAGTGCTCCGCCTACACGCAGATCCACCTGAAGGACAAGTACGTGTCGCGCATCGAGACGGACGCCAGCGTGCGGGCGAGTTTGTGTGTCCAGGTTGATGGAGAGGCGATGCCCAGCATTATGGAGCCCACCATCGTGCACGTGCGCAGCCAGCAGGAGTCCCGCATCCTCATTCGCTGTCGCAACGCAACTGTGGTGCAGTAGAAGCACCGCCTTCGCGAACAGCGAATAGCAGTAGAAGAGAAGTACAGTGAAGGAAAGGGAGGGAGGCGGGGGAGGAGTCTGAGGCGGGGACCGGAAAGAGCCTTTTGCAAACTGCTCACATGTGCTATAAAAGGAAGGAAAAGTTTTAGCCGTTTTCTTTGGTTCCTCCACCCCCACCTCCTTCTATCGTCTCTCGTATATGAGCCAGGCTTTTGGGCCTGCGTATTCTTGCCCACTCGTTGAGGGTCCCTTAACGCCAGCTTCTGCTTCAATTTGACTCGCCACGGAAATAGCATTTCTATCGCCTCATACGCGTGTCTGTGTGTGTGTGTGTGTGTTTCCCGTATTCACACAGCGCGTGTAATTCACTCTTCTGTACTTTCGCTGTGTTTCTTCCGTTGGTTTGTCGTTCAGTGTCTTCTCTTGCATCTTGCGGCGAAACTCGTTTGAGGCTCTGCAGATCAAGTAAAAGGGGGAAAAAAGAGATGTTCTGTTGTTCGCTTCATGTGCGACGGGTGCAGCACTACTGCTTGCATCCCAGCCTTTTTTTAAAATTCTCTTCCTTTCATCTGCTGTGCCTTCGCATAAACATCGGCATGCACATGTCGCGGTGCGCGCCACGTTCCCCGCTGTGTGGCATGTTGCAGCCATGTTGAGCCATGCTGTGTGAACGCCTCTACTCTTCACCTGTCCGCCTCCTTATTTTTTTCTCTCTTTGTCAAAATCTTTCTTTCCTGTACTCTCTGACCCGATGCACTCGAGTCTGTAGAGGATGGGCCTTCAGATTCCTTGGCTGCTGGTGTGCGTGAGCAGCGTCCCTGCCTTTATGATCTATACAAAGTGCAAGCGAATGGATGCGCGCGAGATGCACGAGATCCAAATGCGCATCAAGTACCACTCCGAGTACTGGAAGCGTGGCAATGCGTTTGTGCGGGAGTTTCAAGGCAACGTTGCCGCGCAGCTCGCCAGCACGGCCGACCCGCTCACCGGGCGGGACATCGCCTCCATTCCCCCAACGGAACTCGCTGCCGCGGAGGGCGTGTCACGGAATCGCAGATGGTGGCTTTTCTAGAACAGAGCCGGACGCAACGCCAGGAGAGCACTGAAAGCAAACCATTTACACACTCTTTGTGCGGTAAAATGGGAAAACATCAAAAAAAAACTCTCCTCGTCACTCAGCGCGTCTCTCCCGCTCCGCTGCCGCCTCTCTTCACTCCTCTCGTTCGCCTTTGCGTATTCGCAGATGATGTTGCGTAATGGGCGCGTAATCGGTGTGCGGGTACGCTCGTTGCTTCTCTTCCCAATTGCGCCACGTACCACACTTACATTGTGTACACACTGTCTTGCTCACAGAATGCATGAACGAAACAACATATGTATATAAACTAAAAATCACCACCGCTGCAATCGTTTGAATGCAGTTCAGTTTCCTGTCACCCTTTCTCTCTCCCACCCTCTCGGTATTGATAGGTTGAGATGCAAGTACACCCCGATAGTTCACGAACGCGTTGCTTCGTCTTCTTCACGACTTGGACGATGTCATGCCTCGCAATAATACAAGGGGTTTTTGAAGGGGTCTTTTTGTGTCTCTCTTCATCTAAGCAGCAACCATCTTCTCTTGCCTTTCGTGTTCACGTACTTTCTCCTGCTCTCGTTCTGCTTTCGGCCACCGCACGTCCCACTCACGCGTGCACCTTCGCCGTTTCCGTTCTCACACTTCGCGAATACTATTGAACGTAGCTACAGAAAAAAGCCCCCCAAAAAAGAGAGTAAGTTGTGTCCACCCCGTCACGTCGCATTGGCTTCTTGTGTGTGTGTGTGTGAAGTGACACTGCAGGCGCAGTGGTCAGCGTGTTTACAAACAAAGAAAAGCATCTACAGATAATTTGAACGGGTACCACCGCTTTCTTCCTCGAATACATCTTTGTTAGCAACTCATAACTTCTGGTGTGCATACATATATATATATATGTATTCATATACGACACTTTTTCTTTCCGCTTCTTCTTTGTCTCTTGGCGAGTATTTCAGTGCTTCTGTATTTCTTTTGCGTTTTCTGCTTTGCCTTTGAGTGTATGCGACCCCCAATCTGTGTGGTGCTTCTGTGTTGTTAGTATCAGTATTTACGTGTGTGTGTGTGTGTCTACTCGAGATCGACCTTTTTTCCCCTGCGCACACGTCGCGATCGAAATAGAAAAGAAAACGACCGCTACTGCTTTTGAGCTTCCTCTGAGTGCCGCATCGCCTTCTTTTGAATGTTTGCGTGATACATTGAGCTTCGCACCGCTGCACTTCGTTTTCATATTATATCTATTTCAGGCGAGAGAGAGAGAGAGAGCCGGCAGGTCGTGAAGGTGCGGCAAATCCTCCCTTTTTCATGTGTTTTCTTTTCTTTTTTCGCGGCAAACCGATTGTGCGATTCCCTCTCGTTGTTGTTGTTTTTCTCCCTTTCTCTTCTCTCGTATCATAAGCCTAGTTTGTGGTGCCGTGTTCCGCTGCCATTGCTTTGTCTTTTCCTTTTAAAGGATTATATATATATATATATATGAGTCCTGCGGCACGCTCCGGCATTCTCTGAAGAATTCGCCCGTCTTTCCTTCTGCTTCATTCAAACTCCGTGTCCTTTTTTGTTTTTTTTCTTTGTCCTCCACACATTACCCTGTTTCGTATTATTATTATTTCCTTCGTCCGCCGCCGTTTTGATTCTTAAATACCAGTAAATATATATATATCGCTGTATAAACACGTACACGCTCGCACGCAACTGCTGCACTACGTGGCCACTCAGCCGCTTCTGGTGCGTTGAGTCGGCCTGAGCCGTCACCTCGCGACGCATGGGAACAGGGGGGTTCGCATCAGGCAGAGGTCAGTGGCGTGACACACCAATCGAAAACGGTCGTCTCACCGCCTCTTTTTTTTTCCTTTTCTTCGTTGCTGCTTTTGGTTTGTTTGTTTGAAGGTGGTTTGTGTTGGCGCGTTTCCACCTGGGAAGCGTACACGCATCGTTTGTTTGTCGTCCCCTCCTTCTTCGGTTTGTTGTTGGGTGCTGTGGTGTTTTTTTTTTTTGGCGGACGTCAGCAACGAGATAAGGCGATTTTCTTTTTTTGATTTCCATCGAGCTTGCAACTGCAGCTCTCTTCGTTGGGGTTTTTGTTTTTCTCTTTCTCTCCTCTGTTACTCTACCTGTGCGTGCGTGCGTACTTCCACTTCGTTGAACAGCCTTTTCCCCCACCACCACTTTCGTCATCCCCCCTACGGTGAGAGCCTGAGTTCTTTTCCTCCTGGTTCTTTGTATTGTTGTTGTTGTTGCGTGCTCGTACAGATTAGTGTGTTGTACTCCCCCTTTCTTCTGACTGCGTCACTGTGCGTGAAAAGCACGGTGAGCTCATCAGAAGAGTACCATTTTCTTTCCGCATACACACACACACACACACACGCCGCTACACGGCCCATTAAAAATTAAAAGGAAACCAGTGCCAGAAGAGATGGGGTGCAAAACATCGGCCATTCGCACAGACAGCACCTGTGGTTCGTGCGTGCCGGCAGACCACAGAGAATCGCCGGCGCCCTCGCCTTCAAAGGCACAGGCTGCACACAACAGCAGCCCCGCCTCCGCCGGTCCTGTCTCAGAAACATCTCAGCAGGACCGTAGTGAGCAGCCAGGCCCTGCCGCGCCAGATATGCGTAAATCCTCGCGCAGCTCCATGCCCGCCTCACCACGTCACTCCAGCGCCGACGTGCTGAACGACAACTCACTACACCGGCAGCAGCAGCAGGTGAGCTACTCGCAGGACGACGACCCCTTCGCACCGCCGCCGCCGCTTCCACCAGAGCTGGCGACCAAGAGTGACAGCTTGCTCACGACACACGCAGGCACGAGCAGCAGCGACCGTGACGACAGCGGCGATGAGCATGATGGCGGCGGCGAGGGAGTGCGGCACCTCGAGAACCACTTCGACCCGGTTCCGATGTCGGCCACGGTGCCCGTCGACAACCAACGGCCGGACAGTAGAGACAAGACGCCGCCTCGGCTGCCGTCCGCGGATTTGCGCACCATCAGCAAAGGCGGCTCCGGCACCTTCCGCACCTCCATCAGCGAACACGACAAGACTGACGCGGTGCAGGCGGCCAAGGAGTATCAGCAGCGCATGGAGGCGAAGCGGAACGCCGAGGAGGTGCACACGAAGCGCCGACGGCTGGAGGAGTTCGACCCGGTCCGCCCCGTCGACAGCTTTAACGTCACGCACCGTGGGTTACTGGGCCGGTGTTGGGACCGCCGTGCGCCGGAGCTGATTCCGGTGTCCTTTGTGCACACCATCGCGAAGATGATTGTGCAGGAGGATAGCCACCCTGTCAGCACCCCCACCATCAGTCATGCCTCCGGTGGAGACGAATACCCGCCTGGCTCGCCTCTTCAGCGTCTTTCCCGACTGAGCCGACAGAGCGGGCCGCGCGGGGGCACTGTTGGAAATGGCGCAGCTGCCGCTACGGCCGTGCCGCCGGCGAGGTGGACGGGCGTTGGCGGCCGGCGTGTGCCGCGGCGCTCGCACTGGTTCAGCGTCGGCGGTGTCAGCACCGACGGCCTCGCGCCGGCCCGGCTCTCGTCCCCGGCCACGGTGGAGCCGTTCTACGTCAAAAGCACCCCGTCGACGCCGACCGTGTCGCGGCCGTCCGCCTCTGGCAGCGGTCCTGGAGCCTTCCCTGCGACGTTGATGGTGGGCGGCGGGGCGGCGATGCAGGACTTCCCATCGCACGTCCTCCTCAACTCGGCCGCCGCGGAGGCCGCGAAGGCGAGTCCGAAGCGGACGGCAGCCGCGTCCTCTGCTGAGATCGAATCATCGGCGGAAGACACGCTACACAGCGCAACCACCAAGACGCTGACAACGAAGCAGGTCATGGCCCTCCCGTGGGAGACGCGTGAGAAGTACTACAACCTCACCATCACGCGCAACCCCCGCTACATGGGCATCAAAGACTCCTACGCCTTTAAGCTCGGCAGTGGCGTGAGCAACGACCGAAGTGTGAAGTTTCTGCGCAAGCGCAACCTGGAGCCCGCGACGGGCGTGACGGCGATGCGATGGAACCGGGTGGAGTTCTTCCATCCCTCGCTGCACACCTTCGTCCGCGCCGTAGCCAAGACGCAGGGCACGTCGTTGGAGCTGAGCCAGCTTGAGCAGGCGAGCATCAACGCCGCCGACGGCGCGGCGTTCACAGACAATGACGCGAACTTGAACGAGTTGGGCCTCTGCGGGAACGGCTCCGTGAACAGCCGGGCGCCGACCGGGGAGCGGGGCCTTGCCAGCACGGACAACGGGGACGTCGGCTCGCCTGACCTGCTGCGCCGCTCCTTTAGTCAGTTTTTGATGGGGCACGTTGAGAACTGCAGCTTCACGCGCGTCGGCGGCGATGGCGTCTGGGGCGGTGGCGACCGCCGAAGTCGAAACGGCTCCTTCCTGAGCAACACGAACGTCATCTCGCCGCAGATGTGCACCGATAAAAGCACTGTCTCGACCAGTGTCAACGACAAGCCACTCGAGCGCCTCGGTTTATGGGGCGGTGGCGTCTTCTTCATGGACGCGCACCGCAACCGCGCGAAGGAAGCCGAAACCAGGTCGCCGGCGGTGACCCCGCCGTTCCCCGAGGACAGCGTCCTGGCGCTCGCCTTGAGTATGCCGTACTCCCGTCTCGGCCAGCTGGCCGGCGTCCCCGCGGCAGTCCGCAGCGCCGCCCTCAGCAACGCCAGACGGCTGAGCGGGCATCTCCTGCACTCCCTCACGGTGGGGCTCGGCTCGCGCAAGACCTCCCGCGACACGATTAACAGCACAGGCGGCAACGCGTCGGCGCCTCCGCGCAGCAGCGGCGGATTCGCGGCCGTGCGTCCTGCCGCGCAGAGCGTGCTGGTGGCACTCAGCGTGAGCAGCTTCACGGTTTCCATCGATCCTTTCGAGTGGCAGGAGCGGCGCTACATGCGCTACCCGGTCGACATCGACGGCTCCAAGCGCTCCTCGCGCAGCAGCTACGGCGAAGGCGTCATCACGGATGTGATGTACGGCGGTCTCATGGTGGTGGAGTGCTCCTCCATGGAGGCGGTGCGGGAGCTGCAGGTGCTGCTGGGCAGCATGACCTGGACCGAGGAGCGCTCCCTGCGGGGGATCGTTAAGGACGTACGGAAGCACCTGAAGACGGTGCACAACAACCTGCACAAGTCCCGGCTCGCGGCGGCGCGTCGATTGACGGAGACGTCGTCGAACCTCGCCGGGGGAAGGTCGGGAACGGAGGAGGCGGCGGCAGCGACGGACTGGAACGTGCACCGCTATCGCATTATACGTCGCATTGGTGGGCGGCCCATGCGGGACGCAGTGGAGCTGGAAGAAATCAGCGTCTTCTTCGACGAGGACGAGGAGGTGCGGGAGGAGCGGACGACGCTGCACCAGCCGGATCAAAACAAAAAGGTGCCGCTGACCCAGCAAAACCCGTCTTCATCACGGACGACCGCCGGAGCAGCAACGGCTGGAGTCAACAGAGGCAAGAACGTATCGTTGCCGTCGCTTGGATTAGACAGCCTGCCGGCTGAGTCGGGGCCGAGCAATGCGCACAGCAGCCCCAACGGCCCTGATCCGGACATCACCTCTTCCTTTTCCCGCGTCGCCTCCGCCTGGTACTGCCTTCCCGTGATCTCGGCGGTGCTGCGGACGTGGGGTCTGCACCTCCTCGCCTGCCCCGAGTACGCGCAGCCGACGGCGATGTTTCTGCAGAAGCACGCCGGTCTCGCCCCGGTGCTGCAGCTCACCGCACTGGCCGGCTTCTACCACGAGGACAGCACGCCAAGCGATGAGGACGACGTCGTCAAGGACGCCGACTACCTCTTCTTCGAGTGCGACGGGCCGGCCTGCGATGAGCCGCGCCGCCTCCACGGGGCAGCGGTGAACCACCCACAGCCCACCCCCCGCATCCCCAAGTTCAACCGTTTCTACGCCCCCCTCCCGGTCTCGCCACACGACGGCGGGCACGACCAGGAGACGGAGAAGCTGGCGCAGGCCTACACGCACGCCAACAACGCGCGTGCGGCGAAGGGGCAGGGCGTGAAGGAGCAGCGGAAGGCAGCACCACCCACGCCCAAACCCAATGGCGACGGCAACAAGCCCCCCGCCGCCGCGGCGGCCGCCTCATCTTCGTTGATGGTCAAGGCGAGCAACTCAACGTTGGCCGACGTGCCAAGTACGCAGCAGCAGCAGACGTACAACGAAGGAAGCGGCACCGGTCAGGGGCGACTCCGTGTCCGCCGCTCGACGCAGAGCGACCACTACCGCGATGAGGACGAGATTGACACCACCTTGGGCCCGAAGAGTCACAGCAAGGAAACGCTGGAGGGTGAGGGCGGCGCGCAAATGGCGGACAGCCAAAACCACGGCGGCTCCCCGCTGACTAGCGCACGCCAGAGCACCGCCATCATGAGCTTCTCTGACAGCGGCAAGGAACCGGCAGGTGGGCAGCAGCAAGGAGAAAAGGAAAGGAAGGCGGGGGCGAAGCGGTCGACTCCCAAGACGTCCCCGGCGGGCTTCGGCTTCGTCCGACCGAAGCGGGTGGACGCCACGCGGCCCAGCTCGCCGTTGTCGCCGGGAAGCATGACGGTGCCGCAAAGCCGGCGCCACAACGATCGCCGGCGCGTCTCATCCCTGACCTCGTCGTCGATGTCGTCCTTGTCCTCTTCATTTTTCGCCGTGTCGTCCGACACCAACGTGCGACACAGCACCATTGTGTTTCAACCGAACAACAGCAGCATTCCCGGCAGCGGCGGCGTCACGGAGCGGCCGTCGGCGGCGAACTCGGTACGGGAGCTGGAGCGGAGGACGGCGGCGTCGATGTTGAGCGAGCGAGCGAGTGGGCACCGCTTCACCACCGCGGTCTCCACCTCCACAGTTGCCGGGTCAACCGCAGCACCGGTGGTAGCCGGCGGCACGCCGCCCCGCACCGCACCCACTTCGACGGACGACCTGCCCGACTCCTCGCACGGGCGGTCGACGCCGACGATTCTCTCACAATCTGGTTCGCCGCGGCTCTTCATGCCGACGCCGCGACTGAGCGAAGGTAATCCGCGCGACACGGGCAGCTTTGAGATTGTGGCCATGGCGCGAACGGTGGGGCCGGGGGAGTCGCTAGCGGCGCAGGAGGCGCAGCGGAAGGCGAACGCCTCGACGCAGCTCTCGCACTCCTTGTTGGGGCATCGAGGCAGCAGCAGCACTCGCTCTACCAATGTCGCAAGTGGTAGTGGTGGCGCTGTTGCAGCCCCACCGACGCCGCCAGGCACCGTTGTGGTCACCGCGACGTCGGACAACGGCGGTGATGGAAAGAAAGTGAAGGCGCAGACACGAAAGGCAAAGAAGGCTACGGGGGGTGCGGACGGCAAAGCGTCATCCGCCTCTCTCTCGTCGACCAAGAAAGGCGGCATGACGGTAATTGTTAAACACCGCGGCAGCGCCAACAACCCCCCACCACCACCCACCACCGCGATGGTTGGTGCGACGCCGCTGGAGCTGAAGAAGCCACCACTACTGCCCCTGGCGCTGGCGCCGGGCGGGTGCGCAGCGGAGGAGTCGCAGATGCAGCCCCTCGGCACACCAACCGGCGCCGCGGGCCATCCGCGCGCCCCTGGCACCCCGACAGGCTTTGCGTTCCGCACCTCTGCCTTTCTAAGTGCCCCGCCGCCCTCTGGCAGCGTCGCCGTGGCCCCGACACCCCCACACGTCAGCGAGGAAGAGGCAGAAGGTCTGTGGTACATGACGATGTTAGAGGTGAAGGCGCAGCGGCAGGAACTGGAGGACCTGCGCAGCGCTCGCCGCAACGCCGAGGACCACGCGCAGCGGCGGCAGGAGGAGCTGCGGGCACTGACCCGCGTCTTTCTGCCTCACACGCACCCACAAGACCTTGACAGCACTCTGCTGTACCTCAAAACGGTCCTTCTGGAGCCGGAAGACCTCCCGCACGGCCGTCTCTTCCTCCAGCAGCAGGATTGGCTGCCGCTGCTGGCAGTGGTGTGGACATCGCCGATGAACCGCATTCGCTCCGTCGAGATCGCCGCTGAGCTAACCTGGGTGGATATACCGCGACTTGGGCTGATCAGCGGCTTGCTGTATCATCACAACGCGTCAAGCCCGCTCGAGGAGTTCATTATTCGCTCTGACAAGCTTCTCGGTGACTCGGGGCGCCTGCTCGCAGCAAAGAGTGGCGACGGCACCTCCACCACGACGACGACGACTGGGGGTGGTGGTGGGGGTCTGCTGGCGAAGGCGAAGCGGCGGCGGGCGAAGAGGCGGGAGCTGAGCGGCTCCATTGACGTGCGCAACACAAGTCTCAACTTTGTGACCGAGCTGGACGGCGTCGGGGGCGGCTTCGGTCCAGGGTGCCCACCTTTCTTCATTGCACCCGAGGAGGCACGCGACACGCTGTGGCTGCTGCTCTGCGCCGTGGCGACCAACACGGCGACGCCGAACTTTCGCGTGGTGCTGAGGGGCATTCCCACGCCCGCGACGGCGAGTACTGGCGATGCCGGTGGAGGCGGGGCCGCCGACCACGAGCGGGCGCCATCGGGCCTGTTCGCCTCTTTCTTTGGCGCGCGTCGTCGCGATGAGCGCGGAGATGAGCCGCTCCTGCTGCGGCCGGAGTCGATGCTGCTTGACAGCTTCGTGGTGCAGCCCACCCTTCACGATGACAAAGACAGCAAAGACGGTGGCAGCAACCTTGGGAGCCTCTCGCCGGTGAAGGTGAGCAGCGGCGAGTTGCACAACAACTTCGACGACGTCGGCTTGCTGTCGGTCACGGCGAACTCATGCGACTTGCACAGCCCCGGCAACTTTCGGCAGGCGTCCTCACTGATCATCGTGACGAACTCATTAGGAAACCCCGCCTCGCAGGACCCGCTCGGAAGGGACGATGCGTGCGCCAGCTTCTCACCACACCGGCTGCACAAGCGCTCTCTCTCCACAACCCCCGCGGTGCGTACCATCAATGGACCCGGACGTGGATCCCCGCTCCCCAAGTCCGTCGTGGTCGTCGTCCCCACACACCAACACCACGTACGACGACGGCCGTGGGTGCATGACGGCATCGTCGTGGAGGAGCGCCCGTTCTACGAGGTGCTGCTGCACCGCTGCGCGCCGCTCGAAGAGGCTCGCCTCGCCGCCGCCGCCGCCGCCGCCAGCAGCGATGCCCCGTCGCCATCGTCGACGGTCGCTACGCCGTACATCTCGCATTACCACCACCCTTACAACAGCATCCACAACGACGCGCGCTTCTACGTGTCGGGGGAGCGGCGGGCGCGACTGCAGACGGCGGTGAAGCGGGCGGTGGCGGTGGCGAACGGAGAGGTGTCGCCGCAGGACGCGGACAAGAAGGACGCGGTGTACTCATCGAAGCCAAAGCAGCCAAAGCAGCAGCAGTCGCCAGCGGACCAGTTGCGGCAGCAGGCGTCGAGCGAGTCCACGCGCACGCCCTCGCCGCCGCCGGCGGTGCCGGTGCCGTGCCCGCCTCCGTTGCCCTTCTGTGAGACGAGCATGGCGTTTGGCTTGGAGTCGGCCGAGGAGGAGGCGAGGGTGCTCTTCTACGAGGAACGCCAGCTGCGGGACCGCGCCGCCGATATTTGGGAGGCGTTGCGGAAGTCCGTAAAGCACTACAACCAAGCGCAGCAGGAGGCGCGGCACAAGGCGATGAAGGGCCGGGCAAAGAATGCGTCGCCGCCGCCGCCGATGCATCTCATTACGTTGGAGTACTGAAGGGAGTGAAAGGAAAACCGTCAATGATACGTTCTAGTAGTGGGGTATAAGTACGTAGTCCTTTTTTGTGTTGTACACACACACATGGGAAATATGACGAGAAGGGAACAATATAGCCAGGTGTGTCTCTTCTCCAAGATGTACTTGAGCTGACAAGATGCGTGTGTGTTCATGAAGTGAAGCATTGCTCGTCAAGGTGAGGTGCTTCTCATACATGGAGGGGAAGTAGCGGGGGAGAAAGAAAGAAAAAAAAACTGCGTCTTTGCGCTGGTGCGCTCACCGTTGATCATTGCGGATGGAGCAACAGCAGCAAGTGCCACTTATCATTATTGTTATTAGTTGTGCTGGGGAGGGTGTATTGCCCACTTGCGCAGTCACAAGAAATGGGAAAAGGAAAAGAACGTACTCCTCAAGCAACAACCCCCCTTTCCCTCTGCCATCCCTTCTTCTTTCATATGAACCCTACTGTTGGCTTCGGCCCTGGTGGCTTTTTCGTGTGTGTATTTACGGCGTCCCCCTCTCCCCTTCACACACATACACCCACTCTCTCTCGTATGGCATCTTCTGCTCGGTTGGCCTTCATGCGCATCCACGCGGACAGCTCAGCGGGAAGCAAACCGGGCCGGCGAAGCAAGCGGACATTTACGAGTGCCCGCGCTTCTCAAGAATTCACCTCGCCGTCACACACACACACATACGCAGGAAATAAAGTTCTGTATATATATATATGCGTTGCTGTGTAACGTCCCTCGACCCTCACTTTTTCTTTTCTTTCCTTTTGTCCCCAAAACGCCAACTACACGTTTTAATTCAGTGGTAGTGCGGCGTTGAAACCCCCTCCCTCTTCGATCACCGACCATGGCGTCCACATCGAGCGTCTCCGCTCCTTCGCCCTCTACAACCGCGGTCCCCGCTCCTTTTGTATTGCCGTCTCTTCTCGCGTCAGACACGACGTCTCGCCGACCCTCCTCTCCGTCTTCACCGCCCAAGTTCGTCGGTGGAAGTGCGCCGCACGACGCTCACGTACCACCCCGATTAGAACAACGGCAGCAACAGACCGGAGAGCACCAGGAAGAACCAGCTGCCAAAGCCGCCGCGTGTCCGCGCGACGCGGACACGCAGCACAGCACACCAGGACGATACACACCACTGCACTCCGCCGCCTCTCAACACGGCGACGGCACGGCAGCGCGGGCGGGAAGCACGGTAGACTCCCCGTTGGCGTCCACCGACGGCCATCGCAAAGTCCGCGACGGCCTTGTTGACTTCTCCTTCAACGTGGGTGAGGTAGAGGGCGTTCATCGTCACCACGACCACCACCCCGGCGCACAACACGCCGCCGTGGAGAAACTTCTCTCGGCTCCTTTCGTCGCCTCCTCACCGACGCAGCAGCAGCGCCGTGGGTCGTGGCACTGCGTGAAAGGCGGCGGCCTCTCGCTGGGCGGCAGCCTCACACAGGTGAGCACCTCCCTCTTACAGGACCGTCTGCATGGACCGCCGCGCGGCGAATCAACCGAGATATCGCCGCCGCCCACCCCACCCGCGTCGGTGTCCCTCTCTTCCCTACGAGATCGAACCCCGCACACCCTCGCGAGCAACTCCCCTCCCCCAACGCACGAAGCAGGTGCCACGCCGTTGATAAACTTGGTTGCAGCACAGGCAAAGAAGGAACGTCGCCGGCCGTACCGACTGGACAGTGCGCAGGCGAGACGGGATGTCATGGCGAAGCAACGCCACCGCAGGCTGCTGGAGCTGAGCAGTGTAGATCATACTGCCGGCAGCAGCAGCAGCCACAGTGGCTGCCGAAATGTGGAAGGACAGGGAGACGCAAGGAAGAAGCATTTGCCTTATGCAGGCGATGGCGCGAGCGCCGGGTGGATTGCCGCACTGTCGTCGTCGACGCTGACCCGCGATCACCCCAAGCGGGTCGAGAGTGAGCTGCCCTCCACCTACTCCGGTGTCACCTCGCCGTCCATGGAGTCCTCTGCGCCGCTCAGCAACACCGTGGCGGCGGCACGGGTGAGCTCGACTGGGGCAGCGCAGCGCAGCGCCACCAGCGCCACCGCCGCCCCGCCCGCGCAGCTGTCGCGTAGCTCCGGCAGCTTCAAGACGACGGCCTCCTTGACCAGTCTGCAGCACCGACTGTGGCAGTACACCGTACCCGGCAAGACGGCTGCGCCCACCACAGCCTACAAAGGCGCAGCCAGCGGCAGAGCGGCGCAGTTCCCTCTCTCTTCCTGTCTTCCGCCGTCGACTCCACCGGGGCGTCTGCCGCCGCTGCCGGAGTCGCAGCGCACCGCCGTTCGTCAAGGGCGTCGAGGGCAATGCGCACACAGAGTCCACATCCACGACGGCTACGCCGCCCCTGCGCTACACCCTCTCACCTACCCGCCGCCGACGGTCGTGCCCATGTCGGGTGTCCCTGTCGCGCAGTGGCAGTTGTCGCTGCAGGACGAGCGCACGCGCGGCCAACGGGGCAAGCGGATGGCGCAGTGGCTCGTGCAGAAGCTGCTGACCACGCCACCGTCCACCGACTTTCATCGTAGCCGCTATGACAGCTTAACGGCTGACAACGGCGGTCATGAGGAGAACATCAGCGGCGGCGGTCTTCTGCGCTCCCTCTCCGAACGGGCGGCCGTCGCGGCGTACCTTCTCAGCACCCTTGTCGAGGACGCCTTACCGCGGCACCAGCACAGCATGCTGCCGTACGTGCGCATGTTGATCGATTTCGCCTTCGTGCCGGACACGCCGGCGATTCGCGCGGCGATGGGCACGGGCACGGTGCAGGACGAAGAACTCCTCGATCGATTGGCCCGGTACGATCGCTGCTCGATCCCGCTCATCACTGTCGCAGCCCACACGACGTCGCCGTCACAAAAGGTGGGCAGGTTGAGCTCCTCACTGGGCAGCAGCGAAGCCGAAGAGAATGAAGTGATGGCAGTGGATCTGACCGACCTGCTCGCCCCCTCCTTCACACGCATGACCTACATCGCCGCCCACTTTGAGTTGTCCGGCATGGCGGTCGCGCTCGCCCACGAGGTGCGGTGTCGTGAGCTGCACCACCGCAACGTCCCGCGCCTGCTCGAGCGCACTCACAAGAACTGGATGCGTGGGCTGATGCGGGCTGTCCTGCGCGCCTGGCGACACCTCTGCCAGGAGCGACGGGTGCAGCAGCAGCGGCAGCGGGCGCGGTGGGCGCTGCGGTGGACGAGTGAGCGAACGCGCATCTCGCTGCGGCGGTGGCGCGGGTACGCGGCCTTCACCCTGCAGCTGGCGGAGGCGGACAACGTGGCCAAGGTGGCCCTTCTGCAGAAGCGCGCCTTTATTGAGCGGATGGACGCGGAGGCCACGGCGATGCAGCGGGCAAGTGAGGAGCTGCAGGAGGCACTGCAGCGCCAGGATGAGGAGCGGGAGGTGGTGGAGGAGACGATCGCAGAGCGAGAGATTCTCTACCAGCGTCTTCTGCAGCAGGTGCGCGAGGTGGACCGGGTCGGGTCGCTCATGCTGAACTCCCTCCTCTTGGAAGATGCGCCGCCCCGGTTTGACGATGCGACGATGATTACTTCGCTCGCGTCACCGCAGCCGTCGCACAGCGGCTCGCATCGCGGCTCCGTGCAGTCAGCAAAGGTGCTCATGAGTCCAAAAAGTTCGTTTGGCGACACCATCCACTCCTCTGAGGGAGCGAACAGCGACGATGATTCTTCTGTTGGGGACGAGAAAGAGGAGGAAGAGCTGCGGGCCCCGCACGCCGTCACGGCGCTTCCCTCCCTTCTGCAGTGGGCCAAGGACTGTTGCAGGGTGACCGAGGCGGCGTTTCTCGCTGCCTACCCCGCTGCGGTGAACGTGAACGGCATGGTGGAAGACGAGGAGGCGGAGGAAGGCGCGGGAGAAGGCGAAACGGAAGAGCTGCCTGCACAGTCGCCGTCGTCGTCCCGCACGTCGCCATCGGCCGCCTCCTCACCCGCCTCCGCGCAGCGGCGCAAAGCAAGCGTTGCGGAGAGTGATGTGGCGGATCTGATATGTCACCCGCCGCTGGACTTTGATGCGTTGCTCTTGAGCACCACGAGCGACGCCAGCGGGTCCGATGCGTCGGTGGCGGAGACGGTGCTGCTGCCGCTGCATAAGCTGCTGCTCCTCATTCGAGGCTGCAGCGGCGTGGAGGGAGAAGGGGCAGAGGAGGGGACGGAGGGGGGAGAGAAGGTCGCTGCCACCACCGAGGCGGCGACGAAGGAAACGCCGCTAAGCGTGGCAAAGGCCAGGTTTAATTTGATGGGTGGTGCGGAAGGCGAGAAAGAGATGGTCGTCGGCGTAGAGGGCGCCGCGTCCCCTTCCCTCGCCATGATTCGCACGGTGCAGCTCACCGATGCGGCTGTCTTGAAGGAAGCCCACGCCTTGCTCGACCACGAGGCCGGGGCGCTCATCCACCGCTACTCCGGCGACTCGCCTCGCTTTGCGGCCTCCGTCACGTCGTCCACCAACGCGGCACGGCGCCTAAACGAAGCGGACGCGCCGCCACCGTCTGGAGTACCGCTGATGCTGCGCCTCTCCGCCGAGAAGCGCGAGATGCTGCAGCGTGTCTGTCACGTGGTGATCGACGCCTACGAGCAGCTGACCGGCACTGCCAGCGTCGTTACAGCGGAGCAGCTCTTCGAGCGCTCCCGCGGCACCCTCCTCGTCTTCCTTGCTGCCTTGATGCGGCACTTCACGAACTGGATGGTGCGCCGCACCCAGCAAGCACTGCCAGCCACCACCACGACTACCGGTGCAGAGGCGTCCGCAGCGGCGAGCGAGTCGGACAGCGCAGTATCGTCAACGACGAGGAAGACGCGCCGGACGGGCAGCAGCGGGGAGACCCATCAGCGCTACGACGCATGGTCGCATCCCCCGCACAGCCACCGTCAGTGGCGTCGGCAGGTGCGGCGACAGGCGGAATGGATCGCGCTCTCCTTCAGTGCCCTGCACGACGCGATGCGGGTCGCCACGTTGCCCCCACGCGTCCTCACGGTTAGACAGCACGATCACGTCTCGGGCCTGCTCGAGCAGCTGTCCCTGACGGAGTTGACGGACTTGCTGCCTAGCTCACCGGATCAAACCATGCAGTGCTATGTGAGCCTGATCGCTGTGGTGGAGCGCTACGCGCCGTCGCTGCACCTGCTCTTCCATCAATTTGCCCTGCCTCTGGCGCAGCTGCGCGCGGACGGCGGTGCCGGCGCCGCCACCCCGGCCAACTCGAATCCAAACTCCTCGATCGAGAACGACGGTGCGCAGAGCGGCGGTTGGGAGACGGAGATGTACGTGACGGCCAACACGGTGTGGCATCTGCTGTGCATGACGGGGCTCGCCGGGAAGGTCAAGGAGGCGTACTGCACTGCCGCGTCTCGGCTACACGCCAAAGGCGGCGCCGCCGCGGCCGCCGTCAACCCGCCGCTCGCTGCCACGCTACACCGCCCTGCCGTCTTTAGTCTCATTGAACAAGTCACACAGCACGGCGTGACCCCGACGACGACGAGCTTGCATCGCGCCTCCATGCGTCGGCACAGCACCGCCTCCCACACCCAACCCGACGTTTGTGGCGGCGTCGCCGGCGGTGGCGGTGCAAAAACGCCCGTGCTGGTGCAGACGGTCAGCTGCAGGACGCGCCCGCGGGCCTGCTATGCACAGGCGGTGCGCGAAAGTCGACACATGGACCTGCGGGCCGACACCGGCGCCGTCTGCGTGAACTACACGCAGTTTGTGAAGGTCCTCATACGACTTGCCCACGCCTGGCAGTGCCAGCAGCAGCAGCGGGAGGCGGCCGAGCATGATGCCGCGCTACAGCAAAGAGAGGAAGAGGAGCAGGCGGCAGCACGGCACGTCGCTTCGCAGGATGAAGGAAACGCGGAGGCCGATAATCCAGAAAATGCCGCCGCAACTTCGGATAGCAGCAAGGAACGAAATTCGAACGGCTCCGGTGATACGACGTCCACCACCGAGACGGCCTTCACCTCAACCCAGCGCGGTGGCGGAATTATTACCTCCGTTGTTACACCCACCAAAGCACGCGTCGATTCGGTAGCAAAGGCACCGAAGGACCGACAGCGCTCGCTGTCTTCCACAACGTCCTCTCTCTCCGCTCCGTCGCTGTCTATGCGGGTGGAGTACGAGACCGGCAACTACGCCCGTATCCTCTGCCTCTCCTACTTCGACGCGTTTATAGGCGAGCTCCTCTTGCCGCGCCTGCTGGGGGCGCACCGGTGGATCGGTGCAGCGCAGCGGGCAATGTGCAGCCGCCCGGTGCTGCAGGTCCTCGCGCAGCATCACGATGCGTTGGTCGGCGCCTTCCGCGACTTTCAGCGGCCACATGAGGCCCGCGGCGTGCGTGCAGCGCTGCCACCACCGTACTCCACCGTGCTTGCCTCCCAACTTTTCCTCCGCGTGATCGACGCCGAGCGGCAGGCGAGCAGCGGCTTAACGGTAGGGGGTGGTCGCGGCATGAGCCACGTGCAGCGCGCGTCGTTCATTTACAGGCTGCACAGAACCCTGAGCCGACGCGGCAGCAGCACCGCTTTGTTTGCGGCGGATAACGGTGCCTATGAAAATGGGGGAGGTGGTGGTGGCGCAGGCAAAGGTGCCCGTCGCAACCCATCGCCGGAGGACATCGCGGTGTCGGATGGCCTACGTGCCTCGGCGGCCGCTGTGCAAGTTCGCGACATCAGCATCGTGAGCGTGCTGCAGTGGAAGGACGTGCTGGCGTTGTGGAAGGAAATGCGGTGGTGGCGCATTCCGCGGCTGACGGAAGACGCGCTGCGGCTCTGCTTCGAGCACGTGCAGGCGGACGTAACGCGCGAAGGCGACGGCATTTTCTTTCCGGAGTTTCTGCAGCTGCTGTGCGCCGTGGCATCTTACGCCTCGCCAAGCCCCGCCGTACCGCTGGAGGTAAAATTGAAAGGCTTTTTGGAGTTGTATGTGTTGTCTACACAGGACTAAAAAAAACCTCCTCAAACGGCGCCCAGCACGCGATGTACTTCCTGCTGCGGTGTTATCAGGCTATTATTATTTCTATTACTATTATCAGTCTTGTTTTCTCTCTCTTTCTGCCGCCTAATAGCAGCTTTCATGTACATTACACGGTGCTCTTTATGTGGTGTGTGTCTGTGTGGTTTCTAATGGAACATCTGTCCTTGACTACGGGTTTTCTTTCCGATGTTATTTCGTTGTGGACGCACGCCTATATGTATAGCTGATGATGATTAATCGCGTTGATTGCATCACGCTCACCTACGTTACTCTAATTGTCTTCTTTGTTTTTAAGGTAAGAGGAGCGCTCTTCGGCATGGCAGGCGCGCAACAACGGAACTCGCCGAAGTTAACCGAGTGCCCCCATTCGGCGGTGTAGATGCAGCTTTTCTTTTTCCTTAGTAAACTCCTCATCTGGCGCTCCGCTCGAGGCACTGCCACCTTCATGTAGAACGGAATAGAAGGTTAATGCGCGGCATTTGAGGTGGGGCGCGTGGATTTCGCCGTCACCGCGTAGCCGCACGTGCATCGCATGCTTTCTTCCCAGACTTCTCCTACGGTACTTCCTACACTCATTCTCTCTCTCCTTCCTTTCATCCTGCTGCCTCACACAAGCCAACGTCAAAAGAAGGACACACACTCACGTACACGCTATTCGCTTCGATGAGCTCTACAGCCGCCGTGACGCTGCCAGGCGCGCTGGCGAGTGGTCCCGCCCTGCACGCCCTCGTTCGCGTCGAGCTCACCAACGGCACCCTCGTCGTCGGGCGGCTCTTGGAGATGGACGCGGCGACGATGAACGTCAAGGTGGACGCCATCACCTCCACCGCCGTGCGCCGGCGCCTCCGTCGTCGCTCCAGCACCGCCGCGGAAAGCGATGTCCATCACGGCAGTTCTGCGAGTAGCTCTGCGGCTGCCAACTCCGTCGTCGCTGCAGCCGCCGCCGCAACAGCAGCAGCCTTTGTGGACACCGTCGAGCCCGGTCCGATTGCGCTGCGGTGCATTCAGGGGATGGTGATCCGTGGCGCGTGTATTCGCTTTTTAGACTTTATTTGGGAGGGCAAAGACGGCGGGACGAGCGTCGGTGAAGTCGAGGCGGCTGCGCGGCAGGTGCGACCTTCCGAGTAAAAAAAGGAATGCAGAAGATAGAAAACAACGGCGGTTGCCTGCCGTCGACTGATGGCGCATGTGTGTGTGCGTGTGTGTGTGTGTGTGTGGTGAGTTTGCCTTAGTCCTTTTACAGATGCCGTTGGGCCGAGGAGATAAGTGGAGATGGCTGAGAAACGCAATCACCGCTTTCTGCGGTCGCTAGCTGACACGCAATTTCGCGCCACCACGAGAAGTTTTTGAAGAAAAAGAAGAACCACCATCAAGGGGCCTTCCCAGCGTTGGGTACGTAACTGTTGCCCGCCTATCCAAATCAGCGCTAAATGAATGTACTTCTTAGCAAGCACCTTTTAAGACGTGTGAGTGTGTCTGCGTGTGTGTGTGAGGGAGGGTTGCGATGCTTTCTTTTCCTCCTGAAAGACACTCACAGTAACGGAAAAAGCTTCGGTACTCGTGTGCACCTCTCTCTATTTCCCGTGCCTTTCCTTTCGTCTAATACCTCTTCTATGCCATCTTTATATATTACCTTCTTTCCTCCACCACCTCATCATACGACGTTGACGGGGCGTCTCATTCAATCAATATTTTGAGCTCTCCCCCTCCCCCCCCCTCCTCCGGCAACACACACACACACACACAAGGAGAGCGAAGGTTTGTCATCGCTCCACCCGTTTTCCCCGTAAACGGAATTAAAAAAAAACAAAGAGGAAGAACAACCGCACACACACACATATATATATATATAACTCTAGAAGGAAGGCCACAGGTGTGAAGAAGAGACACGTCTGCTCTCGTGCGCTACTCTCTTTTCTTTTCTTCACTAGCTTTCCTTTTCGCTCTAGGCTTTTTGCTGTGGTCGACTTTTTTTGCTTGTTTGGTGTCGTTTATGGAAATAATTCTACGGAAAAACGAGCTGCTACACTTGTGCCGTAAAGTGCATGAACTGGTCTTGTGCGCTTCGTAAATCTTTACCTTTCTTCTTACGATTATACGCTTATTGAGAAGGAAACATCTCCTCGTGGGGTTGCCTTCAAGCTGGCTTATGGCTACGGGACTTGCATCGTCTTTTTCCGCCTATTTCTGTCTCTTTTCCTTTGTGTGCTTGCTCCCTCACCAATATATATCCCCCTCCGTCGACTTACGGCGTCCCGCCAAGCATTTTTCATACTTTCTGAGCCGCAGATCCGTGTTTCTCCCGTCTTAGTGTCGCGAAGAAACCCTTCGTAGTTTTATTACCTACTTATTCGTTGCTGGTGCTTTTGTTTTCTATTGGTGGTTTTTCAGTGCTAGGCGACTTGGAAAGAGGCAGTTCTTCTAATCTCTAATTTCTTCTCGTTTTCTTTCTTCTCTGTTTTACTGCTATTCACATTCTCCGTCATATTTTTTTGTGTGAGGCGCGCCGCGTTACCTTGTGTCTGCCTCTTTATCTTCTGCTGTTACTTTCCCTTCGGTTTTTTCCTGTTTCTGTCTTCAGCGACACATCGGCACCGCTTTGTTTTTCCCTCCTCTTTGGCGTAGTTGATCTCTCCCTCCCCTCTCTCTCTCTCTTTTTGTCTCGGTTTGCGTGTGTGTGTGCGTGTGTTTGTGTGTACGTTTGCCTTCATCAACTGCCGCGCTTTAATCGTTGATCTTCCTTCTTTCCGCTGATTACCGTTCAGCACGTCGTTGATTGCGTTGACCTTTTCCGGGTTTTCTTCAAAATATAACTCTGTCTTTTTTATCTTGACTGTCGTGCAAGAAGCGTGCGCTATTTAATCGGCCTGCACCTTGTTCTCTGTTGACAAGTAATAGAAACAAACACAAAAAAGTGGTGGTTCGTGGCCCTCTGCGGATAAGACTGATCGTTGTTCTCCCTCTTCTTCTGTTTTTATTTTGGCTAGTTGGTCTTCTTTGTTTTCTTTATATATATATATATATATTTTTCCCCCCTTCTCTCCCTCTCGTTTACGTAGAACGATTTGAGCTGGGCGACTTTAATTGTTTGTTTCTCTTGTGTATGGAGCGGCGCTTGTCCAACAGCATCGCCTATTGAATTTTTTAATCCGAAGCTTTTTTAATATCTAAAAGAAGAGAATAACATGCACCAACGTGGCGAGTTGTACTAGCAGCTGTGTTGACCAAAGGAGTTGAGTGGCAAATTCTACTTCAAGGTGCTAACAAGCACACGAAGCGGGTACGCGGGCATTCCACGTAATTTATGCCTCGTTAACTGCAATACGTGTTTTTTTTTCCTTTTTTCAAGGGTATAGCGTAATATCAGAAGGAGATGGGCTGCACAAATCAGAAGCTGCATATGCAGCAAATCGCCTACCAGCGCGACTTCCTCGGTGCGTGTTGGAACAGCTCTCTTGGCGAAGAGGAGGCGGAGGAATACTTGGCCAGTCGATGGATGGGTGTGTCCAAGAACGTGATGGCCCTCTACACCAACAATCACTGCTTCACGGTGCGCACGCTGAACAAGGATGAAAAGGCCCGCGCCGATGCAGCGGCCGCCGGAAATCCACAAATGAAGGCGGCAGACGCCCCGGCCGGGGGGCTCGCACCAGGCTTCGGGGGCGACGCGGGTGGCGGTGGCGGGAAGACCTCTATCCCTTTGTCCGTCCTCACCGACTCCCCTTCTACCTCTACGGTTGGCAAGCCCTCTACGCTCTCCACCAACACGATCTCCGTGTTCTCACCCTCTCCGGAAAGCAAACAAAGCAGAGAGATGCTCGCCTCTCCTGAAGGTCGCGTGGCATCACCGACACTTCCAGGGCAGCTCGCAGCGGCGAGTAATCCGGCGATGGCGCCTCCCACCACGACGACCACCGCCGTCCGGCAAAGCGCTGGTCATGCGCATGGGGTGAGCAACAACAGCGTCGCTAGTGTCAAGGACGATCACGGGGCGGCAAACGCTGCGGCCGCCCACGCTGCGGCCGGGCGAGCGACCACGACAGAAAAGGTGAAGAAGAGCGCAGACCCGGCGGCGCTGCGCAACGTGGTGAAGGACAGCATGGAGTCGGAGCGCGTCGTGCACGCCGATCACCCGTATCTGCAGCGGCATGGCTTGTCGGTGTACGGCGGCGTGGTCTTCCGCTGCGCCCCTGCGCACCGCCTCTATCATCGCATTTCCCTTGTACCGGAGGCCAACATGAAGCGGCTATACGATATGCAGGTCACCGCTATGTCACGCAGTGCGGTGTTCGACGCCGCGTCGTCGATGATCGGACGGCCGGGTGGGGGACCAAGCGAGCCGCCTCACCACTTCCAGCCAAGCGGCAGCAGCAGCGACTACTCACGGATCATGCGAGCTGGCGAGGCGGAGGAGCGCAGGGTGCCGCCTTTGACGCCGCAGGTGTCTCCAAGCTTCGTCCCGAACATGGTGCCCTCCCCCATGGTGCATCCTCTCCACCGGCCTCCCGCAACAGCAGTGGGCAGCAGCGTCCCTAACACAAACCTCCCACTGCCCGGTTCGAGCCTCGATAAATCGCTGCCGCTGCCCTCGCTGCCTCTCGGTGCGGTTCCGGCGCGGCACCTGCGCTTCACCTCCGGTCCGGAGATGCAACAGAGCGCAGTGATCGATGCCTGGGCCACGGAGAGCCCCCTAAGCTCCTTCAACAACTACCCCGCTGAGGACCGGGACGTCGCCGGCGTGACGGCTATCCGCCCCCCCGTCATTATCGGCAGTGTCACCGCGATGGAGCTGCAGGCCCTGCCGCCCAACGCCGAAATATGCTTTGGCGGGTGGCTCTATGTTAGTCTGCAAGACGAGCAGGAGCGACTGCGCAAGTCACTGCGGCGCTACGCCGCACAGCAGCGCCGGCGGGCCGCCAAGGCAGCCTCCACGGACGCCATGCGCTTCTCTACTCGATCGTCGTCAGCTCCACGCAGCGGCAGCAGGCAGTCGAGGCAGCGGCGATGTGGTGACCACACGAGCGCGTCTGGGGTCGATGAGACGGACAGGGAGGGAGGGAGTAGCGGCGTCAACGCGAACGACACCACAAATCGGGTCAGCGGTGCCACGGCCTCCCCAACTCAAGACGAGGCGTCGCCGAATTCGGCATCGGTGGAGATGAAGGCGGCGGACGGCGGCGAGGAACGCGTGCCGCCCACGGATAAGTTCTCGTTTAGGCCCTCGGAGACGGCTGTGTACCACGACCCCCTGAGCTCGCCGTTGCCACAGGCGGCAGACAGCGAGGGCGACGGCGGGGAGGCGGTTCACGAGGCTCGCTCCGACGGACCCGATGCCGTGCTAGACCGCCCCACCGTGCCTACGAAATCGTCGTCGTCCGCAAATATCGGCCCGGCGGCGGCTTCTTTAGAAAAAAACTGGAACGGGACGGCAAATGCAAGCCTGTCCGACACGCCAACACCTTCAAGAGAGCCAATGAGAACAGACCATGAGAACGAAGCGGTGGAGAAGCCGCATGAGGAGGACGCGATGAACAGCACTATCGCCGGAGCCGGTGCCAAGCAGCGACCGACGCCGACGCCGACGCCGCTGGGCGACGGGATGCTAAGGGAGCCCCTCGACACGACGCCCGTTCGCCTGCAGGCGAGCCGAAGTGTCACCGTCTCCCCCCAGCGCACGCCCTCGCGGATGCGTCCCCGCTCCTCCAGCGTGCCGCCATCGCCGATGTTGGGGTCGTCGAACAACGGCCCGGCGATGCCGCCCCCGCTGCGCCACGCCGGCCGCTACGCACGAGAGGCGATGGAGGCGGACACGCTGAATTCGACATGGCTGCCGTACGCGTACGTCATCGTCGCCGTGCCCATGTACGAGTGCTCCCTCGTCTCCACCACCTTCCACACCGCCCTCACACGGCACAAGGCGGTCTCGCTGAACCTGGGCAGCGCGCAGTCGCGACAGGCCTACGGCGTCGGCTGCATCACCGGCGTCCGCTACGGCGGTGTGATGGTCATCGAGTACCGCGATAAGATCGACGACGAAGAGGACGCAGCGTGGATTGGGGAGCTGATGCGCGTCGGCAGGGCGGCGCAGCAGGGCGAAAACGGCGACGGCGCGGAGAACAACGACGGGGACGGCGGCGGCAGCGGCAACGTAGATCTCTCCGTCTCGGCCGTCTTCCGGCACATACACCACTCCGCCGCCCACCGCGCCCGTGCAGAGAAGCTGCGCAGGGTAAAGAGCCGCATTTGGCACAAGCTGCGCCGACAGGGTCTGCACGTCGTGCTCGCCGCCACACGCATGGCGGACCGCCGTCACCGCCAGCACCGCGCCTCCGTCGCAAGTGAGGTCGGCTATCTCTTCAGCACCACCCACACGGATGCCGCCGCAGCGGCGGCCGGCTCCGCCACGATGGCGGGGTCGAGCCACACCCCGCAGCACCTCAGCGCGACGGTGCGACGCACGCCACCGACACTGCCGTACCTGCCCTCGTCGACCGCCAACGCGCGGCAGACCCGTCTCCGCGCCACGCGCAGCAGTGTGACGGAGCCGGTTCGGGCGGAGAACGCCGGAGTCGAAGAAGGCGGCCTCGGCGCGGACTACGGTGGGGGCGGGGCGGAGGAGTTAAATGAGGCGATGGAGGACGCGGCCGCCAACGACTTCGACAGCACCGACAGCAACCTCAGCACGAACAGCGACAGCGACAACGACAGAAATGCCGGCAACCGGCACTCCCGCTTCAGCTCCGAGAGGCGCCACAGCACGGCGACGGAGGGGAGGGGCAGCAGCGCCGGTGGGGGCGAGTACGGCGGCGGCTCCGCGCACGGCAGAATCCGCTCGAGTCACACAAACAAAATCGGTCAGTGGTGGCGCTCCTCGTGGGGCCGCCGTCGTCACCGTCGACGCCGCGCGAGCGGCGGCAGTGAAAGCGAGCTGGCGACAGGCAACAGCGGACACGACGGCAGAGGCCACCACCACCACCAGCACCAGCACCAAAACCACCACGGCGTCACCACGCGCGAGGACCGCTTGCGCTGGGCCGATCCGCAGATGGCGGATGACTTCTACCTCCGCGGCACCTTCCGGCAAATCGGTGGCATTAAGTACCTGGGTGTGGTCTCTCTCATGGACGGCTGCCCCGTGTCGGAGCTCGTGCAGGGCATCAAGCGGTGGGTGCTGAACCTCTTCGCCATGCCCATAAAGGCGCGCCCCATCTGCCTCTACTTGCAGCGCTACGAGGGCATTGCGGCGTCGCTGCGGGTGATGCAGACGCCGCTGGCGGCGACGGCGCTCGCCCTCAACGTCGCCTCGGGCAAGCAGCTCGCCCAGGGCAACTTCAGCTTCCACATCCCGTCCGCTGGGGTGCCGGAAGGGGAGGGCACCGCGATGAACATGGACGACGTCGCCGCCTCCTTTGCCTCACAGCTCCCCGGCGACCCCTTCTTGGACCCAGTGGCGACCTCCTCTGCGCTCGTCAACGTCTCCTTTTCTGCCCTGCAGGCACCGCTGCCTCAGCCAACCCGTGCCCTGGGCTACCAATCGTACTACTGCGGGCCACTAGAGCCAGAGGTGCGCGCGGTGCTGTCGCCGGAGATTGAAGCAATGATTGCGTCCTGCCAGACACGGCAGCTGCCCGACGTGCTCAAGTCACCCACGTCGGAGGGCGTCGCAGCCGAGGACCACGGCAGCGCCATCACGGATGACCCTCTGTCGCCGCATCCGCGGAAGTTGGCGTCTGGAAAGCATTCCACCATTACGGCCAACTCTCACAACACCCACCCGGCCACCGCTCAAGGCGGCACGGCCAAGGTAGCGGCAACGCCAACGGCGCCCTCCTCCGCTTTTACTCCTGCAGTAGACACAGCGGGGTCCAATCACTCCGCCGCGTCTCTCTCCCCGAAGCTGATCCCCGCACAGCCGCCCTTTGACATGCCGTACTGTGTCGACGTAAGCACGCAACTCGCGCAGCAACGGCAGCAAAAAAAGCCGCAGAATCCTGCCAGCTCGTCGCCGAAGAACTTCTCCCTGCACCCCTCCGTCGCGCTCACGGAGAGCGCTACTGCCCTCACGCACCCGCAGCTCAAGGCGGCGTCGCCAGCTGGCAGCTTTGGCGCACCCAGCGCAGACGCCAAGACCACCGGCACGATGGAGACGGACACCACCGCCAGTCACGCGCGGCCCCCGGCGAACACGGTGCCCACCACCATCACCGAGTTTTTGCTCTACGACGATCCAACGAATCGAGACGGCGGCACCGGCAGCAGCTTCACCGCCGCGAACAGCCAGGCCTTAGCAGCGGCGGCGGCGGCACTGATGTTGAGAGAGAACGTGAAGGGACCTGCGGCGGTGAGCAACGCCAGTTTGGCGGCGCCGTCCGTCAACACGGGAAGCTTCCCGGCCATACACGCACCGGGCGATGATCCGCTGCTGGAGGCGGCGCACGGTGTGAACGGCGGCAGCTTCGATCACGTGAAGATCCTGCGCGAAACGGCCACTGCCGCGATGCACCACAACAACAACAGCGACAACAGCTTCCTCAGTGTGAGCGACAGCACAGCGCGCGTCGACACGACGGCGGTGGTGGCGTCACCGACAAGGAGCGCGTCGAAGGTGAAGGAGCCGCAAGAGAAGGGGCAGCCAGAGCCGGGACATCCAGGAAAATCGCCGCAGAGTCCGACACAGGAGGAGAAAGGCAGTGGCACGTCCACCCACACCTACAGCAAGCGTGAAGGTGCTCCTGGTTCACCGGCGATTTCCTCGCAACTGCTGCCGGCGGCACGCGCCTGCAACCGCAGCGAGCCGGGAAGCAGCGATGAGGAGGACGGCAGCCACAGCAAGAGCGACGGCGAGGATGCCACTCGCGACAACGAGGCTGATGAGCGAGAGTTGGAGTGGCAGTTGGCAGACCGCGAGCTGCGTGCGCTCAAATCTGAGCTGGACGAGATGTCACACCTCGCCTCCGTTGCCCGCAGTGAATTGCTGGAGCGGTTGGAAGAGTTTATTCAACTCGGCGCCGTCTTCCTGCCACACACCCGCCCCGATCAGGTCGGACTGTGTCTCATCACCATGAAGATGCTGCGCCAGTACCCGGAGGAGGTGCCGGTGAAGGAGATCCACACGGACTGGGTGCCGCTGCTCATGTCACTGCTAACGAGCTCGCGAGAAAGCCTGTTCTGCTCCTCGGGCTACGACGGCGGAGACCTTGGGCGGATGGTCTGCGGCCCTCCCGGCTTCCTGACTACCTACAACAACATGGTGGACGCGGCAGACATGTGTGACGCGAACAAGCGCCGCGAGGTCTGTGGGATGCGGACGACGAAGTACACGATTGACCCGCTGCCCCCGTTGCCGGCCCCGCACCGCCTCCACGACATCGTCATCGCGCCGCAGCCCGTGCGCTTTACAAAAGCGATGCTGCACGACATGAAGCGTGTCGGCATGGAATGCGAGGGGCTTTCCTTTTCCTTCTCGGGCGGTTCGCTAGGCGTGTTGGCGGGCGTGCTTTACTATTACAGTGACTTCCTGCGCGCCAAGTACCGCAGTGAGGTGGTCGCGGCGGGCGGCCGGCCGAGGGACGCAGGGGCGACGGTGCTCGATGTGCTGAGCCGTGGCGGCTACAACGTGCTGCTGCGCCGCATCTGGATCTGGGGCGTGACGCCGGAATCGAAGAAGTCGAAGCGGCAATCTGCCGTGGCGGCCACGAAGAAGCTGCTCAAAAGAAAACTGGACATTGGCGACGACGGGAGCGGCGGCGACTCAACGCCCCCCACCCCGCTGCACGCGAACGAGCACGAGCACGTGGCCACCAATACCACCGGTGTGGGCGGCGACTCGGTGCGCTTCGTCGGCCGCCCGTTCCGCGGCACGGAGGCGTACGCCCTGTACGACGCCATTGCCCACTACCTGCGCACCATCGAGGAGCTCTGCACCGAGCACCGCGGCAACAGCTCCATGGCTCCCCACGCGCCAGTGAAGCGGCGATCGGTTCTCATGGCGTGGCGTCGCAGTAGGGACAGCGAGCCGGCGAATGCAAATGGCGGGGCTGGGACGACGGCCGCCAACCGCAGGTCCACCACAGGAGACACACAAATCAACGGTCTGGATAGCCTCCTCGAGGACGCCTCCGGTGCGCTCGATCTCGTCCCCACCTTTGAGGTGTGTGTTGCCACGAATTACTACTACAAGCGCGTGATGGACGAGGCACACCGGTCGGCGCGGAGCCATACGCCTAGCGGTGGTGGTAATGGCGGCAGCAACGGTCACGACGAGAGCTCCGTAATGGAGAAGCCGTACTGTGGTGGGGAGGAGGCAATCAAGAAGGACGCGCTGCAGCGCAACACGACCAAGAAGTTTTTTGGGTTCTTGTCCGATCACCTCGAGCAGTGGCTTGCGCGGTACAGCGAGGACAAGACGACGAACGCGTACGGCAAGCGCATCAGCGTCTCGCTGAACTGAGTGAAGCGATTAAAAAGGGGCAGGGGGAGAGGGAAGTGAGGTGCGTGTTTTACGGATACATGCTTGTGTGTTATCCGGCCGATAGCAACGTCAGTTGGGCGTGGAACGCCATACCTACGTGCACCGCGTTCTCGGTACAATTCATTCCGAATCGAATAGTGTATTTATTTTTTTGAAGAGATAGTTTTTCTTCTCTCTCTCTTTCTTGCGTGTTAAATGGGCGACGAACAGCGCCATACGCTTCCAACTCTCAAGTGGATGGCTAAAACTTTAAAAAAGAATGTAACTTACTAAGGAGGCGTGGTTTGCGGCAACTGTGAGGCGACCGTTTCCGTATCCCGCGAGCGTCCCCCCCCCCCCCCCCTTCCGTAGCCTTATGGATGAGTGTGGGCGTCTGCAAAGCCGCATTGAGCGGCAGTTAAGGGAAGACCAGTCAGCAATACACACAAAAGTGTTGGTGTGGTTTCTACCAAGTGATGCGCCACCCCCACCCCCGAACTTCTCCTCCTCCTCGATCTCTGCTTCACAACCGCTACTTCGCTGTCGCTATGCTTTCACCCGTTCATCACGTCTGTTAGTTTGCCTGTGTGTACGCGTGTGTGTATGCGCGTGCGTTCTCTCTCTCGTGGATTTGATTTGGCGACCGGGGAAGAGAGTTCCTTTTGTCAGTGTGGACGTACACGGCGGTGTTCTTCTTTCTTTCTTCCGTTTATCTTCTTCACAGAGCCGTCAGCGGTCACCAGGTGGAAGTGTGGGGGGCGAGCAATCCTTTTCGTTCTCCGCCACACAACTGGCGCATTCTCCTGCGCACGCTCTCCATTTCCACCACGTCCTTTCTTCTTGGCTGGGTAACGTCGTTGTAGGACATATTATACCAAAAAAAAGATAGAGGCAGTAGTAGTAGTCACGCACACACACACATTGTTTAGGAAGAGAGCGGGCCTGCGACTTCGCCCCTTCACCCCTGCGGCGTCCGCTGCAAACGGAAATCGTTGTTTACCTCCTCCCTCCCCCCCCCCCGTTTTTTTTTTTCGCCGGAGTAGCACGTGCAACAACAGCGCACACTCACATACACCAAAAACAAGCAAGTAAGAAAAAATGCTGCGAGCACCGGTGCACCACGCGCACTCGATGCGTTCGCACGCTGCGTGCTGCACGGCGGCGGCCGCCATCGCAGGTGGCAGTGGTCTTCTCGGCACGGATGTCGTGTTCCTCTCCCGCGGCCACCACGTCCGATCTTCGCTGCATGAACAGCGCCGTTACTCCTTCAAGTACGCCACGAAGCGGCAGCACAATGAGATGCGTCAACCCTTCTTCATCCACGAGAAGCGCTACGGCCTTTTCAGCAATGAGCACAACATCGGAAAGGCGCGGCGTGGCCTGCCGCACATTACGCCCATCTACACGAAGCACATGCATCTGTGGGAGACCGACACCGACGCCAGCACGAATCGCTTCTTCCGCAGCTACGTTTTTGGGCAGCGCGACCTGCACACCCTGCTCGGTCGCCCGCACGGCTTTGAAGCCGATCAAGCCGGCGGTCGGCAAGGCGACTCCGCCTACGAGCTCAACACCGATCAGCGTTACAAGGGAGTGCCGCGGCCCGCCATCACGAACCTGCACTACGAGCCGCAGTGGAACCGCACGCTCTACCGCAACGCCGCCCACGGCAACGCGCTGGCAGACCCGACTTCGGCACTGACAACCGCGGTGCTCGGGCCGGAGTTGGTGGAGGTGCGCGACATTAAGTCCGTCGAGCACTGCAAGGCGTGGTTTGAGAGACTTGCTTTCTTAGTGCAGCAGCACTACGACGCGGTGGGTGACATCGGCGCCTTCCGCTCGCGGCACACGCGTCACGTGCACGAGTTCTTCGTCGCCTTCCACGACGCCCTGAGCAGCTTTGACTTCCAGGACGCCTACCTGCTCGACCAGTTCGCCAAGGTGCGTCCCCGGCAGCTCGACGACCTCTTTGCGATCTTTATCGAGATGGAGGCGAACTACGTCCATGAAGACTACTGCCCGCGGTGCAGCCTGCCGTATGCGACGACGCACTACTGTGGCGAGGGGGACCCGAACACGCCCTTCCGCAAGCACCGCGGCCGCTGGGCACCACATCAGCAATGGGGGAGGGAATGGTACGACGTGGTGATGCGCCGCGCAGAGGCGCTGTGGTACCGCGCGACGGAGGACCCGTTTTTTGGCACTTCATCGCACACCCAACGCCAGGTGGAGGCCCTCGTCTCGGTGTACGTCAAGACGAAGCATCGCGCCAAGCTGGTGGACTTCCTCCACGCCATCCGCGGCTCGAAGGAGTACCTGCTGGGTGCAATTCAGATCACCCCGGCGATGCAGCAGGCGGTCGACACACTGCTCGACAGCACGGCGCACCAGCACCTCCTCACCAACGCCCACACCTTGGAAAGCAAGGCAGCCAAGTACACCGGCGAGGCGCAGAGCGTTCCGCACTCGCCACTGCAGATGCGACTGGATATGGAGATGAACAAGTACCGCCGTCAACAGAGAGAGGAGGGCGTCGTGCGGGTGCCACCGGCGGCGTGGAAGCTGGACACGTCCGCCATCGTGCCCTACAAGATCGACCCGCAGACGAAACAGGTGACGAACTGGCGGGCGGTGAAGGAGGGCATCGAGAAGTCGTTTCTCGCCACCGGTCTGCCGCAGGAGGCGTACACAAGTGAGGAGTGGCGCGAGATGCTGTACTTAAAGGAGCGCATCGCCAGCCGCGGCACCCGACGTGCGCAGCTGGAAGGGGAGCGCCAATCGGCGGAGGCGACCATGGTGCGCAAGTACGGCGTCAACGCTTCCTCTCCGGCAGGATGGTGTGTGTTTCCAGATAAGGACTGGTACCGCGTCTTTGAGACGTCCGCGGAGGCACTAAAGCCGTTTGGCGTGACGCGCAGCGGTGAGATGTGTCTTGTCCGCACGAAGGTGTACCCGAATCCGGCCGCCGTGCCCTACACGGACCCCAACCGCAACGTCTCCATGATGCTGGACACCACGCCCGCGGCCTGCGCCGTCTTCGGTGGCTTTCAATCGGGCGAGGTGGTGCGTCTCACCCCACACGAGAGTAGCACCGATAGCAGCGATGGTGGTGGCCCGGCCGCTTTTGAGGTGGTCATCGTCGGCGTCGACAAGAGCGGCGCGGGGGCGGAGTGGGCGCTGTACGCTATGCCCCGCGACGCGGCCTCACAGGCCAGCAGCGGCCTGCTCGCCCTTGGCACTGACTGCCTCGCCGTGCTCTCGAGCTACGCGAAGGTGGAATCCACCGGGCTGCTGGCCCCCGTGACGGTGCTCGATGCCCAGCGGGGTCTGACCGAGGAGCAGCTGGGGCAGGTGGTGGGGGTGCGCCAGGGCTGCTTGTACGTGCAGTGGCACCTTCTGCCGGGTGGCAGCTCCGAGCTGGACCGCAGCGTGGCGACGCCGCTGGGCACGCCGGAGGTGGTAAAGCAGCTATACCAACTGCGCGCCGTGTCGAACAACGATGGAAGTGGCGCTCCACAGCCACCGCTGCTGCTGCAGGAGCCGCCGTCGTGGCGCACGCCGTTCCGGAACGACTTTGTAGACGAGCGCCTGAAGGAGCTGGAGCAGGCCCCTTTTCAACGTGAGCAATGGGCGTCGCTCATCCAAGGCAAGTACACGCCCAAGGTGAAGAAGTTCGGCTACGCACAGCACACCACACAGGACGACTTCCAAACGAAGGAGTACAAGGACCGGCTGCTGGCCCGGCAGTTCTTCACGAACCCGCAGGCCTTCGCCGTTATCCCAGAGAGGCACGAGCGCTCGGTGCGGTTTATGGGTAAGTGGGAGCACCAGCGAGTGTCGGGTCTGCCCACGGTGGACCGCGAGGAGTTGGAGCGCGGCTGGGGGGAGGCGGAGACGATCTCCGACGCGGAAGTCGGCGCCATTGAGCAGGCCCTGCGGGACATCAGCGGGCGTCGCCCCGGCAACTTCACCAAGTCCGCGACAGAAACGCAGTCCCTCCGACTGAATGAGTCGTGGTGGTCGCCGCTGGAGTACGGCTGGGAGCAGCACAACCGCGAGCAGCGTGCCTTCCTCGACTCGAGCGAGCGCCGCATCATCGAGAGCTCGCGGCTGCCCTTCGGTGGCAAGAAGCCCCCGTTCGGCACAACCTACGGCATCGGCGAGCGCATCAGTGAAATTGCGGCCGACTACGCCAAGGGCTTCGGCTTAGGCCCACACGGACACTCACCGCAGCACGACAGCTCCCATTTTAACACCCTCGACACGGAGCAGCAGCGCGTGCAGACGCTCGGGCTCGGCAACGTGCTGGTCCGGCTCTTTCATGAGAAGCTGGGCAACCAAGATATTCAGTCCTGGGCGGCGCAGCAGTGCGGTGAGTCAGACGCCAGCGTACGCCACCTGCTGCTCTCGGTGGAAGAGTGGCGCACAAAAGGTCGCACGCCATCGCTGCTGCTCCGCAACGTGCTGCAGCGCTACTTGAAGGACGAGCTGGAGCTGTTCAACAGCGGCCTTCCAGTGGGTGTGCCTCGACTCGCGGTGCCGTCTGTCGTCTCCGACCGGGCCGCCACAACACACGACGGCAACATCTGGGCGGACGTGGACCGCAACGCCTTTGCGCTCGCCCACGCCGCTCAGTTCCACCACGGCGACAGTGATGAGCCCTACATCGTCGGCCTCGTGCAGCGCGCCAGCAGCGGCAGCGGCTCCGTCGTCGGCCCGACCGACAACAACTACACGGAGTTCATTCAGCAAGACATCATGCAGCGCTTCCAGACGGACCTCGCCCGCATCGTCGGCCGCGGCATCCCCGACTCGGTCATCAGCGAGCGCACGGCGAAGAACAACCGCGGCCTTGAGCGGGCGAGCGGCAACGTGACAACGCTGGTGCGGGTGCAGGAACTAGCGCGACTGCTCGCCAAAATGCGCGTCACGGCGGACAACATCGCCCTCGTCACCCGCGGGCTCGCGCAGTGTCCGGAGAAGGAGCCGCTGGACGGTATTCATGACTTTGCGGTGCCGGTGTCGCTGATCCTCAGCTGGGCAGGGCCGAGTTCCAGCGGCAGCACCGGCGCTTCGCCGCAGCAGCAACGCGGTGGTCACGGCCTGAGCAGCAGTGTGCAGCAGCACCTACTCGACAGCTCCCGCCAGCGTGGCGGCAGCGGCGGCGGTGGCGGCAGTGGTGGTGGCAGCTCGGAGAAGATGGTGGTGGAGGTGCTGGAGGAGCTGGCGTGGAGTCGCGACGGCCTCGCGGCGGACGTCTTCTACGCCATTCGGCAAAACAAGGCCAACCCCACGCTCCAACAGGAGTTCATGAACGCCTTCTTGCCCGTGTACGAGCACAACTTTAAGAAGGTGCAGGAGAAGTTTGACGACTACACGGCTGGCAAGTTCGTGCCGAACATCACCGTGGCCATCGAGGCGTTCGTGAAGTTTCTGGCGAACATGTCGAACCGTCCGGAGCAGCTGACGAGCGCGGTGGAGTACTTTGAAAGGGACGACGAACGGCGGCTGGACGGGGGCGGGGCGACGGGGCAGTACACGCAGATTCGCCTCCTCCCCCCACACCTCGGTCCGTTCCAGTTTGAGAGCACGCTTGTGGAGTCCATCGAGACGGCCGATCAGTTCCGCCGCTACGGTGTCCAGGCCGGTCCGACGCGTGCCCCGGTGACCGGCTTCATTGCGGCGAACAGCAAGTCGCTCACCTACCGCACCCACCGCGAGAAGGACGTGGTGTACGTGACCTCGGCGGATGACCAAGGGCTGAGCAGAGCCCTGCGCTCGTCTCCCGCCTTCAAGGACATCACGAGCAATCCCGCGCTGTCCCACCTGCTGAAGGAGAGCGGCGGCCACCAGTACCCGGGCCTCATTGCGAGCTTCAACCGCTTCTTCTACCGTGTCGCCCCGATGCTTAGCTTCTACGAAAAGGTAATAAAGGACTACGCCGAGACGGTCCCGCTGGCGCGTGCGGAGGCGCAGGCAGCGAACTTCGGTCTCGCGCGTGCGCTCGAGAGCGAGGCGTCGACGACGATAGAGCAGGAATTCCGCCGCAACGCGGAGCGCTACTGGCGCAATGTCCTAGAGGGCCGCAGCGTAGAGGAGGCAAGCTTGATGGGTGGTGGTCGGGCCTCGTCCAGCGCCGTGGGCCGCCGCCCACCGCAGCAGAGCGGCGGCGACGGGCCTGGCGGCAGCGCCACTCCACGCGGCGGCACGAGCGATTACATCTTGGCGAATGCCATCGGCCGACGGCCCGTCGCGGCAACGGCAGCGGCGTCGAAGGCAGCCGACGGTGCCGGTGTGGGTTCGAGTGACCGCAGCCCGTCGCCCTCCTCACCGTCTGCTGCGCGTCGCGGCGGTGCTGGTGGAGCGCCTCGCACCTCCACGTCGAGCGACGTGAAGTCCCTGCTCGGGGCACTGAAGGGCGGCGCGAAGGGCGGAAGCAGCTCGTCGAGCGGTCGGTCCAACAACCGCGGCGGTGGCGGCGGCAGCCGCCCACGCGGCAGCAACGGAGGACGGCCGGGCAGCAAGTGAGGACCGCAATGACGTGGGTGGAAAATGGAGCTTTCTTATAGTTAAAGAAAAAAAGAGGCGACGTGGTGCCTGACGGCAGCGGCGATGAAAGCTCTCTTGCCGCCTCTTCTTTGTCTTGGTGTTGCTGGAAGAAGTGTTGAGATGGTAAACCTTGTGAGTGCACCGAATCGTCTGTGCGCGCGTGAACGCGGACGGCACTTTTTTATTCTCTTCTGTCAAGGTGCCGCATACACAGAGGTGCAACGACGTGGTGCTTCTATGGGGGGAGTTTTTATTGATGTTTTATTTCTTTTTTCGCTGGTGGTGGTGTTAGTGCGATGGTTTGGTGGACACGAAGAGGTTTGTTAAGCCTCTCGTTTGTGGTTTGTGGTTTGTTTTTTGTTTACACACGCGAAAATGAAAATACAGGTTTCACCACAACAACGAAACATATATGAAAAGACTGGAAGGGCGGTCTTTGGCCACGAAGACGCTTCGTGTCCTGCACTGCTGCTGCTGCTGCTGTGGTCCCTCAACGTGACGAAATTCTTGCTCTCTTGCTTTTTGGAAAGGGGGAGGGGGGTGCGCACAACGGTGAGGAGTTGGAAGCAACTTCAGTTTCTGATGCACCTTGGGGTCTGTTCTGCTCGTCGTCCTCGCCATCGTCTCCCACCCTACACGCCTACCGCCTCTAACACCCGTGTGACTCCTGACTTCTTCTTCCTCGCTTGCTGCCCTACGACGTCTAATCGGAATTCTGAATGAATGGCACCGCCGCCAAAAAAAAAAAGGGGAATCCAACGGTGCACGGAAACACAAGGTCGAGACGACGAACTCTACGGCATACAGCAGCACCTTTCTTTTCTCTCCGTACCCCTTCCCGATTATTATTATTATTGTTGTTGCCTCCACTGGGGCCTCCATGGGGCAATAGCCCATACACAGCTGTAACGGAAGAGAAGGAAAAGAAGAGCTTTTACTCACAGTGAGAAAAAGAAAAGCCAAGTATTGAACCTCGACGTTTCCTCCACGGATTGTGTCGTGGGGTGTACTTCTTTCACCACGGGGTATGGCGGTGCCTTGTCGGCGTGTGCTCTGACGTTTGTGGTACTTTCTTTCATTCATTCGATCCCTCTTGTCAGTGGAAGGAAAAACGGCTTCCGATTTAATAGACGCCCTTAGCTTTCGTTCTCTCGCCTGCATTCACCGGCGCACGCACGCATCCACAGGCCGCAGATAACTATATATTTTTGTATATATTTTTTTAAAGACGAGCTTTCCTGCCAAGGTTTCGGAACTCAGAGTTGCAGGCAACTGTGTAAACGGAAAAGGAAAGCGCAGCGTTCGAGGTGATTTCAACTTCGCATTCAGCGACGGCTGTTTGCCTAATTGGTGAATTGATCGGTTTCATATTATATATATATATATATTTATTTATTTATTTATTCAGTTGTCTATCTCAAAAGGCGTTGTCTTGTGCGTCTTCCGCACTTTGACTTCAGTTGCTGTCGATCCCTTTTTTCATTTTCAAGGTTTTTTGTAGACGTTTTTCTTCCTCATGTCGCTGCGTCGGGCAAAGACGATAAAAAAGGGAAACTGTCCGACAAGATAGGCACTCGCATTCACAATTACGTGTCCATTGCAGTATATATATATATCGAGGAGACCCGAGTGAAACAGCGTAGTGAACTGCTCTATTTATTTGTTCATTAAGTTGTTTATTTTTTGACAAGCTCGTACGTATCATGTACGGCTCTGCGGAGCGACCCCCCTCCCCCGCCGCGCTGCCGCAGTCCGACCTGTCTTTACTCGCACAGCGGCATTACAACTCCCCCCTGTACAGCGTTCAGCGCAGCTCCGTGCCCATCGCCACCGTGCCCGTCAGCTCCGCCGGAGCCGCCTGCCTCACCGGCGTGCCGGCGGTCGGTAGTAGCCGTCCACTGCTGGCGTCGCCCACGCAGAACCTTTTCTCGGACGGGTTTGCGGGTATCACCACCCCGCTGCTGTTGTCCCGCAGCATCCGCGAATCGACGCTGCATCGCGTCGAGGGCGGGCTCTCTCGCACGGCGAGCAACTACGCCCCGAGCGTCGACGACACGGACGACGTCCACGGCTCGGCAACGCCGATGGAGATGACGGACATACCGCAGCGTGACGCTAGCAGTGGTAGCGCCGGAGCAGGTAATGCGTCGATTAGCCTGCCCGTCACCGCTGTCCACCCACAACTCCCCTCGACCTCCTCTGCAGCGGCGTCCTCTTCCGGTGCAAGCGGCGAGGCCACGACGATGAACTTCGAGTCGCTCTGGACCAACATCGATCGTTACCTCTTCGCCGTTTACACCACCCTGCAGACAGGCGACGAGAGCGCGCTGCGGCCGCTGCGGACGCCGCGGCACCGCATGGGATGGTACACCGTCATCTACAACGCCTGCAGCGGCAGCCCGGCCAAGTCCCGCGAGCTTTACACCCGCCTTGCCCTTCTCCTGCTGCACCTCTTAGAGTCGCACGTGCTCTTTCCCATTTTGCAGAACGTCGACCACAGCCGAATACAGTTCCTGACGGGGACGGAGGACAGCATCGTGGACGAGGTCGCGAGTGCGTCCGTGCGACTGGGCGGCAGTGGGGGCGTCTGCAGCACCCAACAGCAGCAGCACCAACAGCATCATCAACAAGTGCAGGCGCAACAGAGTGCGAGCGGCAGCGGGAATAGCGGTGGCAGCTTTGGTGGTTGGGGACGCTTTCGAAGCATCGCAACTGGTGGCGGCGGCGGTGGTGGCGGTGGAAGTGCCCGCGCTCGCCAGTCGAAGGACATGAGTCGCAACTCCTCCTTCAACGGCAGTGTAGCCGGCCACCACCAGGGCAACGCCGCGGCGAACACCGGCAACAATAGCTCCTTTGGCTTCATGCGGCGTCTCTTCCAGTCCTCGCACCGCGCGGCGTCGCCGGTGGTGAGTGGGCCCCACGAGGACGTGGACGAGGAGAGGGGCGTGGTGGAGCTCTGTCGGCAAGCATCATCACCCGCACTGCCGCTGACGCCGGCCCCCACCTCCGTAGCGCAGCTCCTCCGCGGTCGCACAGGGTGGTCCTCCACCTCGCGGCCCAGCACCCCACTGCAGACTTCCGTCGGCACCAGCAGCGACAACGCGGGTGCCGCAGCCGTCACACGCCACCACAGCAGCGTGGCCTCCGCCCCGAATGAACTCCACTCTGCCTTTGAGGGCTTCGACAGCACCGTGCGCAGCAACAGCGGATCGGGGTTGATGGCGCCGCCGCCACCACCGGCACCCCAGTCCTTCCATTCCGCCTCCTCCCCCGCCGTCACCGTGGCACGCGTGACAGGTCTGAGGATTCAAACCAACCTGAGCGCCGGCACCACCGCAGCCACGCCGTCGAACATGTCGGTGTCGCGCTCTCCGCTTCCGGGCTCGTCGCAGAGCCCGCCGGTTTCCCCGCCGGTGCTGTCGCGTCAGAGCACCGTGCGCAGCACCGTCTCCACTGCGTCGTCTACCCGCTCGCTGTCGGCCACCACCGACACGCGCACCGCCACCTCGACAGCGCCGCCGAGCGCCATCTCATCCCACCACACCCGCGTTGCTTCCAAGACGGGCCGGGTGCTCGTGAATGACGAGGAGGAAGTCCTATGCGAGGCGAATACCGTCGCTGCGGCTCGCCGCCCCCCGAAGCGCAGCCGCCCACTGCCCTTGAAGGCACACGGTGGGGTGGAGGTGGCGGCGGCAGCAGCGACGAGCAAGCTCGCGAAGTCGTCACCAGTGCCGCCGCAGCCGCCGGCCTCAGGATATGCTAGCGCGCGCACCCACACCAGCGACGACGCCGGTGATGGCGACTCCCTGCACACCATGAACTCCTCCCTTTCGTCGCCGCCTTCGAGCCACGGCGCGGAGCACAGCGAGGGGGAGGGGAGTCGCACGCTGACGGGCGGGAGCGCGTCGGGGCCGAGGCGTGATCACCGTCGTCGTCGCCGCGGTGGTGGTGGTGGTGGTGGTCATCGCGGGGGCCCACCCCCGGCGCATCAGGTTGCCGGCCCGCCGAATGTTGCCGATGACGAGACAGAAGACTCCACCGCGGTGCCGTCGGCCAACTTTGTGTCTCCCTCCTCCGCGTCCTTGGCGAGCGCCGAAGACGTCGGCTCTCCTTTTCTCTCCATGGAGCCGTCGAATGAAACCTACGTGGGGCCCGCAGAGCTCGAGGAAGGGGCGGCGGCAACGGCGGCTACGACCGTACCGTCCCCTGCACAACAGCAGCAGCCAGCAGCAGCAGCAGCAGCAGTGACAGCGTCAAGCGGAGGCTGCACCACTGCCTCCTTGCCGATGAAAAGAGGCGGCAGCGCGAGTGCGCCCGCCTCGCCAACCTTTGCTGCGGGCGTGAGCAGCGGAGGCCCTAGCCCGGCCTCCCTGCCGCGTCAGGCAAGCAGCAGCAGCGGTCATGGATGGTGCAACACCGGACGTGAGACAGCGGTGCCGCTGCGTCAGTCCTCTTCCCCGCGGGCGCTGAGTCCACCACACACGTTACCGCATTGCAGCGGCGACGCCGCCGGGTCGAACGTCTACGGCGCCCGTCGCTTCAGTCTGTGCTACACCTTCATCCAGGAGTGGCAGACCTTTCTGATCTTTCGCGGTGTCGTCCTCTCCTGCTTTCGGTACCTAGATCAGTACTACACCCGACGCTACGGGATGGACACCATCACCCTCATGTGTTTTAAAGTGTTCTACGTCACCGTCTACGAGCCGCTACACCCCCTTCTCGTGCTGGAGCTGCGGTACCTCACGCAGTACGTGCGCGAGGTCTTCGAAACGACGGGGCAGATCGCGTGGGAACAGATGGAGCTCATTCAAGCCACCTACAACATCATGGCGGAGCTGGTGGTGCTGGTGCAGTCTACCTCCTCGTACATGGTAGCCCAGCAGCAGCAACAGCCAAAACCGATCAGCTGGGGCGTCGGCGGAGCCACCGTAACCAACACCACAAGCAGCAACGCCGCCGCCGCCGCCCTCACCTCGCACGCACTGGTCGAGACGTCGCGCAGTCGCACCAACAGTCGTGGCCGCGGCGTCGGTGCTGGTGGGGGTGGGACAGACAGCAGTGCCAGCAGCGTGGGGAGTACACCTCGCCTGGACTCGTTAGAGATGCAGAGCCGGGCCCCTTCCACCACCTCCCCGACCGCTGCAACGACTGCTGCAGCAGCAGACCGCCTTAACGACTCGCGCTACCACGTCAGCCGTCGACGGCGCCTTCTTTCCCTGTTCTCCAGCAAACGGCAGCACGGCGAGGCCTCCGCGGCCAAGGAGGAGCCGCGGTCAACGCCGCTGCAGACGACGAGTCCGGGCGACAGCGTTGAGGCTGCCGGCCACCCTTCCGCCTTTGAAAACCGTCGTCCCAGTGTCTCGTGCGTGGCGCGCTCGGTGAACTCGGAAGGCGGCGGCGGCGGCCTCTCGGTCGCCGACAAGGCACTGGATGGGGAGGACACGGCGCGCGTTCTCGACAGCCCCAGTTCCGCAGGGGCCTCTCCGCTGAGCTCGCCGGGGGTGTCGATGGTCGTCGTGGACCTCCGCGGCACGGTGGAGCTGCGCGATCGCCTGGAGGGCCACACCGCCGCACACAACCTCACCACGCAGGCGCTGAAGCAGTGGGAGGGTCTTGCGGCGGATCGCCGGCTGCGCAACGGCACCATTGTCAAGGAAACCGCCAAGCCCCTGGCCGTGATGGTGATGGAGGACATGGGGAATGAATACGTCGCCGGCATCTACAGCTTCTACCGCTGCGCCAGTGATGCCCACCGACGCACCGAGGACGGCCGCCACCACTACGTAGAGTGGGCGGTGGCCGTGAAGGAGTTGGAGACGCACGTGTGGCGACGGGTGCAGCTGCCCTTCCTCCACACCGCCTTGCGTTCCGCATTGAATGAGGTGCTCGTGGTGGAGCAGCACCGCAACATTCTGCTGGATCGTCAGTTTGGTCTGCGTGCGTTGCTGGACGAATGGAGTTCCAGCGTGAAGCGCAATGACCTTGCCTTGGCCCCTCAGGTTTCCGGTGGTGTTAGTGGTGGTGGTGGTGTATCGGCGGCGCTGCTCGGCCCGGTGGCCGGCAACACCAGTTCCTTTCTCACCCCCTCCCCGTCCACCAGCCATTCTCTCGTCAAGGAAGCCAGCGAGTTCTTGGAGGCATCGATGCAGGTCGGGCGGCGCAGCGCAGAGCAGCACTTCATCTCGGCCTTTCCACGCCACCCGCCCCCACGCCTCCTACCGTCTGACCGGCAGAGCCGCGGAAATCCCTCGCAAGCCCCTCTGGCTACGGCGTGGGTTGAGGACACGACAGCTGCAGCCCCTCACCGGGAGGAGAACAGCAGCTGGCGATGGGAGCGCGTGAGTAGCGCCTCGGCGGTGATCAGCTCGGCAACAGCCGCGGCGAGTGCGGCGAGCGCTGGACTCTCCGCACTGGGTCGTGGCAGTAGTGAACTGTTGGTGGAGCGAGTCGGGGCGCGGGTGGGTGGGGGCGACATCAGCGAGCCGACAACACCGCAGTCTGCTACCCACCACGACCCTGTCACGGGCTCTCCCACGACGACTCCTACACCTACGACGGGAGAGACGGCAGCAGAGGCGGCAGCAGCGAAAGCAACACGCGCAGGAGGCGACCTCGTCGGCACATCGCCGGAGGTCGTGCAGACGCATGGGCAGAGCATGGGGGACCAAAGTGCGTTGGGTGCAGCTTCTGCACCGCCGGCGGTGGCGGCCCTGCAGGTCCTCTACAGCCTCTTCAGTGACGTCACGGTGGATGAGTGCTTTGTGCTGATGGCGGCCGTCTTCATCACCAAATTTATCCGCGACGCCGCGGACCTGTTTGAAGACTACGTCGACAAAACGACGGCTGTCTCCGCTGGTCCTTTGTCACCGCAGCCCCCCGTCGGACCTGCGGCCGCCGCTGCGGCCGTGGCCAACGCCGGCGTTCAGCTCGCGACTGCGCTCGTCGACCTCATCGACCGCTACACCGAACTCGTAGAGACGACGTTTCAGAGCCAACCCCTTCTTCGCCAAGCCGTGGAGGACGCGGTGGAGGAGGTGATGTGTCCCACGCGGTGGACCAAGAAGGGGTCGCTGCGAGCGGCGCAACACCGGGCACAGGAGATGCTGATGGCGGCAGCCGCGGCAGCGGCGACCTCGGCAAGCACGAATGAAGACGGCGCCACCACCTCCCCCGCCACACCCACACCGGATTTGCCCAGCGTGTTGCTGAGCCGTGATGCTCGGCACGCAACGCTGCCGCTCGTCTCTCTCGCCACCCGCCATCCACAAGCCGTGCAGCGGCTGCAGCTGTCGGTGCTGCTGGCCCGCTACGCCGACGCCTTTCTCACGCAGGAGCGCGGCGGTGGCCGTGTGGTGAGTGGCGACATCTTTAAACGCCTGCGTCTCATCGGCCGGCTGGTGTCGTTGCTGGAAGACAAGGATACCTTTCTCGAGCACTACCGACTGTGTCTGGCACGACGCTTGTTGGGCACGTCCGGGTCGGCTGCTCCGCCGTCTACTACTGTTGCGGCTGCGGGGCGAGAGCTGGAGCCCGCCACGCCGCCGTCCTCCTCCTCCTCCGGCTTGTTGAACCTGGAGGCGGAGCGGCAGCTCGTGAGCTGTCTGCAGTCGTACCTCGGTGCCACGGGCACACACGCCTTCGAGGCGATGCTACGCGACTACGAGGGCACGCAGCGCACACGCGACCTCTTTGAACAGGAGCCGGCCTTTGCGGCGCTCTCGGCGCCAATTCACGTGCAGCTCATCACCTCAGCCCAGTGGCCCATGTACACGATGCCGCCCTTGACGCCGCACGTCTCTTTGCAGCAGGGCATGGACGTGTTTCGCGGCTACTACGCCACCATTCACCCTTCCCGCACGCTCCTGTGGGTGTTCAGCCTCGGTACGGCGACGCTGACGGCGGAGATGGCGTCGGGCGCCAAGAAGCAGATTGTCGCGAGCACGCTCCTGTCAACGCTGCTGCTGGTCGTTAGCGACGCCTACAACGCACGCCCCGGCTGCGCAGGGTCGATCACCGGCGCGCAGATCGCCCGACGGGTGGGAATGCCTTTTCACGCCCTGCGCACACATCTTCACTTACTCTCCCAGCACCGTGCCTTCAACTTGCTTCGGTACATTCCTGCTAATGCCGCGGCGAAGGCGGTGAAGGACGTGAGCGCGTCCGCGGCCGCCATGACGGAGAACGACAGTTTTACCTTGAACCCAACCTACACGCACAAACTGCGCAAGATCCGCCTGCCACTGCCCAAGACGCGGTTGACGGGTCTCCCTTCGAGTGAAGCTGCGGCGGATCGGGCGATGCCCTCCGCGACGGAAGGCGCAGACGCAGCAGCAGCGGCCGCAGGAGGAGGAAGAGTCACTCCAGCATTGGAGTCGGAGGATGCGGTGGTACATCGGCACGTGAACGCGTCCCGTCGTTTGTTGCTGGACACGGCGCTGGTGCGGGTGTTGAAGAGTCGGCGCGTGGTGTTGTTTGAGGATCTGTTTCAGACCGTCGTGACGCAGCTGTCACGGCAGTTTGTGCCGACTCGACGTGATGTGAAGGCGCAGCTGGAAGGTCTCGTCGACCGCGATTACGTGCGGCGCAGCGCAGACGATCCGAACGAGTTTGTGTATGTCTCGTAGAGGAGCCACAGAGTAATCTCGTGGGATTTGTTTGATTGTTTGTTTCATCGCGGCGGCTGAAACTGCACGGTGAACGTGTTGACTTACTTGGCTTAACTTACTACTACTATTATTATTATTATTATTATTCATATGAATCTGCATGTGCTTCTTTTCATCGCATAGGGAACGAGGTGCCATGGAAGGGTCACCCGTTGCGCTATGAGATATATTGTTCCCTCACATAATATTTTGTTTTTAACCTGTGTTCTTATCTCTTCTCTCTCCCTCTCTCTTTGTCTGTCTGTGTGCGTGTGTGTGTGTGTGTGTGTGTGTGTGTGTGTGACGTGAGCAGTCCGTCTCCACACCTTTGTTCTCTGCACGGTTCTGTGCACCCCACGATGCTGCAGCATACAAACGTTTTGGCGTTTTGCGTGTTTTTGTTTAGTGATGATGATGATGGTTGAATGCGTGTGCTTCTCTTGTTTGCTTGATTTTTTTCCCCTCCTTCCTTTTCATGCAGTGGTGGTGCTGCTTCTTTGAGGCGCGTGGGCGCCATAGCGCGGCAGCTGCGGCTCTCCCCTATTTTGCCTTCGTCGCCGTCTTACCTTCCCTCTACGCGCCGTAATTTCTTTTACAAGATGATCTTTTCTCTCCGTCTCAGGGAAAACACACACACACACGAACACGAACACGAACACGGACACACGAGTTAATGCGTGAGTGTAGGGAAATTTACGCAACGTCTTCTGCCATATATATATTAGTCATGACAGCAACAGCAGTAAAATCGATGCTTCCGTTGTGCGCTGCGAATAAGGCCAAGATAAGTGTGTCACCCACCTTCCGCTCGCTTTACGCACTCCCTTGTGCCTCTCGCTTATCTCTGCTCGTCAAGCACGCTGCGTCGCTTTCGGCGCGTACGGTCTCCGCTGCGTAAATCGATGCTTCGTATTTATATGTATCTATATATTTATTTTTCTCCCCCTCCCTCTTTTATTTTGATCATCTGTGGAGTTGTTCGTTAGTGGCTCTTCTTCGCAGCGCTGTTAGAAGAGGATAGAGACGAAGCGTAGGTGAGGCGTCCTTCCACCTCTTCCTTCTCCACACGGCACTTTCCTTCTTACATATCGCATCATCCTAAGGAATAGTATCTGATTATTACTTTTTCCCTTCGTAGAATGAGCGTCTCCTCGTACGCAGCGATGCCACGCCAGTTGCTGCGTCACGCACGCCTTCAGCTGCAGCGCAGAAGCACAGCAGTCTTATCTCCTTTTATTCTTGCTCACCTCGGTGCCGGTCGCGCCCGTGATGGTAAGCTGCGCTCTTATCAAGCCTTTTTGCAGTACAGTGTCGTTGCGGCTCTCCAGACGGTGCACACGGACTCGCGCCGGTACTCCTCACGTGCGACCCTCGACCCGTCCGCGTCGTCGAGCACGCCAGAGCCGGAGCTGATCTCACTTGACTGCATCGAGGTGATCACCACCACCACTACCACCTCGGTGGAGACGTCCACGGACACCTTCCGCACCACGACGGAGCAAGTGTCGAGCTTCACGGTAGGGGAAGTGGGCAACGCGGAGATTCTTCCCGACGCCTCCTGCAGCACCACCACAGAAACACACGCGGCGCCCTCCGCCACACGTGCGTCCTCGGCCGCCGTCGCACCCGGGCTCTACTGCGATGTGCACACCCTCGACCCGTTTGCGCGCGGTCGCGTCGCGAACTTTATCCGCCGCATGGGCCGCGTGGAGGGGGACATCTTTCGCGTCAAGGAGGTGCCACCAGCAGACGAGACGGCCTCGGCGGGCCGCGTGCTGCCCCGTCACTACGTCGCCACGTGTCGCATACCGCTGCCGGAGCCGCACGGGTTTCACATCGCGCAGGGTCTGGGCGAGGACAGGAAGGAGGCGGAGCTGCTGGCGGCCATGCACGCGGAGCGCGTGTGCGACGCCCTCGGGGTTCCATTGTTTCGTCTCAAGACGGCGCAGCTGAAGCACGCGGAAGCGGTGCGGCTGAAGGAGGGCCGCTACGCGCCGCTTCCCGATGATCCGGTGAAACCGCTCGGCACGCCGGTTCCACCCCCGCTGCGCCTGCTGCGCTCTCCGCCTCCGCCATCATCATCCCCTGCGTCAAACGAACGCGCTTCTCAGCAAAGCCCTGCTTCTTTACACGTGGATATACCAGCGGTGGCGGTGGCAGAGGCAGCATCGCAGTCTTCCAGCTCAAAGCAGAGCAACAGCGGCGCCTCCTCCTCCCACAGTCTAAATCATGACTTTCCCTCCAAGGAAACCATTGGAGCTCCTCTTTCAAGTGACTACTCCGCGATAAAAAACACTGTGTCAAGCGAGGGCTCGCCGAGGTCTGCGAAGTGCAGCGCCTCGGTCTCTCCTGCACTGGAGGCAAACGATGGGCCGGGGAGTCCACCACCCTTCACGTGGCCAACGGCGCACCCCACCACCTTCCTCAGCCGCTGCCCAAATCTGAACGAGTCGCGGTGCCACGACCCCTATCAACTCTGTGCGGCGTACGCGCCGACCTTCAGCGATGCGGAGCACGCGGCGCGGGTGCAGGCCTACGCGAGCACCGTCGTCTACCCCTGGCAGAGCGGCTGGGAAGGGGTGATGGACGCCCACGAGGAGGTCGCGGCGTCGTCCATGCGGGGAAACGGGTTGGCAGCCGGCGGTGATGCCAGTCTCCCCAGTGCGACCGTCGCTGCCGCAGTGGCCGCCGTGACGAGCGTGCAGTTCGACCCCACGGAGAGCGGGATGTGGCAGATGGTGAACGACCGCAACCTGCGCTGCTCCCCCACACCGGAGGATGCGTTGGTCCTGCCCTACGTCTTCGACGGCCCGCACGCGCTGGCGCGGGTGACGGAGTACTACCAGCAGCACGACACCACGCTGGCGGAGCATTTGAAGGTGCGCCAGGTCACCACGCCCGGGCTCACCACCCGCATGTCGGAGGCGGAGCTGCGGCTGATCGGTGTGAGCGTCACGGCTCGCGGCAAGTCGCAGACGGAGGAGATGGCGGTGCGTCTTGCCGCGATGCACGCGGAGCTGCTGGTAGACGCGCTGGGGCTGCCCCTCTTTCCGAAGGACGACAAGCGGCAAGCGCGACACGCCGCGGTGGTGGCCGGCTACGGGCGGTGGGCCACGGACCCTCTTGGCGGGTCCACCGCCTCGCCCAACCCGCACGACGCGCTGCCGCGGCCGCTGAAGTCGCAGATCGGCACAGACGACATCTGGCTCTCGGCTGACGCGTCGCCGCAGATGCGGGGGCGGCGCACCGAGTCAGAGCATATCATCGCCACGCACAACTTCGTCGTTGCGCAGACGAGGGACGCCATCGAAGTGAACCCCCCGTCGGAGCTGCTGGAGGAGGCGTACGCGATGCTGCGGGAGTGGCAGACGCACATCGCACGCAGTCGCTACACAAACTTGTACGTGTTGTTCGACATGAACGACCGCGTCTTTCGTGCCACGACCATCACACCGGTGCCGGCACGCTTCGGGCCGCGGGGTGGGACTGCCATCGGCAGCACAGCGAAGAAGGCGATGCAGCTGTGCGCGCTGCACGCAATGGACACGCTGTGTGCGCTGGGGGTGCCGCTGTGCGTCGATGCAGCGCAGGAGCGCAGATACGTGCAGCGCCGCGCCGCCCTCGGACAGGTCATCCCGCATGCGTTGGATGCGGCGACGCTGCTGAAGAAGAAGGGCGCTGCGACGCCTTCAGAGGTGTCATTCGGCGTGTCACCGCCGTCGTCCTCGACCCCCACGCTCACGACTCCGTATTTGCCGTCTTATTACCTTGAAGGGCACCAGGTGCGACTTCCGCCGCCGTTCGCCGACACGGTGCACGCCAAGCAACTGCGACTGCCACAGGACTTCTGCCTCTACAGCGCCGACAACGACGAGGAGCTCTCTTCCGTTGGAAACGAAGTGAAGATATGTGTGGAGAACTACCTAAAGTACTGCATGAACACCCGTCTTTCCGAGCTTCGCGCGGTGATGGCCTCGATGCGCATCTCGAACCCGCCATACACCTCTCCGTATCTCCGTCCCACGCCGGCGGCACCCCAAGACGCCGGACTACCGAAAGACGAAATCGCGAACACGGAGCTGTGGGCAGCGACGTATCTCCAAAATGCTCCGCCCTCCGTTTTATTTACAACCGACGTACCTCCGCTGCGTTCGCACTGCGTTGCGTACCTTCAGCTGCCTTTGCCAGGGCCTTTCCTCACCACCACCGCCGCGGCAGAAAGGAAGGACGGCCCTCCTCAATGCGCGTGTGTTACAGCTGCGGCGAAAGTCCGCAGCGCTGACGGCTCCGCCGGTTCAGCCAAGTGCCAGTTGCGGAACCCCACCTACGTGATCGCCGCCGGTATGTCGCTGAAGCGCAAGGACGCCGTACGTGCCTGCTACCTCCACGCCGCCTCCCTCCTTTACACCTTGGGCATCGATGTGCTGGCCTTGTTTCCCGTCGGCGTCTCGCGCCACCGTTGCGTACCGAACTACGCTGCCCTAGAGAAATACCTCGGCAAGGAGGCGGTGGTCATCATTCCACCCTATACCCCGGACGGGGAGCGCAACACGCAGCCGCTGAGGAACGCGCCTGCCTACGCGGGGGCGTGGGTCGACTTGGACGGCACCGAGAGACAGGACGGAGATGGCGGCTCTGCGCGTGCGCCGCCGCGTGCTGTACTGCACAAAATCATGAAAGCGTTTCTCGAGGATCCGCGTCACATCACCCTGCCACGACGGCGTCAAGCCGCGGGACCCAACAGTCCATTTATGCCTGTACAGAGAAGACAACGGAAACCGGGTCTGTAATACATATACAAGCAAAGAGGAAGAAGCAGGGGGGTGTAGCGCACGACGCCCGCACACAACGACGCCTCTGACCCTCCGTGTTGATGAAAGCCGTATTTCTTCGCTTCTTCTTCTTTTTCGTTTTCTCCGTCCAGGCGTTGGGTGTGCGGGGCGAAGTGCTGAGAAGGGTGTTTTGTGCTGTTGTGCGCTCACAGAAGTAACGGCGTAAACGAGATCGGAAATATATATATATATATATATATATATACGTAAAGGAAGCGTTCACAGCAAAACGTACGGTGGGCGCGAAAGACCTCGTTAAAAAGGCGTCAACCATCATTTCTAGAAGCGGCGGCGCGATACCGTGAACTCGCCTGCTGCGTTCATGCATGGCACGCGCGCGTGGTCGACACTGGTGATGCCCTGCCCTCACCGCATGCACCTCGCTGCAACGGAAACACACCATCCCAACAGCTTCTCTGTTTTGCTGTTTCTCTCTCTTCTGTTTCTATGAAGAAGGGCATTGATTGTTTTCAGTTTTGCTGAGGGCTTTTTTGTTTGTTTGTTTTGGTTTCCCACCGCGACGACGCCCCTACACGTACAACCCACACCCGCGAACACTCTCCCATGCATCTGAGCCTGTCCTCGACGCGGCACCTGGGTGGGACGATCACCGCCGGCTCCACCGCCTCCGGCTCCCGTTACGCCAGCCACACCGCACGCGCCCCGCACACCCTCTGCTGGATGGAGCTCGCCGTCTTCCCCGGCTTTCCGGGTGTCCCGTCGCTCTCCGGCACGCAGGTGCAAGGCAGGCAAGACTTGCTGGCCTCCACGAAGGGCGCCGGCGCCCCACATGAAACGAGCTTGATGTTGCAGATTGAGCTGTTCGACGACGAGTGCCCGCACCTCTGCGCCAACTTCCGTCGCCTGTGCAACGGGGCCTCCGCTACGCGGCAGGGCACGGTGTACTGCTACCAGGGCCTCGCCCCGAGCTACCGCGGCACGTACTTCCACAAGATCATCCCTTCCTACTGCGCGCAAGGCGGCGACATTACAATGCGCGTGGTGCCCGGGGGCAGTAACAGCTACTCAAGCGCAGGCCGCGGCTGGCTGCCGGATGAGGCGAAGAAGCGGCGTCACAACGAGGTGGGTCTCGTGTCCATGGCGAACAACGGGCCGAACTCCAACGGCTCGCAGTTTTTCATCACCACCTCCGCCTCAAATGAGCGCAGCTTCAATGGCAGGCACTGCTGTGTAGGGCGCGTGGTGCAAGGGCTGGACCAGTTCTTGGGCCTGGTCGCCCCCTGCGGGGACAAGGACGGGCGGCCGTCGCGGTATGTGGTAGTGGTCGACTGCGGAGGGGGCGAGGCGCCGTCCAGCACGTTTGGCGCTTCTGTGCTGCCGCTGACGGACGCTGGAGAAGGCTACGCAGACACGACGGCGGCGACAACGGCGACAACGGAGGAGGAAGGGGTGAGAGATCAAACCTGCGTGCACGACGCGTCAAGTGAGCTCGTCGCCACTGCGCAAGATGCGCCAGCGTTGGAAACGGCGACGGAAACGCTGGAGGCTGTCCGTACACCATCGCCGCTATCACCACCGGCAGTACCTGCGGCGGCCGCAGAAGCTGCCGTTGAGGCGGCGGCGACGCCAAGCCCGCCTCCTGCCGCCTCACCACTGCCTCTGAAGAGTTCGATGAAGAAGAGCGCGGCGGCATCCAGCAAGCACGTCACGTACAAGGAATGACGGGAAGTGTGATTCACACAGCCGCTTTGCCTTTTGGATGTTGCTGTTATTTTCTGTTTCTCTCTTCTTCTCTTGCTTTCTGTAAGTTAGCTGCACGTCTTCTTCTGTAGAGTAATGCTGATGTTTGATATATATACTGGAATATGTTCATAATTTTGTTACCTCTTGGAGCACGTAAACAGTGGATTCCACACTGTGGGGCAATGGATGTACACCATGTACAACCCTCGATAGCAAATAGCCATTTAACGAGAACCGTGAATATATATATTCATATTATCTTGGCAGCGCCTGCAGCACCCGGAAGAAGAGAACGGAGACTTTTGATGTTCTTTTTTCCAGCACTGTGCGTTCGGCCACCGCTGCGCAACGCGCAGTTGCCACTTCGCTGGATCGACTATATGGACGTATCTGCGTCCCCATGTTTACCGTGCCCTGTTGCTGCTGCGGTGGCGGTGGTGCGCGCGCCTGCTCGACGGCGGACTCCAGAGCGAGAGAGCAAGAGAGCGAGAAGGACACACGGCGAAGGAACATGCACGATACCTATTTGATCTCGACGCACCACTCCGCGGCCCATATGTACCCTCCCCGTAAAACTGCCCTCCTCACCTTCGTCTTCTCTTTCCTCTTCTCCTTTTTGTTTTGTTTTACGTCGTCTTCTTCGGCCCACATTCGCACGTTGTGCGTGCTGTTTTCTTCTTCGCGGCGCTGATGTGAAGCTTCCAAACCTATTCGTGCCCTTCACCCTGCGTCGGACACCTTTGTTGGGTTTAAAGGAAAGGAAAAGGAAAAGACGCTGGAAAGGTGAATATTTTTTGTTTTCTCCCATGTAGGATAGAAAGAAGTAGAAGTAAGCTGCATCGTGTGCGTGTATTTTGTTCTTCCCATTGATTCTCGGGCCTTCATGCTTGGTCTCCGCTGTCCTTTTTTGTCTGTTGCCGTTGATCCACTCTATCGCTTTCTTCACCGCGTTAATAATAATAATTCGAGCGCTGGAGGAGAGAGGTGAAAGCTGGCCTGAAAGAGGAAACTTCGTCTTCGTTAACTCAACCACTTCCACGCGAGCACACACACACACACACTTGTCACCGGATCGCTGAATCAACCGAATTTGCTGTCTCGTCTTTTTTTCCCCCTGCTGCTGCTGTTCAAGTGTATTCTTAACAGGTAGATTAAGCTGGTGTCTCTTTTTTGCAGTGTGTGGTGGCGCGTGTTCAGTCATCTCTCTCTCTCTCCTCTGTTGTTATTACGATTGTTATTGCTGTTAGCTGCCTCCACAAGAGTCGTGTTTCTTTTCATTAAATTTTCCTCTCTTTTCATTTTACTTTTTCTTTTTGGGGGCCTTCCCGCCGGTGAGGAGACGGCTGCCAGGTGTTCCGTGCTCTTCTCTTCGCGCGGTGGTGGAAAGGCGGTTGTGCCGGCGCCCTCTTGACTCTTTGGCGTACCGATCACGTGAAATAAAGAAAAGCACACTCGCAGCAACTCACTTTGGAATTCTTACTTCGCCCCTTTTTTTCATTACCAGATCACATTTGTTTCTCTCTCTTGTTGTTGTTTGGTTATTTGATTACTGGCTATTTTGTTGGTTTGTTGGTTTTCTCTGGAACCGCGGAAGGTGGTGATTTCACGCTCTTCGTGTGTAGATGCTTCAGATCTCGTCTCTCTTTCTGCTGTTGATTGTGGTTGGCTCCCCTTCTCTGCGTGCACTGCCTACTCGTACAGCGGCAGCGACACACGGGAATTCGATAGAGCACATTACATTTTTTTGCCTTCCACGTCGTGCACTCGTTCTCTTTCTTCGCAACTCTTGTTTGCCTGATTGTTTGTTTTTTTTTTTCGGGGTGGGTGGGGGGCAGAGGGTTGTTGCTGCTTTCTCTCATCAAATCAATCATGTCGGAGGGCAACCTTCCCGCATCGTCGCACTACGATGACCAAGGTCTCTTTGTTTCCCTCATCGTAGGGGCGGCGTTGCTGGTCGGCTTTGGAGGCTTCATGGCTTTCCTCCACTGCACCAACATTCTGTGGCTGAAGCGCTTCTACCGACCGAACCACACTGTCGAGCCGGCCCCGTTAGCATCTACCACCACGACGTCCGCATCGGAGACACGGCGCAACTCCGCTGCGCGACCGCCGCCGCCACTGCCTTCCGCCTCAGTCAGCCAAACCATCTTCGCGGAGCACACCGTCCGCCCTAATGGCCGCAGCGGTCGCGCCTTCACCCGTCGCAAGCGGCTCGGCGTGAGTCTTCCCTTCACCTCGACGTTCTTCATCTGCCCGCGCCTCCGGGACTGGATCAGCATCGAGGAGCCGTCGCTGCGGGACCGCAAGGATGGTGCCCTCTCGCCCGTGCACTACGCCGAGCCGGCGGCCCCGCTGCGGTACACGAGCGATCGCTCCTTCATGCCGATCCGCCCGGCGTGCTCGCCTGTGGCTGCCGCGTCACCGGATGGCGCCGCGCCGTTTCTCGCGCCTTACCCGGCTGTGGACGTGCGTGCGGACGCGGCGGAGTTGGTGGAGGTGACGCCGGCCGCCCACTTCCCTCGCAGTGGGCCATCGACGCCGTCGTACGGTGCAATTGAGCCGTCCTCGCCGCGTCCTGCGCCACAGCAACCGTCGCGGTCCTCGCCCGCTGCCAGCTCGCGCGTCTCGCAGCCCGGCGAGCCGCTGCCCAAGACCCCGACCGACCCCCTCGTCGCCATCTACCTCTTTACCCTCAAGTTCTTCCTGGCGCTGATGTTCTTTGGCGAGCTCTTCACCGTGTGGATCATGCCCCTCGCGAGCAGCGACAACTACGTCGAGCAGACGATGCGGCAGCGCGACATTCACGGCTGCGGCAGGCAGAACGACAACGAGACCGGGTGCAACGCGCTGAAGCCGTACTGCCGGTTTCATGGTATCGCGCTGGGTTGTGCTGTGGTCCCGCTGCACGGGATTTACGACTTAACGGTGTCGAATATACGGCCGCGGAGCTGGCGGTGGACCCGAGTGGGGCTGCTGAACCTTGGCTTCTGCGCGGTGCTGGTGCTGCTCACCCTCGTGTACCTGCGGAAGGTTGGTCAGTATGTGGAGGCGGTGATGGCAAACCAGATGCGCTACGCACTGGGCTACCGTGTCGCGTGCATTCGTGGTCTCGACACGACCGATATCCGCAGCGAAAATGCACTACGCAAGAACTTCTTGGAGCTGTCCGTGTACTTCCCCAGCGCGCCGCCATCGCCCGCGACATCGTCAACAACCGCCGCACCAAACGCGGCAGCGCGGCAGCAGCGCAGTAGGAACGCGTACGTGACGAACGACAGCATCTTCGACGACTACAATCCCGCCAACGACAGCTATACCATCTGCGAGTGCCTCGGCCTCAACTGCCTGTTCTCGACGGCCGGGATGCACTACTACGTCGTGCGCCGCGAGGATGCCACCTTCACCGAGCCTGGGAAAGTCGAGCAGATCCTCATCACACGGGAGCCGCCGTTTGGCCTGCTGGAGACGATTGCAAACACCGAGTCGGCCATGGCGCACCTGCAGGAGGCGATCGCGGATGAGAAGGCGCTGCAGCGGAAGACGCGCCTGCACAGCGCCGAACTGCGCGTCGGCGCCGCCGGTGCCGGTACGCTGCGGCGACGGCGCCACCACAGCCCACGCGGCCGGCAGCTGGAGTCGGCCCCGCTGCAGGCCACGAGCGTCGTCGTCTCCGGCAGCGCGGTGCCGAGCAGCAACGAGAACAGCGGCACCGCGGTGGCCGTTCGCGGCAACGCGGTCCGTCGCGACGAGGCGGTGCTGATGACGCGATGCCGCTTTCCAGCGTGCTGTGACGAGATGCCGGCCGTCCCGTATTACGAGTCCGTCTTCTTCAAGAACGCCGCGGATCTGAACTATGCGCTGGAGCGGGTGCCGCACCAGCCCGTGTCCGGAGCCGCCTTTGTCATCTTCAAAGACTCCCTCAGCGCCTTCGAGTTTATTCAACTCTTCACGGCGCGCTTCGGCGGGCTGGTCTCCTCGCTGAGCGCCACCATCGCTGGTCCACCTGGACGCATCTTCCAAAGCAGCCTCACCGCAAGTCGATGTGCCCTCTACCTCCGCTTCTTCTTCATCTTCTGGGTTTACATCGGGCTCATTCTCACCTGGTCCATTCCGATCAGCTTTCTCGGTTCGCTGGAGAGCCTGTCGCAGCTGCCGGGCATCGGCGAGTTCTTAACGTACTTCACCTCGCTCTCCACGACGCTGCAGTCGCTCGTGAACGCGTATCTGCCGGTGGTGGTGCTCGCCCTCTTCAACGTGGCGCTTCCCTACATCATTCGCGTACTCGTGCGCATGATGGGCGCCTTCAATCGCATCGAGTGCGACGGCGGGCAGCTGTACCTGCAGTACATCTTCATGGTGATGACCGCCGTGATTGCGCAGGCGGCCTTCCAGGGAGCCATGAGCCGCCTGACCGATTTGCTGTTCGACCCAAATGAGGAGGCGTTCATTAACTTCATCGTCGCCTGCGTTACGCCGAGCAACGGCTACTTCTACGCCAAGATCATCTCCGCCACCTGCCTCTCGACCTGGATGGACCTGCTGGACCCGATTTGTATCCTGAAGGCGCTGCTGCTGCGCGGCAGTGCCCGCATTCAACGCAACTACGACGCCCTCTTTCTGCCTTGCGAATTCGAGTTTCCGCGGCTGCTCAGCTTCGATCTGATGATTCTTTCCATGGGTCTGCTGTTCCACATGACGGCCCCGCTGCTGGGTCTGCTGACGGTAGTGTACTTCTTTGTGCGGTACTGGAGCCAGCGGGCGAAGCAGACGGACCGCTACCGGCCGACGCTGTCGCCCGCGCAGGATTGCACCGACTTCGGTGTGCCTGCGCAGGTCATTCGGTGTGTGATGTGGCTCTACTGCTTCGCCGAGACGGGCGGGGTGCTGCTGATGGGCCTGCGGGATAACAGCAGCGGCGTGGTGCTCTGCTCCGTCTCCCTGGGCACGGGCCTTGTGTTGACCGTATACGTGTACGTGAAAACGCGCCGGTGGTCCGCCTCGCTCGCTTGCGCGCGGCACTTCGCCGCCACGCCGCACCCGCATCATCACACTCATCCGATTAGTTATCAAAAACGGCAGCAGCAGCAGCAGCAGCAGTCTCCAGGACTAGCACCGACGGTCACGACGCCGCTGCGGGGCAGGACCTCACGATTCGACCCACCGTCAGTGCCCGCGCCCCTCTCGTCCTCGGCGCGTTCTGCACCGCCCACAGGAACTGGCGGGACGGCACCAGCAGCAACAGCAACAGCAGGGACGTCACAGAGCAACGCTTCGTGGGCCGATACCCCGTTCGAGAACAACCCGGAGGACAACCCCGAAGAGCGTCAGCTGGGTCGGGCAAGCCGCCAATACCTTGTCCAGGAGGAAGGCGCGATGGAGGGCTACGAGCACGTGACGCTGAACCAGGTCCTCTTCGACTCCGCGCGTAACCCTTTCCTCAGCCACCTCCTGCCGCGCAAGGCTGGGGTCTCGCTGCGCTTCCAACCAAAGCACCAGCGTCTGTCCCCCATCGACGCCGCACGTGAGGTGCGCATCATGCACGAGACGAATTTCGTGGTGGAGCGGTACTGGGATCGCGGGATGACCTGGTTTGAGGAGGACATGGCGGACCGCAGCTGGAACGGGGATGACGCCAGGGGCGAGTCAAGCGGCTGGGACAGCGAGGAGGACAGCGCGGACGGCGAGGAGCGGGATCGCCCGCGGGGATCGCGCGGCGACGTTCGGGTCGTGAATGCGCCCGGCGCCGGCAGCAGCGGTGAGCACCAAAGTTCACCCTCCTTTGCTCAGCTCGCGCGAAACGAGAGCGGCAGCGGGACGGACGCTGGCGCCATGAAACCGTGCATCGCGGCGGTGGTGGATGCAACGCTGCAAAGCCAGACGACGGTGACGGACCGGTTCGCGGCAGCAGCTTCCACACCACCGCAGGAGTCGCCAACTCGGGCAGAGCGGCAGAGCGCTACACCCTCCGAAGCGTCTCCGACAACACCATTACCCCCACCGCCATCATCATCATCTCTGCCATCCCCTCTTCGGTGCGCGGAAGAGCAGCGGGTAGACACGGTCGTGGAAGACGAGCCGCAGCAGCGCAGTGTGGCATCGGCAGCGGTGCGAACGGGTGATGTACCCGTAGAAGATGTGAGAGCGAGTGATTCTCACGTGGATCCTGCGGTGTAGGTTTTTTTCAGCCTTTTTTCTCCTTCCTTTCCTTGCTGGCCGCAGTTGGCCCTTCGAGTTTAAGGAAGAAGAATAAAAAGGATGTTTTTGAAACGAAAACGACGGCTGCTTTGGAGCTGTCGTGCTGGAATGTTGAGGGGCAGACTTGAATTTGTAGGGGACGCGTGCCTGTCGGTTGGCCTGTCAAGCAATAAACGCTGCAGTACGGGGAGTGTACATTTCGCCGGCTGGAGCTTTCTCATTGAACACATAGGAAACAAAAGGAAAGGAAAAGCCTACAGTGGTATCTACTCCGATCACACTTTGCGCTCGTCGTTGAGTGGAAGGAGGGGGGGGGAGCCAGGGCGCTGTTATTTGGCATTCGCCTATGTTGCGGCGCCGCGACCATGAGAACGATGATTCGTTCCCTCCCCTCCCCCTTTGTCTTCTTAAACGCGTCCATCCGACGAAGCAGCGGCAGCGTGGTACTTTGGATGTCTCATCTGGCGCTCAAGCCTGGATGACTTTGTGGTATAAATCTCACGCGTGTGCGACTGCGAGGGTATTTCTTTTTGGTGGGACCTCATTTTAGCTCTACCTCTGTTTCTCCCTCGCCCGCCCTTCGCCGCACTCCTCCTCGAAACGCATGGGCCTCTCTCCTTCCTCATCCGTCCTCTCCTTTTATTGTTATTTACATCCACGCTGACCTTCCGTCTCTCACGCTCGAGCGAGAGAAGAAGAAGAAAACGAAGAAAAGAGAAACGAAGATCAGAGAAGGCGTGAGTGCGCGGACGCTTATCGGCGGTTTCATTCATCTTGTGTGTGTTTTGTCGGCTGCTGCTGCTCTGCGTTTGGCTTCGCTTACGTTGCCTGCGTTCGCCTTTACTCTATTTTTTCTTCTTTGTCGGTGTACATCCTCCTCAGTTATCTTCGCTTTCTCATGACCGTCATTTCAGCCGGTGTGGTGAGCAAGCAAGGCCGCATCGTGCTCGCGCGCCAGTTCACGGACATTAGCCGCGTGCGGGTCGAAGGCCTCCTCTCCGCGTTTCCGCGTCTGCTTGACTCCTCGGTGAACAAGCAGGTGACCTACATCGATGCCGGCTCGGTCCGCTACGTCTACCAGCCCGTGGAGGACCTCTTCCTGGTGCTCGTGACCACCACCAAGAGCAACATCGTCGAAGACCTCGAGACGCTGCACCTCATGGGTCGGCTGCTGCCCGAGTACGTGCCCGAGGGCGTCACCGAGGCCAACCTGGAGCTGCGCGCCTTCGAGGTGTTCTTCGCGCTGGACGAGGTCGTCGTGTGCGGGAAGCGGGGGAACAGCACGGTGGAACAGATCCGCACCTACCTCGAGATGGACTCCTACGACGAGCGCATGGCACTGGAGGAGAAGCAGCGGCAGATGGAGGAGGCGCGGAAGATTACCGCGGAGCACGCGCGCAAGATGCGGGAGCGCAAGATGGGCGGCGGCCCCACCGGTGGCGCGTACGGCGGCATCAGCTCGGAGGACCCCAACTACGGCGGCTTCGGCGCCAGCAGCAGCTCCGGCGCCGCAGGCAGCATGAGCATGTACGCCGGCGGCGGTGCTGGCGGGGTGGACGGCACCTTCGCCGCGCCGGCCTCGTCCACCTCCATGCCAGTCACCGCCGCTGCTGCCCCGCGCAGTGGCATGAGTCTCGGTAAGGCCCGCAAGACCGACATCAGCAGCAAAATTCAGAAAGAAATGGGTGTCACTGCGCTGTCCGTCCCACTCGCGGCCGGTGCGGGGCAGCAACCGCCGTCGATGGACCTGCCGGTCACCGCCGCCGCCGCGGCACAAGAGGCGGTGAACATCATCATCGAGGAGAAAATGAGTGCCGCGCTGAGCCGCGACGGGGAGCCGGCGGCGGTCGACATCAAGGGCGAGCTGACCGTCACAGTGACGGACCCCCAGTGCGACCACGTCAAGCTGATGCTCACACCGGTCAGCGACGCCTTCACCTTCCGCGCGCACGCCAAGGTAAACAAGGCCCTCTTCGCTAGCGATCAGGTGCTGACGATGGCGGACGGCAAGGCGTTCCCGGTGCAGCAGCCGGTGACCATTCTGCGCTGGCGGCAGTCAAGTGGAGCCTCAACGCCTGCCCCTATCAACTTCACCTGCTGGCCGGAGCAGTCGAGCATCACGATCGAGTATGAGCTGGCCGACCCGAGCACGCCGCCGCTGCGGCCTGTCCGCCTCGCCATTCCCCTTTACGGGACGACGCCGCAGGCGGTGCAGCCGTCGTGCGGTACGTGTCAGGTGATCGCCGGCGAGCATGTGATCTGGACGATGGATGTGGTGGAGGGCCACCAGAACGCCAGCGGTCATATCGAGATCAGCGTAGACTCGGACCAGGGCTCCAACGGCGAGGAGCTCTTCTTCCCTGTGCAGGTGGCTCTCTCCTCGGAAATCAGCGTGGCCCACGTTGGTGTGTCGGAGGTGGTGTCGACGCAGAACGGCCAAGCCGTGCGCTTCAGCCAGCAGTCTCGCCTTATCACGGATCACGTCTTCGTTCAGTGAGCTCTGTACGGAAGATGGACGTACAAAGCGCTCTCTTTCTGCCGTCGTCGTAGTGTCCCTTCGTTTTGAGAGAGGGGAGGGCACGCTGCTTGTGTGTCTCGGCCCCATTGCGATGGAAAAGGCAGCGATGCGCCGATCCTCTTCTGTTTTTGTTTTTCCTTTGCCGTTTACAGCTGCACACTGCGCTTCCCTGATTGTGTGTGTATGTGTGTGACGTGGTTGGTATTATTTGAAGGGAAGGGATTCCCCGCTCGCACAAAGAGCTCTGCGGAGGGGACGGATTTATGATTGCCGTTTTCATTGATGTGCTCCATCTGATTTAAAGAAAAACAAAGGGAGGGGGTTGCCTGTTCAAAGCCTGCCGCTCTCTTCTCTGTTCTTTTCTCTCTTTTCTTTGTTCGATTTGATCTAGCGCCTCGTGTGTGGCGCGTGTATGTACGACGACTCTCTTTTCACTTGACAGCATTGTTGTGTCTATGTGCGCGTGTGTGTTGATGAAAGGCGGGCTCCGTGAAGCGGAAGTCGAAAGGGGGGCTGTTGTCTGTTTGGATGATATTTGTTTGTTCGTTGGTTTTTTTTTTAGATGGTCTTTTATTAATATCATTTCATTTTGGGAGGGACGGGCTGCAGCGATGGTGCGGCGGTGGTGTGGTACGATGCACATGCGCGTGCTTTTGTAAAAGACAGCAACACGATAGAGGAAGGTCTTTGGTCGACAAGGGCACAGGCGACAACGTCGAGGCGTCATCGCCGGCGCCGCCGTAGTTTTCTCTTCTGTTTTCTCTCTCTCTGGCTTGAAGTGCGCAAGACTTTCCGCAAGGAGAATAGAGAGGGAAAAGAGAAGACGGCACGAAAGGTCCACGGAGCGTGTGTTCTTCGCTTTCCGGGGTGGCGGCGTGGGCGTTACCGTGCTCGGTTTTCTGTCCTTCTCTTCTGGCTTTCATGCAAGAGTCGAGCTGAGCGTAATGGGAAAGGAAAAAAAAATAACCTCCAAAAGAGAAAGTGTGGAGGAAGGTCAAGTCACTTAGAGTGTGGGTTCATGCGGCTATGTCTCATCACAAGTGAATGACTTCCAATGCAAGAGTCTGCTGCTCCCTGGCTCTTTCAGCTGTGCTTCAGTGATCTGCATTGGTTTAGTTTAACTGTCTCTCCCCTTCTCCACCTTCCTCCCCCCTCCCATCGTCTTCGTCTTCTCTCCAACGACGTCGTCCTTCTTGCGCTTCATCCCTCCTTCGTACCACGCGTACTGAACAACGACATCCACCCCCCTAACAGGAGAGAGAGCTTCTCGTTAACCCTACTGGTTTGTGCATCTCCCGCCGCTGCGCGAAGATCATACCCCCTCATTCGTCGTCGCTCCCTCGAAACACACCTCACGTTTTTTCAATTAAAGAACAGAGCAATCATGGGTCGCTTTAAGCCGCTTGCCGTGAAGAAGAAGTACGCGAAGAAGATGAACCAGAACAAGCCGGTGCCGTACTGGATTCGCCTTCGCACGGGCAACCGCATCAAGTGGAACGAGAAGCGCCGCCACTGGCGCCGCACGAAGCTGAACTACTAAGCTCTTTACTACTTTCTTCTTTCCTTATCCCCCAGCATTCGTGGAACACACACGGACCTATACACAAACGCTGCTCTGCATCATATACGAGTCACACACACAAGCGCACACGCGCGGGCACCGCCCATGCGTGTGCCGACGCCGCGCACTCAGCCGAAAGGCCGCAGTGCGTGCGGATCACCAGCGTTTACCGTTTTTTTTTTATTCTGTCGTCGTGTGTGTGCAGGTACGTGTAATGCCCCGCAGTGAGACGGGAGTGGGAGGGAAAGAAGGAAGAAGAATAAAGCTGCGTAGTGGTGCGCCACGCGAAACACACAAAGGAGAGTGGCTTCGGCCTTCCTTTTTTTTCGCCGTGTCGGTTATCTCTACTGGTGCTTGTTTATTTCCTTATCATTTACTAAATAAAAGAAAAATTTGCTAATATATATGCCCTTAAGTGTTTGCGGTAGTTGCGCTTATTGAAGGTGCGAGGTGCCGCTTCGTCGGCGCACAACTTCATGAGCACGTCTCCTTCGCTTTCGTGCTTCGATGACGTGGGTAGGCGATGTGTGTGTGTGTGTGTGTTGTGTCGCACCTCATGATGTGGCGCACCGAAGTTTAATACACCTGCTTGCGGCTACTGCAGGCTTCTTCGCCACATCCTCTATGAGAAGGGAGTTTGCAGCAGCAAGACATGTTTCGAATGATTCACGGCATCTTTCATATGAAATAAACACATATGTCTTCTTTCCCTCCCACGCCAGCAGACACCTCTCAGAAGATTCCTCACAAACTTCGAAAGACGAGCATCTCTTCTCTAATTTATTATATTTTAGCACGCGAGACTTCGAGAAGCTCGAAAGCTGCTTCCGTTGAGCACCGCGGCCTCGTTTCTCCTCTGCTTCCTCTCCCCATGACACACTCCGCACCGCATAGGCGCGAAGCGCAGCGTCGGCAGCTGCTGCAGCTCCTTCGAGATGAGGCGGAGCTGCAGCAGCAGCTTCACGGGCAGCGATGGCTGTTGGAGCGAGTGTCCGAGGCGTCTGTGAGTATTTCTGTGTGGTGGCGTAATGGGACTGCCGCCGCCGCCGCTGCAGCAGCAGCAGCAGCAGCGCATTCCACGACGCCGTCTGAGGAAACGAAATGGAGGGAGGGCTACGGCGAGGCTGGCGGCTCCCTCGCCCGCCAGCACCTGCAGCAGCACCCTCTTCATTGCTTTCCAGGGATGCTCTTCTACTCCCTTGGTGAGCTGCTTCGGCTGACCGCAGCCCCAACTCCGAATTTGTGCGCGACGGACAACGCAGGGGGCGACATCTTCAGCACTGCCACAGGTAGCAGCGATGCAGCGCACGGCACCACACACCCGCCGGGTGACAGCCACAACGCCGAGTCCGCCGGTGCGCCACCGTTCAAGAAAACCCCGTGGTCCTTCGCCTCCGCCGTGCTGGAACGCGCGCTCGTGACGACGCTGCCAACGCCGGCGCTGCTCGTGCGGCATCGACTTTTGGACCCCTCGCCGGCGGCCTTGGTCCCCACACACGCCCTGCTGCTCGGCTCCATTACGGTGGATGACTTTCCTGTCCTGCTCCGATGGTTGCACTGCCTCACCTTGGAGTGCGAAGAGGCACTCCATCGACTCCGCCCAGATCAGCAGCAGCAGCAGCAGTCGGAGGGTACTGCCGAATTACCTGACGTCGCGATTAGTTCTGCCGTGTCGGACGAAAACAGCCAAGCTCTATTGGCAAATGAGCAAGCGATGCTGTCTTCGCAGCCGCACAGCCAGCCCTCCACTGCAGGTGAGGCGGGAGCCAACGTGCGTCCGATCGGAGCTTCGCGAGAGGCGGTGAAGCGCGCACGCAGCGCGGACTACAGCAGTGCGGTCACACAACATAATGCGATGGACGATGCAGAGGACAGCACGGCGGCGTGGGACCCATCGCGGTGGTCGTCCCTCTGTGCATCTCTCAGCAGGCTTCTCTCGTTCCTTCTCGAGCTCAGCACAGTACCCCCCACGCCGGTCGGCAAGGCAGAGAACGCAACAGCGACATGGGAAGCCTGCTGGGTTGCATGGACGGCCGATCAACGCAACCTGGCGCAGCAGCGCTTCCTTCTTGCTACGCTGTGCGGCATGCATGCAACGCTGCACGACGTGCAGGGCTGGTACGTCACGCAGGAACAACGTCGTGTGTGGTGCAGCCGCGGGAGTGTTCTACTCCCATCGCGGCGTCGGAAAGCAGATCCGTGCGCCGTCGTGTCGCCTCCGCGGACACCGCAGCTGATGAACGCTGCTGCCCCGGCGTCCTCCTCCGCGGTGCACATCGTCAACGAGGAAGACGTGGCCGTTGTTTCGGTGCGTGACGTGGAGATGCTGACGCAGCTCCTCGCAGCGGTTTCGCGGCAGTTAGCAACGCGCCTTTGCACGACAACGGCGGTGTAGCCGGTAGTGTGTTCTGCCTGTGTGTGTGTGTGTGTGTGTGCCGCGTTGGTGCTCACCACTTTGGGCTTTTTGTTTTCTTCTTTTCTTTTGTTTATGACTCTTCTCCCCTGCTCTGTAAAACGGCTCTTCGTTGTCCGCTCGTCGAAAGACGGCGCTGCGATTTCTCTGCTTGTGTTTTCGGTGGGACGTTGTTGTTCTGCACCGCAATGAAATAAAGCGATAATACAGAGAGGAAAAGCACGGCCGACTGCACCTCTCTTGTTTCTGTTTGTTATTGTTTGCCTCTTCATCGGATTGCGGCTTCCGCGTCGCTTGGCGTGATAGACAGCATCGTTTGTTCTCCCAGTGCCACCCGTGTGGCGGCCGTGTACCTCAAGCTGCATTCTTGAGAGGCGAGGGCAGGCAGCCGCTGACACTCTGTATGTCGATCTTTCTGTCTTGCTATGCCTGTGTGTGTGTGTGTTATGCTGCCTACCTCTCTTTCACTTCGCTCCTCGCAACTTGGTTCTCGCCATTCTTTGTGAGCGGGTACAGGTTACCGGCTGCTCACGCTTTCCAACACGAGGAGGAAAGAAAAACGGATGGGGTTTTTAGAGAAGTCCAAAGTCACGCTCACGATACTCTGTGAAGGCGACACAGTCGCACCAGCCTCCACTGTGACCGGCGCACTTCAGGTGGAGGTGCACCACGAGGTCGTCTTCACCGCACTGCGAATACGCCTTCGTGGGAAAGAGAAGTTCTACGTGCAGAGGCGTGACGCGCAGGGTCACACCTACACTGAGCATCGCCACTTTACGCATGTGGAGGAGGTGCACACCCTCCTCGGGGCGCCAGTGGGAAGTGCCAGCTCGGGCTCCACACAGCTCGCACCCGGCACGTACGTCTACCCTTTCTCCGTGCTTGTGCCCTCGCAGGCACCGCCGTCGTTCAAACGCTGTCGACACGAGTACGGCTGCACGCTCGCCTACAAGCTCAAAGGCCTCCTCGACATCCCACACGGGTTTGATGCGGAGGTGGAGTACGACCTCACCGTGACGCAGGCGGTGCCCATCTCGCAACTCCAGCCCGCCCGACAGAATTTGAAAGCGTTGCCCCTGTCGGAGGCGCACATCGCCAAGTGCCGGTGCTGCGGCTCTTGCTTCTGCTGCGTGGACGAGGAGTCCTTCATCCGGACGGAGGCGGCGATAGCGCCAGAGATTGTGCTGTTGCACTCGCACGTGCAGCTGCCCGCAGTGACGGCCGTGTCGTCGAGCTTCAATAACGCGGATGGCGCTGATGCACTGGTGAGTGCGATGCCGGTGTCGGCCGACGCCACCGCCGCTCTTCTGCGCATTCGGGTGACGAACTTTGCGAGGGATAAGGCACTAAGTCGGTGTAAGGTGACCATGGCGCAGCGGCACAGCTTTCCGCGCGACGACTGGTGCACCTACAAGGACACCTTCACGTTCTTTAAGCAAGAGGTGGTGTTTCCAGCGGGGCCGTTGGGCACTGGGCAGACAGCCACCGTGGAGGTCCTCCTCCGCCTTGACGAGGCGCACGCGGGTCTACCGAGTGGGGAACGGCTGCTGCCGTGCCTGGCCGTGAAGCACTTCTCCATCTTCACGGAGCTGCAGATTACCTTCCCGGAGGTGGCTGCGGAGGGGACGATGTGGGAGTCGAATGCGCTGTTGCTTGCCGACGAGGTGGACATGACGAGTCAAAGTCTGGTAATACCGCACACCTACGACCAAGAGCTTCGCGTGGCCGGCGAAGCACCGCTAGTGTGAAGCCGGAAGCTCTCCTTTTTCACCTCCTGACAGGGTCTCTCGCTCCATCTCGTTACAGCTCTGTGGCACGACGGGCTGCTAGGCAGCGCTCTTCGCAACGTCGTTGTTTTTCATTTTCCACTGTGTCACTGCACTTGCCTGTTCTTCGCTGTGCGTTTCGCCAGGCACGCTGTTTGATTGTGAATGCCGGCGCTGGTTGGGCACCATTTGTCTTTCTGCAAAGTTTGCTGCAGCAACTTCTTCATCTCAATGGCGATGTCTCATTATTTTTTTTTACTACTCGTTTCTTCTGACGTGCATCGGCGCCGACAGATAACAACAAAGATCTTCCTTTTTTGTTGTTGTTATTGGAAGTTGCGCTTCGCATGCTTCAACGCGCTGCGGCCTCCTTGCTTTGACTCGACTGCCGCCTTCCCTTCCCTTTCCCCCTTCTCGGTTTTCTCGAAAGGAGTCACGTATATTTCTCCTTGACTTTTCGCTCTGCAATAACGAGCTCTCCTGCTTTTGTATATGTGTGATGGCGGACGCGTAACGTTGAACTTGAACTGGCCTGCGACGACAATGTGCGCCTCCAGCTACCATTTTAAGCCAGAGATGCCTATTGGGCCTCGCCTGACTTACTGTTTTATTTATTCTTTTCTTCTGCATCGCAGGAAGCATCATCCCTCTGCGATACACCGCAATTCGAAATAGCAATGTGAAGCGTGTAATGTCCGCGCGGGTTGCGTCAACTCAAGCTGCTTGCACGTGTCTGCGGCCCTCCACCTTCCTGACCTCCTCCCGCTTCCTCTCTCTCTCCCACCCACTCTCTTACGCACTTTCTCGTTGATCCGCGGCGACGCCGCTGTGTTTCTTTTTGCATATCGCGTCGTTTTCCTCCGCTGCACCGCTGTCTCCGCTGCGTGTTCCTCCACCAAATTCAAACCCGTATTACTCGCTTACACGCCAGAACAAAAAAAAAAAAGGAAGAACAGCGCCCGCGAACGATGCCGTTTCTTGAGAAAGATAAAATTGTGATCTCGTTGAGCCTGGAGCGGGACGGCGTGATGCCGGGTGAGAGAGTCACAGGGTGTGTGAACGTCGTTGTCATTGAAGAAATCAAGTTCTCCACCTTGCGCGTGCACGTTGTTGGGGAGGAAATGATGTACCGTCGCCGAGAACGATACAACCAACTGGGACCGGGTGGGAATTCACTCTACAACAGCAATGGGCTCTACAACAACAACAATGGGCTCTACAACAACAACAACCAGCTCTACAGCACGTCAAGCGAAATCGAGAGGTCGACCCACAGCATTATCGACCGCTACAAGACTCTTCTGGGCCAGCAGACCAACCACGACCGGCCTGGTTCATTCCACCTTGAGCCAGGCAACTACTCCTACCCCTTCTCCATTCTGCTGCCCACCGACCTGCCCCCGACGTACTCGGTGCAGGAGTGCGACTACGGTGGTCACATCAAATACACCGTGAAGGCAGTGGTCGACATTCCAATGGGCTTCGACGGCAAAGCGAAAGCTGCACTCATGGTGTACAAGATGGCACCGCTGTCGCAGGTGTTCGCGGTGCGTGCGGCGCCGGTGGTGGTGCGGCCCGTGTGCTCCGAAATCGGCACGATCGGCTGCGGCGGCTTCTTCTGCGGACACGAGGAGAACTCGTACCTACGCACCATGGTCATGATCACGCCGAACATAGCGGTGCTGAACCGCAGCGTCGCGGCGACGTTTCCGCCGTCCACGGCCGCCGTGCCGCGGCTGCTGTCGAAGAAGGGAGGGGTCACAGGCCCGGCGCCACCTCCAATCCCTGTCCCGAGCGATCCGTCGGTCATCACGGTGCGGGTGTTGGTGGACAACAGAACAAAATCCTCCGCCGTCGCCGCGGCGCAGGTGAAGCTGACACAGCACCTATCCTACAGCGGCGGTATTCACCACTCCTTTTGCTTGGTGAACCGCGTCATCGGGTTCGAAAGCGGGGTGCTACGGCCGGGGCAGTCGACCGCCGTTGACTGTTCTCTAAACCTCGGTACCGGCGGGGGTAGCACAGCCGCTGCTCTGCCCACCTTTTCCGCGCATTACGTCCGGGTTTGGACGTCGCTAGAGGTGACGTACCCGCACGTTAAGGCGGACGACACGCTGTACAAGAGAGATTTGATTCATCTCGTGACGGGCATCGACGCGACGAATACGGCGTCCCCGGTGTAAAACCAACACAAAACAACGAGGAGGTGCATAAACGGAGAGGGGGGCGACAGCTGTCTCCCCACGCGCGTGCCGATGCGCGCGTACGCAACCCGACTCGTGCACGGCCGTGTGTGCGTGTGTGCGCGCGCAAGCGAATGGGACCCACAGAGGTGCGTCTCTGCAGCGGTGCGATGCCTCCATGGGGGTCACCTATATACATATATATATGTATATTTATCTTCTCCATCGGACCCTTGCTATTCATGAACGCATCTTATTGCTGTTTCGCTATGCGAGCCTCTATTGCGGACGTGTTGAGGAAAAGAGAGGTGTGATGGCTGCATGAAGCCGTTGTGTTGTTGTTGTTTTCCGTGTCTTTTGATTTGCTCTTTTTCTTTTCTTTTCTTTTTTTCTTCTTGCTCTTACCGCCTAGCCACCGCCAAATCCTGTTTGTGTGAGTGTGTCTTGCGGTCATATACCTTTGTATAAACATAAAAACATATTGAATATGCATCAGCGCAAGCATTAAATGTCTCGCGAGTGCAGCTGCCGCGTTCACGCTGGAAAAAAGAGAGAGAAATAAAAGCGTGGCATATAACGATACTTTCTTTTTGATAGTTTACGAAAAGAATGGAATGATGAAAAGAGTAACAATGATACGAGGAGGATGAGGAACAATGGCTCCGACGTTTGCTGATGACATGTTTTCTACCTCTACTACTCTCTCTCGCTCTTCTCCTTTGCCTTATCTTTGGGACTTGCACCATCGTCCCCTGACGTTGTAGGGAGTAAGTTTGGCAGCGGGACGCTGCGCGGGGTGAATGGATAATATGTTGGAAGTCCATCGCGAGTATGGAGGGTGGAATCATGTCTCAGCTAATGCATCTCTCTCGGACTCTTTGCACCTCTCGATTCTTCTATTCCGCTAATTCATGGAAGGAACGGACAACAAAATATATTTGGGTTCTCTATAACTTACGGAGTCGTTTTTTCTGTTAGATGAACTTCACTCTTCTCTTTGTTTGCTTTGGTCTTCTTGTGTTTCTTGTTTCTCTTTGCATTAACGCGTGTGCGTGTATATCTGCTCGCTTCAAGAGCGCTTCACGTCTTGATGGTGACGGTTGGTCAGCTGCTTCATACAACTCACCGTCCAATCGTTTCTCTCGCACTTATCGTCAAGCGTGTCTTTTGTATATTTTTTACAGTGGTATCCTTTACGGTCTTCTCTTCTTCGCTTCTGAAAGCTTGCGCCAGGAAAAAAAATCGCCGGGAGATGAATCGAAAGCTTCATGTTGCACTACTAGCCCTTTCTCTTTTCTCCTCTCCAGTCGACCTCTCTCTCCAGGAAAGGCCTTTTTTCTGTTTTCCCGCCGTCCCGCCCCTTTTCCAACCCCAAGAGGTGGAAATGCAGACGATCTGAGTATGCGAGAAACTCCCTTTCGTAAAGTTCTAATTGGTTCAAAAATAAATATAAAAAGAAAATAACGCCGTCTACCCTTAAAGGAAAATGAAAACGACACAGGGATGTAACGACACTGTTTTGCACTGTGTTGTTCTTTCTTCTTTCTTCTTCCTTCTTTGCTTCCTGAACAAAGAATAGTCGACTAATTTTTTACTTGTTGTTTAAGGAAAGTTTGGTTTTGTTTTGTCCTCCTCTCCCGCAACTAAATGGAAAAGGAAGAGCAGTACGTTTCTGTCTTCGAGTTACGATGCTGCGTGCGCAGGTGCATCTCATGAAGGCGGCGCAACGATCAAAGCGGAAGCTTCCCCAAACACGGCGCAGGCAGGTGCATCGGAAGAACGAAGGAGCGGGAAATACATGTGCCTGCTTTCTCGCCTTCGCCGAAAGAGAGCGTAGTCGGCATTACTGGTTGCGTCGTTCTAAAAGGAAAGAATGAAACCAGACGATCACTCTCTTCCTTCCCTTCCTCACAAATCTGTGTGCTGGCGAGCTCAACACGCAAGGCGAAGATCGACTCTCCTCTTAGATCCACCCCCTCCCCCTCTCCTCTTTTTTTCTCCTCCGTATTCCGTCTGCGCTGCTCGGTTCTGCTTGTTACTCTCTCTATCGCCGGTGTGTTGAAAGGCTGAAGCAATCAAAGAGACACACTTCAGCCGCTTTGTATATCTGCAGGTGGAATCGCATCTCCTTCCCTCTCGGTGGGTTTGCTTTCTCTTCTTCTTCACTCAGCTCACCTGAGAACTTCAGCAGCGCCATCTGCTGTAGCTGCTACTTCTCACGTGTGTGCGAAGTCGACGTTGCACGCGGCTCCTTGACGGTAGAGACTGCTTCTATCCGCTTTCCGTAACTCCCGCTTCTCTCTTCCTTGGTCCGCCGGACGTCCAACTCAGTTGACCCTATCCGTTGCCGCCATCTCTCTCTCTCCCTCGCACCTTCAGCATCTGCCCCCTCTCGTCTCCATCCCCGATAGTACGCGGAGCTGTTGCGCGAACCGCATGTTAGGAATGCAGGTCCTGCGTCCGCCACCTCTCCGTCGCGAAGTAGCGGAGCTGGCACGGACTGCACACGCCACTGAAGCAGAAGAAGGCGCGCCACCACCGCCCCGCCCTCCCGCCCTCCGCGACGTCCACTTGACAGATTTGGCGAAGCAGGAGCAGGCGCGGCGATGGGCCATCGCGGGCGACTTCTATCAACTTCTCCTCGACATCACGGAGCTGCGCGAGGTACTGCACCGACGGGCGATGTGCACGACGGAGGAGCCGCAGCAGCGCAGGCGCATCGACAACGCCGAGGTGCCGCACTGGATCAAGGCCCGCCGTCTGCAGGTCATGCGCGAAAACCAGGAGTCTGCCACGGCGCAGAACGAAGAACAGGCGCAGCGTCTTGCGTACTTTGAGAAAATCCAGCAGCAGCTTTATCAGGTGTTCCTGCTTGAGGAGAGCGAGCGGGCCGATCGGATGGAGGTGGAGCGGCTGCAGCGTCTCAACGTGGGTGGGTTAGCCGAGGTGATTGCGAAGGAGTACCGCCGTGTGCGGCCCTACCAGCTGCGGTACGAGGCGGCACGGCACCCCCTCGTTGCGTCGCTGTCGCACGAGATCGCTGCAGAGGAGGGGCTGTACCGGTCGATGCTCTGGCAAGAGCAGACACACGCGTTTAAGGGCATCCAGGCTGCTGAAGTACGCAACTACCTCTCGCGGGTACGATAGGTGTGTGCGTGTGTGTGTTGCTTCTTCAACAACACAAACAAAAAGAAAACGACAACGGCGCCTTTGTATATTGTAGTTTCAAAAGGAGAACAATGTATTTGAAATAAAATGAGGCAGGGCAGCCCCTCTCAGTCTGTTCTGTTGCCTTTAGGGAGTGTGTGTGTGTGTGTGTAGTTGCCTCCTCTTTCACGCATCTACATTGCGAGTTGTTTGTGTGTACGTGTGACTGTCTTTTCTTTTTGTGGAACCGATTTTTTTCCTTCCGCTTCTGAGCTGTGTGGAGCTCCTCCGACGTGTGCGGTCAGTGTGAATATTCTGGAAAACGTTTGTTTCTGCTTTATGAATGGTCGTGACGGCACAAGGTTCGTTTCAGTGCCGCTGGAAGAGTGCGTGCGGGAGAAAGTGGGAAGTGTTTTTTTTTGGGGGGGGGCTTCGGTTGTTATTGCGGCCGACACGGATCCCCTCTGCCTTCATTTCGGCCCACACACGCCTGCGACGAAAACGGTGTTCGGTGTGCCAACGAGGGTGTTGAACTGCAATGGATGTCAACGTAAAAACAAAGGAGAAAAAGGAGATGTTGGTTTACGTTCACCTTTTTAATTGCCCGCATCTTCACTCTTGGTCTTGAGCTGCAAATCTTACGGAGGAAATCAAAAGGGCTGCGCTTGCACCGACATCATCACAGAAGAAAAAGAAGAAGAATATTTATTTTCTAAAAAAAAAAGGCAAGATGACTGACATTCAGCTCAAGTCTCTGCTGAAAGGAGTCGAGGCGGAGCGTGGCGCCATCGTGACCTGCCGTGATCCGTCCGCTCTCGAGATGATCCTCCGCGTTGGCAGCAGCGACGCGCATCAAGGCAGCATCTCCGTCATGTTCCAGAGAGGCAGCACTCGTACTAGCAGCTGCACGACCGCTGCGGGAGGGCAGATGTTGTTTGTAAATGCAAGCTACGCCAGCGCATTGGAGGACGAGGTGCAGTCCTGGTTAGATCCCTTCAAGACGGCCACGTCGGCAACTTCGCCTACGACGGCGAACAAGGAGCGTAAGCGCGTGCGCGGCGACAGCGGCAGCGATGCGTCGTCGTTGGAAAGTGACTCGAGTTCCGATTGAAGTGCAGGTGAGAATAAAATGCAAATGGGTTTTTTTCTGTTTTCTGCTCTTGAGTTATTACTATTGCTATTGTTGTTTTTCTTAGCTTGAAGCTCGTACTCGTCTTCGCTCGTCACTTTCCTTCTGCTCCTTTCTCTTTCTTTTTTTTTTCTTGTTTCCGGTCTTACGTGCGTCTGCTTGCGCGTCTCTTTTATATCACGGCTGTTGCATCAAGTTGACGGAGAAGGAAAAGAAGGAATAATTAGAAGGCAAAAATGGTGTCAACGCAAGAGCAACAACAGTGTGAAGGTCAGCGTTTCCCTGTACGAATATATATATATATGCGTCTGCCGCACAGATTGACTGTTGCAAAAATGTCTTTCAGGTCTGGGTTTTGGGCATAAGGCCCTCCCCGCACCCTCTCACTGCCGCTTCATCTCCCGACAACAATCTTTCTCTCTCTCTCTCCCTCTCTCGCGTATCCCTAGTTTCTATTCCGCATACACGTCGAAACTTCTCATACACGTATCGGAACTATTTCTTTCTTTATTATTACTATTATCCAGTGGTTTTACTTTTTCTTGCTGCTCTGTCTTCTCGTGTGCATATTTCTGTGTCTTTGCTTCCCCGTCTCTTGTGGGCCACCTCCGCCACCTTCGATCACTCTTTCTTTCTTCTTTGTTTCGCGTGTTGGTGTTGGTTTTATTCGGCAGTATCGCCTCCCATAGATCGTTCGCTACTGCAAAGGAAGGACCTTCTCTGCGGCCGCCCCCGAGGTCGACATGTACCTACTCGTGGACGGTGACTATTTCCTCAGCGGCTTCGCGCCGTCCTCCGAGGAGGAGGTGAGGCGGGCCGTGGAGCGCCTGCTCTCCGCCATCGATGAGCAGCTCCTGCGTTCCGCCAGCGGTGGCAGCCCCGCCGCCGTCATCGACCTCCGCCTCATTTTCTTCTCCTCGGCACTGCTCGACGGTCTCGCAGCGGAGGCGCGGTCGTGCGTGATATCGTCGCTGCGCCGCTTGCGCTTTCAGGCAATCGTCCTCGAGAGCGTCCGCGGTCGCGCCGGCACGCCGGTGGACGCCGCGCTGTGCTCGAAGGTTATTCAGCTCGGCCTGCTGCCCTCCGTCGGTGCCGCCGCCGGCGCTGCAGCGCACGCATTTTGCCTCGTCACGCACAACGCGTACGTCGCCACCGCCCTCGACCTCCTCGTGTCACGCGAGGGCGGGGAGGTGGTGTTTGTGGTGTACGCCGGTGACGAGCTCGCGGAGCCGCTGCTCGGCTTTGCGTCGGCGCGCTACGGAGCCAACGGTGGCGTGGCGACGATGGCGAAGCAGGACGGCGTTTCGTTACACCAGACACGCAGTCCGCCATCGCGGCTCTCGCGCTTGTACAGCAGCAGCAGCGCGGCAGCCTGCCGCTGTCGACGCTGACGGAGCTGAAGGCGCTGCAAACGAAGCTGCAAGCAGAAAACGCACACAGTACCACCGGTGCGACGGTGATGATGCCGTCCATTCGACAGCCGGCGGCGGCTGCAGCGACGTCGCCACTGAATCGTCCGCCGTCGGTGGATGGCGCTCCTGCACTGCCCGGAGTGGAGGACTTATTCGGCAGCCACAACACGCCGCCACAGGCGCAGCAGTCGCCCACCGCACCGCTGGCCTCGTCCTCATCTGATGACGCAGATCCACATCACGACGGCGGAAGCAGCTGTGAAGGGGATCTGGGGAAGGCCCATAGCGCCATTCAGCCCCCACCGGAAGTGCCTTCCACAGTTATGCCGAAGGTCCACACCAACGTCCAGCCGTCGCAGCAGCAGCAGCAGCAGACACCAGCAGCGGTGCCCTCCTTCTTCGCCGTGGGCCCCCCGCGCGTCGTCACAACGGCGACGTCGCCTGCCGCTGTTTCCAAACTCGCCACTGCCCCCACCGCGCTGCCGCCTCCGCTGCTGGTGCCGGTTGTCGCCGCCGCGGCGGTCGTGACCGGTGAGCCGGAGGTATCCACCATGCTGCCGATCGAATGGGCGCTGTTGTACGACCCGGCGCGTCAGCGTCACTACTACGCCTACACCGATTCGGCCGGTCGGTCCCGCTCCACCTGGCTGCACCCCCTCGGAGAGGAGAAGCAGCGAGAGTTGGAGGAGAAGGTGCAGGCGTGGCGCCTGGCTCGCGTTGCCGCTGCGTTGTCGCCGCCTCAGCCTGCTCCACCGCAGCAGCAACCGCCACCATCACAATCACAGCTACCTGCGGTCGCGCTGCCGCAAGAGTGGGAACAACGCGTGGATCAACGCACGGGACGGACCTTTTACGTAAACCACATCACCAAGACGACCACGTGGACGATGCCGACGGCGGTGCCTCCCCCCGCCTTCGCCGCCTCTACCAACTCTGCGCCAAATGAGGAGTGGGAGGCCCGCGTGGACCCTGCGAGTGGGCGGACGTTTTACGTCAACCATCGAACAAAGCAAACGAGCTGGACTCGGCCGGCACCCGTGTCACTGCCAGTGCCAGTGCCAGTGCCAGTGTCATCGGCGTCGCCAACGCAGCCGACGCCGCTGCCGCCCAATTGGGAGGCGCGTGTGGACCCCAGCTCGGGACGCACCTACTACGTCAACCACGCCACCAAGTCCACCACGTGGGAGCGTCCATCGCACTAACGAATGACTTAATTGGGTAGAAAGTGATTGTTTTTTTTTTTTTCCTTTGCATCATTGCCAGTGTGGCGGGTGTGTATTGGGTGTGTGTATGTGTGTGCAACTAATCCAGTCAAAGAAAGAACACAATCCGGCTGGTCGAAGCCGCGCAGCTCCGCCGACGCGTGTCGGCCGCCCGAAGGAAACAATAGGCTGCATTTTTTAGCTTCTTCGCCGCTCGCCTTTCCCCATGCAAAGGCCGAAAGTTCCCCCCCGCGCCGCCTTTAAACCTCACTGCGCCGACCCCCCCCCCCTCCCAAACCCGAAGGCCCCCCCAAGAAAGCCGCGCCCGCCAAACACGGCCCCGGCGCGGGCGAGGCGACCACCCCATCCCCCCCCGCAGCGCAACGGTCGGCGCTCCTATAGTGTAGCGGTTATCACCTCGGACTCTGAATCCGATAACCCTGGTTCGAGTCCAGGTAGGAGTGACTTTTTTTGAGCCGCGGCGCGGAACCCCAAAAAAGAGCAACCAGAGGAGGGGAACAAAGAGAGAGCAGATTTTGTTGCTGCGCCAGACGGCCCCGACGGCGCAAAACGTCGAGAACTCGCGTGCAATTCAGCCACGGAGGGGACAACAAGCGCCACAGTGCATCGCCCGCTGTCGCAACGGCACGCAGACGGCGGGCGGCGCCGAGTGCCCTCTGTTCTGTTTTTCCCCCGGCCCCAAAAAATGAAATATACATGCATCCCGCGTTGAGGAGCGCATTTACCACAATAATATGCTTTCTGTTTGTTTGGTTGCTTTATATCCCTCACTTAGTAAAGCTTATTGGAACGCTGTCCTTACCAACTCCGCTGCTTTGGTGGGGCTGCTGAAACTACTCCGAAGAAGCCCCGTCGCCAGCGATAAGCTATCGCCTTGCACGGAGACCACCCACACACACTTACTCACAACATCAAAGAGAATCGAAAAGCGAGACACACCGTACTGCGCCGCATCACCTGGTCAACACCGAAGAAAAGGATTATTTAAAGAATAGTTGCCCCAACGCACGAGAAACCCCTCATTTCGTCTTTTCATTATGAAATGCGAGCGTTGCACAACGAAGCCTTGATGGGGCCTTTGGAGGTCATGAACGGCTTCCCCTGCCAGCACACGACACCCTCCTCATTGCTGCACACCTCCAGCATCACCTCCTCGAAGTTCTTCGCCAGCTTCTTCTTCAGCACCGGCTCGTAGGGCATGTCGTGACCCGCAAAGACAACGCGCTCCCCTACCGCCGTACCCTCCGGAATGTCGAGCAGCACCACCTGACGCTCCCCCTGCCCGGCAGAGGCGGGGTTGTGCGGGTCCTCGCCGGTCGAGGCGCACATCACCATACCCGCCGATGGGATGCCGCCGATCTTGCGCGGCTCCAAGTTCGCAATCACCAGCACCAGCCGGTTCACAAAATCCTCCTCCTTTACGAACTCCTGCAATCCACTCAAGATGGTGCGCGGCTCGTTGTTGCTGAGCGCGTTCAGTTCCGCGCCGAGGTCGATCTTTTCAATGAAGAGCTTCTCGCTCTCCGGGTGGCGGGACACCTCGATTACCTTGCCCACAGCGAAACAGCACCGCGACATGGCCGTGGCGTTGTCCGTGCCAGCCGGCGCCGCGGCGCCTTTCCCTTTCGATGCCTTTTCCTTCGACTTGGGCGCAGCGGCAGCAGCAGCGGCAGCACCGGGGGCAGCGGCGGCCTTGGGGGCCAGCTCCGCGATCCACGACTCGACGTACGGCACGGAGCGGCGCAAGAGGCGTCCTTCCACATGAGAGGCCATGGTGTCTTCGTGGCAGATACGAAAAGCAGGGGAAGAAAGCTTTAAAGAGAAGGTGGTGTGTTTGTGGAGAAGCGGATCGGCGTGCTTTATCGTGTGCTTTGCTGTAAAGAAAAGAGGGCAAGAGAGGAGACGCAAAAAGGCACAGTGGTGAGGAGGTCAGCGAGAAAAGCTGCGTTGCTCGGCACTACCGCGAGCGAAGACTATCTGATGATGGAGGGCCCTCCGCACATCGAATCACGACGTAGACAACAGACAGCGACAGACATTCGATAAAAGCACGAGAACGTACACAGATCATTTCTACATGGGCTGCAGTTACAGGGCGTTGAATGCGAAAAGTTCCCTCCTTTTCTTGCTACGTTCAACTGCAAATTGCAAAAGGTGTTCGATCACAGATGGCTCCCCAAAGACGCATACAACAAAAAGGGAGGTTTGAATGAATGCACAAGTACACACCTCCGTGTTTGGTTCGCCGTGGTGATGGTTACGGCTGCTGCTGCGTGAGTACCGCCACGTCCGCCGCGCGTATCTCCGCCGGCACGTACAGCAGCGGCCAGCCGGACAGGTGACGTGTGTCGTAGCGCTTGTCGATTAATGCCAGCACATTAGGAATGGTGAGGGCACGCAGCAGCACGGATGCCCCTTCGCCGTCCATCGGGTAAATCCCTGGTTGCGTGGAGGAAGTCGTGCTTGATGCAGCGTCGCTCACGCCCTTGGAGGGGGTCTCGTTCATGTTGGCTCCCGCCGCAACCGCAGCAGCAGCGATGTAACGCCGCTTGGCGCGCTCCACAAGGGTCATGGCAGAATAGTACACAAAAGGGCCGTGTGGCGGGCAGGCAGCGAGGTGGCAGTAGAGGAGGGACATGAAGTCCACATTGCTTTCTAAAATGCGCAGGGCAGCCGCATCCGCGTCGCCGATCAGATCGAGGGAATGGCTCCCGCCGCTGGGCTCCTGTGTGTCGTAGGCGGGCATCTTTGGGTAGAGGGAGAAGGAGGGGGGGGAGGAGGGGCGTCCAGACGAAATCTAGCAAAAAAAAGCTATTGGGGTATGATTCGTGTTTTCTTTCTCCATCGAAGCTACTTTGAGGCATGGGTGAGAGGAGTAATGAATAAAAAATATATAAAGCAGAGAGGAGTAAAGCAAAATGAGATGAATGAGAGCGTTAGCACTGCGGCCTACACGCACATCTGTGTGCCCATGACCACTGCGATTCTCTGCCTTCTGCTGCATCAAGTGGTCGATTGCGCCTCATCTGATGTTTGCGTGTATGTGAGTGAGTGGGCCAGCCTGTGACATCGCCGCGCTCCACACGCATTGATTGCAATTCCACTGAAAGAGGAGAAAAGTGCACTCTGCAGTTCTGTATTAAAAAATAGTCGGCAAATGATAAAACGCTCTCGTAGTTTCCTTAGCCAGATCAACAGCACCACAGTAATAATCCAGAAGAAAAAAAACCTCATATATATATACCCCAAAAGAAAAGCAGCAGTCCTCACGAATAGAAAACCCCTCAACGTCTTTGCTGCTCTGTGTGGGTGTGTTTCCGAGGTTAGGACGTGAAGAAGAAAGGCGGGTAACCGCACTACTCTTTTTCTGATTCCGTTCCATGCGCTGACGGACATCATCACGGCTGGAAAGTTTAATTAAAGGCAGAAAAATAACAATGGAAGCACACCAATGCGCGATGATACAGAAAAGAATGAAGAATGATGTTATTTTTCTTTTAAGTGGGAAATGCGTAAAGCGAAGAACAAAACCGGAAGAAAAATAAGGAAAGCGGCACTTCATCGGAAGGGAAACGCAGCATGTAAGTGAGGAGGATCTGCGCCACTCCACGTCGTCGAAGAGCGAATGCCCCTCACTCTGTGCTGCAGTCGTTGCTCCGCATTCTCCAAAAAAGCAAAGAAAAAGTGTTGAACACAAAAAGACACTTTTTGAGCATGGGAACAGAAGAAAAAGAGTACACTGGGATTAGATACAAAGCAGTAAAGATGAAAAAAAAAGATATAGATAATAGGCGAAATCCCGTCGTACATCGGAGGCAGAGAGAGGGTGGGGTGCCAGCGTTGAAGCACGCACACGAGAAGAGCTGCCCGACCTCGTATGTGTTTTATCGATTGTGGCACATCAACGCGGTTATAACAATAAAACAATTTTAAAAGAGCGCCTGATACAAATACACACATTTGTATTCGAAGGGTGTGCATAGAATGAAAGAAAAACAACGTTGGTTGATTGGGGAGGAAGCTGCGTTTCTCGGTCATTGGTTGACCGTCGCACTTGTCTCCACCGGCGAAAGGCAGAAAAACGAAAGCCTCGGTGCAACGCACGAATAAATGAAGGTGTCGTGCGCCTTCATTTCGAATTCTGTTACGGGCGCGGAGGGTTCACTGACACTGCTTTGTCGAAGCGGCTTCTCTACAGTGGCCACGGCACGCTGGTGATGACGCATTCCGCAGGCAACACGGTCCTACGAAGTTGAGGAGCGAGTACACCCATCTGCGCAGCTCGCTGATGCCGTCGGTGTTTTACTTCGTTCTCCGTCACCGTCGCGCGCGGCGCTGAAACCGTGACAAAGCAATGCAACTGTGTTGCCGATCTTCACGAGACAGAGAAAAGAAAAAAGATGTTAAGAATTAAAAAAAAAAAGAAACGAGATACTAAAAATCATAATCACACACGACAACAGCAGAAAGAAGAGAAAACCACTGACGGTGCCTCCTCACGAGAGACTCGCGGGGGTTCTTCGTTTATGAATCGTCCCTGTCCTCGTCCGTCGCTGCCGGTGCGCCGCCGGTTAGGTACGCGGAAGGGGGGTCGCTGCTACGCCATGCCGCCTGCGTTGCGGGGAACGCCGTCGTGCCGTCCACATCGCCTACTCGCGGGATGCGGTGCAGCGTGACGTGCTCCATCGAGGCGGGGCCGGGCAGGGCCTCCGGGTAGGTCCCCACCACCGTCGGCACATAGGGCTGCGGCGGCGGGCCGTGAGGCGTAGCGCGATGCACCTGCGTTTCTGACGGGGCCGGCGCAGAAGCCGAAGGCCCACCCGTGCGAGCCGCGGCGCCGTCGTGGTAGTGGTGGTGGTCCGGGTTTGCGTATTTTCCGCTTCGCGATCCAGCCGGCTGCGTCGCGGGAGGCGGCGGCAGAGGCGAGAGAGGCGTTTGTTGTCCTTCCGCCGCTGCCGAGTCCATCTCGGGCGACAAAGGCACCGGCGTCCGCACCTGCGGGTCGCAGCAGAGGTACAACTCCGTCAGGCACGGCAGCGCCAACAGCGCAGACGCCACCACTCCACTGGCGAGGGCGGCGATAAAGAGGCCGAAGCCTGCCAGGTAGCTCGCCGACTCCCACCGCGGGTGCTCCACCTCGTCCGCCACCTCTTCTGTGTAAAAGTCGGCCATGAGGGCCACCGTCACAAGGGCGGCCACCGCTGCGACAAGGAGGAAGACGAAGGCAGCAGTGCCCACGCTGTGGTCGACGCGACGACGCTGCCGCTCCCGCTCATACATCTTCTCCGTTGCCCCAAAGGTACGGGGGTTCGCCGTGGTGGGTGAGTCCGATGGAGCAGAGCCCGCGGCGGCAACTTCGTTGTGGCGCGGACGGCGATGGCTGGGGCGGTCCGCGCTGCTGCCGTGTTGCCCGTCGCGGCGCTCCTGCATCTCTTCCTCCTCGGCACACCGCTGCGCCTGCGTGTAGGCGTCTGCCTCGCGCTGCCGCCTCTGCTCATGCCGCGCCCAGAGCCCCACAAAGGCGAAACACAAAGCGCACGCCACGAGGCTGAGGGCGGCGGACAGGACGGCAAACACCTTCTCTGCGATGTTGTCTTCGCGGTCCGAAGTTCTCGTACGGGAGTTTCTCCACCATGCCGACCGCGTCGATGGTGGCCGTATCTCTTGCCACACGGAGTACTTCTCATCCCTCTCGCCCCGCTCACTGTACATGCAAAATGGCAGAAGTTGACCGACAATTGTGAAGACAACTATCGCCGCAGCGAGAAGCGCGACTACAACGCGGCAGATCATGACGCCAGCGGTGCGGCAACGAGTCCGCTGGACGGGAGGCGGATAGAGGGGAGAGGGGTCGCGGAGCGACTCCTCTGTCTCCTTCGCATAACGCGAGACGTGGAGGGGGTTCACCTCTGCCGTGAACATGGGCTCACGTGCCGCCGCACCGGCGTACTGAGGTGGCGGTGGCAGAGGTGTGCGTTGGACCCCCGCGTTGGCAAATGCGTTCTTCTCCGCTGCCGCGCCTTTGTGAGGGGAGTCGAACTGGCGTGTGTAGTCCATCTTTTTCTGATGTTGCGTCGCTGCGAAGGGCGGTATAAGATGTATAGTATATATGAGGAGCCCCCGAAGGGAGTAGCTTACGGTACTTCGAAGAATTCGTATGCAAACGTGTGAGTGGCCGCCGACGGCGTCGACTTGCGCAAGAGTGAAATATAAATATATATAATAATAATAATAATAATAATAATAATAATAATAATAATAATAATAATACCGTCACAAAGAAAGCAAAGAAGCAGAAAGAAGAAGATTCAGCGAAACGAATTGAGCATTTGTTTCCCTCCTTTCTTTTCCTCTCCCTCTCGTGTGGGTGTATGTGTGTGTGGGTGTGTGTGTGGGTGGGTGTGTGGGTGGGTATGATGGGAGTTGTCGGAGACGATGAGATATCAGCAGGATATAAAATGAATATAAAGAAAGGAGCGTGTTAACACTTTTACGCGATAAAATAAATAAAGCTTTGTTTATGTTCTTTCCTTTCGTTTTATAAAGAGGGGGGGGGGATTTAACTGTTCAGATCGAACACGGAACAAATATAATGGCAACAGAGGGAACGAAAGGGAAGGAAGACAGGCAAAGAAAATATATAATGTACTCGGGATTAGCTTAACGCACGGAGAGATGCGTGTGTTTTCAAGCAGTCGAAGAATGGTAGGTGTTGTATAAATGCTATCGAAAGCAAAGACAAGAATATGTAAACCGAGGATTGAATGTCCCACTGACAAAGGATAGCACACGCGTACGGTTCGAAAGCCAAACCAGAGAAAATACAAGGGAAAAGGAAGGAAGACAAGTAGACGCGAGATGGACACTTTGCCGACTGGATCTCTTTTTGATAAGTTTTCCTTTCTTCTTTCCTTTGAGGCAGGCAGAGCTCAGTAGGATGAATGCAATGAGGTCGCGACGCGCGCTTTTCGCTGTTGTTCTTACAAACGCGGAGAGAAGAAGATCAGAAAAATATCACACACACAACCTCCCCGTACGACGGAAGAAACTGAAGATCGACACACACACACACACACACACACACACACATACATACATATATATACACGGCGCATGTGTGTGTATGTGTGCGTGTGTATGTGAAACGAGTTAACTGCGGAGCTGTGCAGCAGCAGCATCAAAGCAGTAAAAGTCAAGAAAGCGGCTCCGGCGAGCTCCGCCGCTGATTGAAACAAAAACGGGTGTACAGACACACACACGCCTCTTGCTGTGCTCTCCCTGAGCGAAGCCGAATAGGGAGAGAAGGCAGACCTACTTCGGGAAGGAAATGACAAATACAACTGTATAGATTTATGTTTAAAAAACAACAACAATAATAATAACAGAAGATGGAAAAAGGAACTTTCGTAAAGTGTAAGAGAGACAGAGGGAGAGCGAAGACTTCCACACACAAATCGGCCTGCAAGAGAAAAGAAAAAATAAACCGAAGAGGACAACAACAACAACAACGACAACAACGACAAGAAGAAAGAGAGAGAGAATAGATCTGTTTAGAAATCAAAGCCGTATTTGCGTTCGCCACATTGAAACAGCGAAGCGAAACAATGCCTCCTCTGTCTCGCCCCTACACGCATGTATATCATTTAAAAAAACGCTCATGTTTCACTGCATCACGCATGACAAACTGAAGTCTACCTGCGCTTCCCTCTTCAGCGCTCTCTCTCCTTTCTCTTCTTCTCTTAGTGCGGTGGTGCGTCACTGTGCACCATTCGAAACAGCGGCGGCGGGGCGGTGTAATACGCCGCGGTCGTGTAGTTGTCCTCCTGCTCCGCTTCGGGCAGCTGCCCACGCCCAGGTGACACCTCCGCGCTCAGCTCCCCCGCGGGCGGCGGAGACGCGTGACGCAACAGGCTCCTATGCGGACCAGGCAGGGCAACTGGAAGTCCGGCGTTGGTGTAGCTGCGGTACTGTGCAGTGCTCGCGCCAGGCGGTGGCTGCTGCTGCAACGCTCGGTGCACATCGACCAGCATCAGTTGGCACCGCACCACCGGCGGCAGCCTGCAAAGGTACAGGTCGGTGAGTTGGGGGATAGCCACAAGGATAAACGCCGTCACGGAGAGCGCGAGGGACGCGATAAAGAGGCCGAAACCGGCATCCCACTCGCTCTGGTAACCGTCGCAATAAAAATCGCTGTCGTGGAAGTACAGCATCAGCAGTACCGTGATAATCGCACTCACCGCCGCCATCATTGTCATGGAGAAGATCGCAATACCCACGTCATTGTCCTTCTTGCGCCGCCGGCGTTCCACCTCCTCGATCGGCACCTTCTCCACGTGTCCGCGGTTCTCTACACGTGCGTTCACAAAGGGGAACGAAGTGGCGCTGCTGTCCTCCGCGTCGTTCAGCCCCGTCGCGTAGGTGCATAGCAGCTGGAAGTTGTCCTCCTGCTCCGCTCTCCTTGCCCGCTCGAGCGTCGGCCACTCCACGGCGTACACCGTAGACAGAATACACGAGATGAGCCCAAACACAGACGTGGCGACGGCAAAGACCTTGCGCATCTTGCTGGCTTCGGGGTCGAGGTCGTTTATCCAGCACCCCGGAAATTGGAATGACCGCCACACCCCGTACTTGGACATCCCGTACGCCCCGCGACGAAAGTAGACGGCCTGCCCGACCGCAGAGAGTAGAGTCCCCACAAAGGCGAGAAAGCCCACCAGGGAACGCACCGCAAGCACGCGCGTGTACGCGGCAGGTGGGGCGGCGTAACCGGGATTGATCGCTACATAGCACCGGTCCCCACGTTCATCCTGCACCAGGCTGTCTCCCGCCGCGCGAAGCATCACCTGCGTTACGGGGATGCCTGCCGTGAGCGCTGCTACGTTCTCTCTCTCCATAATTGTTCTTCTTTCCATATCTTTTCAAATGAAGAGAGGTGCCATTAAGAGCCGACGATTTCTTGACAGTACTCTTCTTTATTGTCACCTAACTAAGAGAGAGAGAGAGGGTGGAGGAGAAGGATTTGTTCTACTTTCTGGGGCCCCTGCTTCGCATGCTCCCTCAGAGTACAACATATCGGTCATCACTTGCATTATTCATAGTCAGTGGCAAGACCAGCTACCCCATAGTCTCCAACGGTCTTGTGCACAACAGGGCAAGCCGTATTGACCAAGCGGGGCAACTCCATGCCAGGCGCATCTCTCGCCACCACACGACCATCCACCACCTCTTCCCCAAAGTTACGTGAGAGGGAATCTGCGGGGTTCATCTCACCAACGATGTAAAAGAACACCACTCGCACGCCCGTCTCGAAGAAAAGAGAATTGGTGTAGGCGTACAGGTTGTTTAGGTACTGCCCACGTCCAATACCGCGAAAGCCACTTTCACATCTTTGCGCCAATGCAATCGGGTAGTGATCCGTCACTACAGCGACGCGTCTTAAAGCTTGCGGGTACGCCGCGAGAATGTACCGTAAAAACAACAAAGCGGCATGTGGTTCTGCGTTTGCTGAATGCCGTGCGTTGAAAGGGATGCGCGCGCCCCTCGCATCCACTGCGCCGCTCGCACTGAGGTCGTGGCTCCAGCGCTGCTGAAAACCGCGCGTCGTGCCGTCTCTCCAGCGGGCGATAGCACCCCAGCCCGACGCCGATGCGTCTGTGAACACGATCAGGTCGTAGTCCGCGTCGAGGTAGGTGGCTCCTATGGGTTCTGCAATGGGCCAGAAACAGTTCTCTACCAAGACGGGCACGATGCGGTCCAACGCGGATCGGATGGAGCCGCTGACAAACGGTATCAGTGCATCCCAACTC